TACGTGCCAAGCCCTGGAACTTCAGGTGTCGTCCTCTTCTGGTGCTGGCCGAGGGCGGCCAAGTAGAAGCCCTTCCTCGTCGGGACGGAGTCGTGGCGCCGGACGGTCGCCTACTCGTGGTACAACCAGCAAAGACGAGGCTGTACTTCCAGTTGCCAACTTGGAAGACTACTTCGCTCCCATCCGGATCGACGGGGGTGCTGTTGCTCCCGAAGAAGGACGTACAGAAAAGAACCACGCGTATTCCGCAGATTTTGCGAACCTCCTTGCCCAGCGCCCGCTTGTTAGCACTGTTCTCTCCCGCGGCAGAGAAGTAGAGCCGGTCGCTGGGGCGGTTGATGCAAGATCTTCATCAGCTATGAATGCGGTCCAGCAACCTTTCGCTGCCGAGCACCTAGGTGGAGGGTCCCTAGACGGAGAGCCTCGCTCTCTGTTAACCAAGGAAGAAAAGACAAGCCTAGCCACTGCCGGTCGCGGTTGGGGTCGGACCGCATTGGGGGCCAGCATTGAGGGCCCAAACCAGGTGGCCCAGCTGCAGCGGTCGCGCGTGGTTACCGTCTTTGCGCGTAACTTTCTACGCAGCCTGCTTGCGTACCAGCCTCGACATGAAGTACGGAGGGAGGAGGGCGGTAGCGCCAGCAGTGGGCTTCGCCGTGGTGGTCAAGCGCCGTCCCACTTGATGGCGCCGAGAGAGGCGCTGCTGACGGTTCCGCCGATCGGCGGGCGCCGCGAGTCTGACTATCAAATGGAAAAATGTCTGGGTCTGGAAACTTGTGATGCTGAGTGGCGTAGCATACGGAGGCCACAAGTGCTGGCTCAGCATGACAAATTTCTGAGCTTGTAGGTGTTGCCTATTCTGCATGACAAACTGCGTCTCCGCATGACAGAAAAAAACGTCTCTTGGGCAATGCGCATGACAGATTTAAGAGTCATGCCAGACAAGCATGACAAACATGCATTCTTCCAGACCCAGACATTTTTACATTTGATACTGACGCAGCGGAGACAACTCGCCAAGGTTTTCCGCCGATCGCCGACGTCGAACGCACGATGTCTTTTATGCAAGAAAAAAACAGCGCAGCAGTGTAAGTATTGTCTGTGCTATAAATAGGGAAAGCATGCAACGCAGGCACACTTGTCACGCGTACCAGCCATATCAATGCTCTGCTTCCGTACGTGTTTTGACGTACTAGCTGTGCTGCATGACACAAGGACTTCTCTGTGATGCAGAAGAATTTTGTCATGCAGCTAAAAATCAAAGACACCACCAGCAGCACACCTAGACCTACACTAAGGGACAAGTTTTTTTCTTGGATATCTTTGTTGCTAGCACTGGGAGAGTTGAAGAAGCCCGCTGTGGGCTGGAGCTGGCTTCCTGTAGTTTCTGACGACTCTCCGGACGAAGCGTCACCTGTCCGACACATGAGGCTTCGTCTAGAGAGCCGTCAGGAAGCCATCTACTACCGCATCGAGAATTCCTTTGACTGGCGCAGGAACTTACCCACCGAGCTCCAGCTCCGAGAGCACAGTGAACACGAGGACGCTCCACCAGATCCTCACTGCGTGGTGGAACGCCGCCGCCGCCCGAAGCTCACCGCTGTATTCGAATTTGCCCTCAACACGGATATTAACCACGGGCGCAATTATATGGATGTGTCAGAGTTGAAATCGACAAAGTTGAAATAATTTGCCATGCATAAAATGGATGCCAGTTGGAACCCAGTGTCCAAGTGGCGCATGACAAATTTCGGCTCTCCCTAAATCCAGTTTGTCATGCTGTTTAGGTAAAGAAGAGCGATTTTCTCATGCTACTTTAGCAGCTCGAGCTGTAACCCCAAACAGGCTTACAATCGGCCTCACTTGCCTTCTCTGCAACACACGTGCCTCGGGTCATGCATTTTATGCATTGCAAATTATTTCAACTTTGACGATTTCAAACCTGACGCTCCCATAAATTATGCAGAGCTGCGCAAGGTCGCCGTCACGCTTCGCCACACGCCGTTAGTATTGAGAGGAAAAATCCCCTCTCCCCATATCGAAAACGCATGCGTCTGAAAATTTGTGATGCAGATTTGAGGTCACAAATCCTGTCTGTCTTGCAAGAAGGCAAAGCCAGAGAATCCGCCGCATTATGCCGGCGGTTTGTGATGCTGCTGGGCTTACAGCGCCGACGTCTGTCACGCTAGTCCCCTACGTCAAAACCTCTCGACCCAGGCTTGGCATATGCCTGCAGTCCTCTCCAGCAAGACAGGCCTGATTTGTGTACGCAAATCCAGCATCAGAAACTTCGTTTCGATATGGGGAGGGGGGATTTTTCCTTGTGATAGTTAGAGCCCGTGAACCGCTGGCCTTGGTATCAGACCCAGTCATGGGCTTCCCGAATGGTAATCGTATCTCCCGAAATTGTCCGAAAAGCGCACCAACTTGGAGGAAGAGACGGGGTAAATGAAATTTGTGGGGTGAGCTATTTGCGCTACGCAACGGCGCAGCGGCTATCTTCTTCGCTTCAACCTTATGGAAGCGTCAGGCTTGAAATCGAAGGGGTTGAATAATGAGTTGCCGTTCATAAAACTAAAATGCAAGGCATGAAGTTGATGCTGAAGTGCCTGTCTTGCCGGGATGGCAGGTGAGGCCGATAATTGTGAGCTGTTTGGGGTTTATTGAAATAGAGCTGCTAAAGTAGCATTACAAGAAAAGCAGTCCTCTGCGCCTAAAAAGCATTACAAATTGGATTCCGGTGCTCGGAAAATTTGTCATGCGCTGCTTGATAAGCATAAGTGGGTTCTTTCCCACTGGTATCTTCGGTCTTATGATGACAAACTATTTTTTCCGCTTTGACGATTTCGATCCTGACACATCCATTTTCTTACACCTATTGCGGAGCTGAATATCCACACCCCAAGTACTAGTACTAGACCTACCTCGGAGGTTAAGAACTATGACGTGTACGATTGCTCCTACGAGGAATTTGGAGGGGTAGCAGATGAAGAAGAGACACGCTCTGGTATCCTGAGTAAATAAAACGAGGCTCACACCCACTTCTAACAAGTAGTACACTTCAGACTTTTCGTGTGGATTCGCATCTACAGCAAGATTTGTAATGCGCATGATGCTGTCCTTGCTAATTTGCACCCCACGACAGCTAGTTGCGCTAGAGACTTGTCATGCGTGACCACTCCCGAAGCTTCTGGATTTGTGTATGCAAAATTAACATCTTGACTGTGGGACAGCGTGGGCCCCGTTTAAGTATTTTCCCTAGGATAATTGCGCCAGTAGAACGCGGAAACGAAGTCTGGTCTTTTGAAGGGTGGGAAAAGGTAACGCGCGCGCGCCAGGCGGACCGTGGCTTGGGTGAAAGGCTACGTCGGCGCTTTGCCCGATGTTGTGGAACAAAACGGAGAAACAAACAAAAAGACAGCTGAGAGAACAACTCCGAGCTACGCCATGTTGCGGACGAGATCTCAAACCGATTAAGAATAAATAGTTTTAATTCGGGGAAGATGACCCGGCTGCTCACCAGGCAAATTTTTATCTTGGAGATCTTCCAATAGATGACCACTCGGACAAAGTTGTAGATGGGAGTCTTATAGAGTCGTATATTGGTATAGTATAAGGTTAAGAATACTAAAAATGTACTACCGCCGGTGGGGGTGGTAAGTAGTGCCAAATTATCCGACTCCTTCCCGTCTCGATCAAAGTTAGTTGCCGGAGATTTCATCTTCTTTGTCTTTCGCGTCATCTTCGCCTAAAAAAGTTGCTTTGTAGGTACTAAGTAATTATGTCCCGCCAGAAGTGCGAGGCCTCCAAAGGGCGTCGTCCTGAAGTGGTACGACTTACCCACTTCAGGTACAGTGCCACCCGAAAGAACGGCAGCGCTTCTCGCGGTGTAGTTCATAGTGCTCTTTTTTCGTAATCATTGCAGCCTGCAGGAGGAATCAGTGGATCATCTCCTGCCTGTAGGAGAGGATCATGCACTGTGCTTGTAGGAGAAGTTTTAGTTTTATTTAATTTTATCCCATGTTGGTTGTATCTGTATGATGAGAAGATTAGACTTCACTTCACTTCTCCCATGTATGATTACGATATAGACAAGTCCGTCGTGTACAATGATTGAAATTCAAATTCATGTTCTTGAAAAACTACGTCGAGGCCATATTAAAAACCGAACAAGTTCCTGTACAACTTCCACGTAGGTTCATCTATACAACGACCACCTTGCTGCCCACGTGTGATCTATTTCCCACGAAGATGAGCAGCAGCTTTACACGACTACGTATCTATGCTGTGGCACTTGAGTACAGGAATTATGCTTTGGCACCACTTGTACAACATCTACATGCAGCATACTTGTCGTGGCACGGCATGCAAGATGAATCGATGGCAACAACAAGAACTTCCAAGAAAATGAGGCTCGCGGCCTGCAGGGGTGGCTGCGTTTACTTAGGAGGATGAAAACTACAGAACAAGCGAAAGGGAAAGAGGTGGAAGATGTACAAGTAGAGTTCCTGCGTCGATGATGTTCTTTCGCTGGTGCCTGGGGCTGCTGGTGGTACCAAGCTGCCACCTCCGTCGCTCTGGGGCGAAAAAGTTATAAAGTGCTGCTATTTTTGATTCGTACGCTTCTCGCTTCTTCGTATTCCGCGACTCTTTGAGGACTTGCGCAAAGAGGTTCTGAAAAATTGGGGTGGGTAGCTGATGGTCGACTTGATGCAAATACTCGGTTGTGAATTTATTGAAGCGAACAAGTTCTTTTACCTTTCCGAAACAACTACTTCTTCGGTGATGACAATACAGTGTTTATTGTGTGTTTCATCGTTCAAGGGAAGAGGTACTTACTCGTCAGAAGTCGGGCTCGTATATAATCTTCACGTTGAAAAAAGAAAATACCACCTGATAAATGTTTTCGCTTCATCGTCCAACCACGTCTCTTCCGGGCGGGCGATAAATTCGTTTTTCATCATGCTCTCGCTGTGTTTTTTGTATCTCGCCGCAACAAGTCCAAGTCCTTTGGCAAATGATCATGATGTAGTTCTAGTTATTTTCGTAGCATTATTAGTTTATTCTTCCCGGCGCCCAGGAGAAGACATTCGGCGTAAGGGGGGCAACGTGGTATTTATGTCTTTGAAAAATTTACAGTGCAGTAATATCCAAAATGATGCTCACCCACAAGAATCTGCGGCGTCGCTCTCGCGAATACCATAGCGCGTACGATGGAACGGCACCATATGGAAGCGTCAGGTTTGAAATCGACAAAGTTGAGAATGAGATAGTTTGTGATGCATAAAATGCAACCCACAAAGAGCCGGTCTTGCAGAGTAGGCAAGGGAGACAGATGGTAAGCCTGTTGAGGGGTAGAAATAGAGGTGCTAAAGTAGCATGATAGAAGGCGGCTTCCTTACCCAAACAGCATTACAAACTGGATCCCGGTAGTTCTACCCAAATTTGTCATGCGCCACTTGAAAACTAGGTACCAACTGGTATCCGTTTTATGCATTGCAAATTACTCCAACTTTGACGATTTCAATCCTGACGCTTCCATACACCAGCGCGGGGGAGCGGCACCTCCAACGACCCCTCGAATGCATCTTCAACCGGCGGAGAGGTTAATCAAATTAGCAGGGAACAACTAGGAACAAACAGTGGTAATATCAACTGTGAAAATGTCTGGGTCTGGCAGAATTCATGTTTGTCATGCTTGTCTGGCATGACTCTTAAATCTGTCATGCACGTTACCCAAGAGCTCCGTTTTTGAAGCGCAGTTTGTCATGCAGAATAGGCAACACCTAGGAGCTCGGAAACTTGTCATGCTGAGCCAGCATCTGTAGCCTCATCATGAGACGCCACGCAGCATCACAAGTTTCCAGACCCAGACCCTTTTACTTTTGATACATAATGGAGGCCAACAACTCCAAACCGGTCCTCTGGGGCTTCCCGTATGAAAGCCTCAGGTTGGAAATCCTCAAAGTGAAAAAAATTTGTAATGCAAAAAAACGACTCCAGTTGGAGCACCATTTCTAGTCGGCGCATGACAAATTTCCCGGGCACTCAAAACGTGTCTGTCATGCTAGGTAGGCAAAGGGGTGCCCTTCTGTCATGCTAATCAGCATCCCAATTCTGAACCCGTAGAAGCACAGTAGTCGGCCTCCATTTCGTTCTCTGCAATACAGACTTTTTGGTGTCGCATTACATGCATCACAAATTATTTCCACTTTGAGGATTTCCATTCTGAGGGTGTCATATCCCGCGCCGGGGTCGTCCACCCTCCGACGGTCAGATTCGAACTATGAATTGCAAAAGTATCGTACTACTTGTAAAAATTGCATTACAAATTAGCTCAGCATGACAAAGAAAATTTGTAATGCTAATGCGGATTTACCATAAAAGCAAAATTTGTAATGCATAGATGCCCAGGACCAGGTAGACTCAGTCCCGACCGAAGTGGTAGGCGCTTAGGGTGAACTATGTATGTAGCGCTTAGGGCCCTTCCGCACGGCCAATTTGTATGTCCCGCAACGGGGTTCGCCTATGTCGGTCATTTGTATGCGAGGCGATGGGTTACCCGGTCGGCAGAGCCGATCCACAACGAACGAACGATAGATGCAATTACTACATCATACTTTTGCAATGCATTCGAACAGCACGATTGCGAGTTTGGAATCTGCGATCAACGTGGGGATTGGGTCGGACACGGTGCGCCAGAGCAAAATCCAATTTCTCCAGTCGAAGGGGATATACGGCGGAAACGCCCCCACCGTCGTCGAGGCTCCGTCCTCTGCGGAACAGTCGCAGTTCGAAACGACTTTTCTGTCCGGGAAACAGCAACCAGAAAATCTTCCTGCTGTTCCTCGGTCCCTCACCCCCGTTGCTGCTGGCACTAGAGCTGCGAGTCGCCAACTCACCACGGGGCCGGGGGGCGCGCCTTTGCCGGGAAGCAAACCGCATTTGGATTCCTTGGATGGGTGTAGGTTTTTGCTAGTTCTACCCATCATCATCGGCCACTTTATACCGGCGGCACTTGCGACGGCACGACACGAGAAGCAGAACCAGATCTCGCTGCCGCTCCTGAAGTTTCTGACATATCCACAGCAAATTTCCCGTACACGTACAAATGCGGTCTCCGCATGACAAAACTTGGCTTCGATCCTAGTTTAGCATGACAAGTTTTACGCTCCAAATTGGTGAAATTTGTGATGCATTTTGTACATGGGCGGGAAATTTGTATTGCATATGACACACGAAAATGTCATCGTCGGCGGTTTTTTCCTCTTGTCGGGCTACGTCAGCGGCTACACGGGAAGCAAGTTGGGCGAGCGCGTGCACGAAGTGGAAAAACTGAAGAACCGCTATTCTGCGTAAAAACGTCCCCACCCCAGCCCATGCCAGCACGCGCATCGCAATAGATACCTCACATACACAGTGGCCACATAGATTATGCTTCTCTTCTCGTCGTAGTTCGTTCTCCCCTCTTTTTCATCTGAAAATTTGAAGTTTCTCTGTGCTTTAATTTGGTCTTTCCAGCACATAAACACCCCAGAGCTGTCATGCAAATTTGCGCGCCAAAAACGCCCACCCCCCGGGGAGGGGATCCTTGACCTGTGGCGCTGGGTGCGGGTGTCCACTACATGATGATGATGATGATGCGGAGCCCCGTGAGAAGCGTTTTCTATTCGTATTTGGGAACTTGTGATGGTAGAATCTGCATGATATGCTGGATCTGTAATGCTTCTGAAGTATCTAAACAGGATTACACTATGAAAACAAACTTGTCATGGGAAACAAACAAAGCTGGCGGATTTGTATAGCAGATTTCGCATCTTGACTCTGTTGTGGGGATGTTTTTACTCAGAATAACCGCGAGTCCTACTTCTTCCAGCGGGTCATGACCTATTACCCGCTGCATTTGCTGTATCGCAACAAAAAACTGCTTCACCGTGAACTTGTGATGCAGAAAATGCATCGCATTTGTGTTTGTCTTGCTGTTGCTACACATGCAAGATAAGGCATTTGTAGGCAAACTTTATTCCCATAGGAAGCTCGCATAACAAACTTCCTCTGTGGAGGTGTAGAGCAAACTTGTAATGCGAAACAACTTGCAAAATCATCACAGTGAAAGAACAGTTTTTTCGTGGGATATGCTGCTCACCACGATGTTTAGTCCGATGTTTCTGTACCTGGATCGGTACGTGTACAACATTAGCTGGAGGAAAACGCTGTTTCAAATGTTCCTCAACTTTATGCATTGCAAAACTATGGCACTCGTATAATTGCAATCATGCATCACAAATTTTTTTCTTGCGGTAAATCAGCATTACAAATTTCATTTCTCATGCTGAGGAAATTTGTGATGCATTTACACGATTGCGATACTTTTGCATTGCATAAACTTTGCCCTCCTGCAGGCCTGGTTCCCCTCCGCGGCGGAGATTTATAACCCCCCGACCTGGTTTATGGCGTTCTCAAACGTTACATTGTCAAGTGTTACGTGAATTGGTAATGCAAGAACGGAATGAGTCAAGGTGGCAAGCTTGCTGCTTTCGCATCACAGATTTGGCACGGATTTAGATGCTGTTTGGCCCTCCGTAGATTTGTCATGCGAAGTAGCTTGATCATCTGGCAGCTTTTGGTAGTTTTGCATGACAAATCCATGTAACAGTTGAGGATGTAACATTTGAGATTCCCATATGGTTTCTGTCCGCCTGGACATTCTCGAACCTGACCCTACCCGGCTTCGTGTATGGCGTTCTCAACTGTTACATTCTCAACTGTCACATGGATTTGTGATGCAAGAACTGCAAAAGTCAAAGCAGGGAGGTTGCACCTGTAGCACTACAAATTCCGCACAGATTTAGGCGCTGTTTAGCCTTTCCAAAATTTTTCATGCGAAGTAGCTTCACCTTGTGAATGTTGATGCTCGTTTTGCATTACAAATCATGTAACAGCTGAGAACGTAACAGTTGAGAACGCCATATCGTGATCCCTCAGATTGCGAGTTTGTCGAAAAAATCCGGGTTGGCGAAATATGACCTGCTCAAACGTTACAATCTCAAGCGTTACAATAGAAACTGGATTTTCTCTTGCATGATGAGCATGACAGACCCACACAGCGTTCCACTTTCTGCAATACAAATTTCGCCAGATGATTCTAGTGCGGTTTCTTTCGGACGACTCCGAAACTTGTCATGCGCAATGGTGTGCTAGGAGTAGGCTAGATCGTGTAGCTGCGGCAACTCCGATTTCCATACCCTGTGCTAACGCTTGAGATTGTAACACATGAACAGGCTTCTATACGAAACTGCGGCAGTTTCTGACTTCTGTGAACATCCTACAGAAATTTGCCTACGCCTACAGCACCGGTCGGGTATTGTTGTCTTCGGGGAAGTATCAAATGCAAATATGTCTGGGTCTAGAAGGTATCAACTACTTGTAATTACACAAAATAGAACACACTTCAATCCCAAAATAAATCTCCTTTCTTCCTTTTTTCTTTGTTTCCTTTTTTCCTTCCAATTCGCACGCAATAATTATCGCTACGGGCCTTGAGCGCTAGCCTAAACCGGAACCGAAGTCCCAGCCTATCGATATGCGACCCGATTGCCTGTCAGCGTCCAGAAAAGTTCCACAGCAATAAAAGAGTCTCCGGTTGAAATTTGTGATGTCACTCAGTTCGTTTTTTTTCCTTTCGTCATACATCGCGAAGCTTTAAAATGATCTTTTTTATTTTTGGCAAGTAAAACCGACCACATGTGCCGTTACGCATTACAGATTCCATTTTGAGAAACACGGAATTGTCATGCAGTTCGGAACAAGTATGCATTTTCTATGAAGATCATTTTATTTCGTATCACAAATTTTGTACCGACTGCTCTTTTTTACGATCCGCTTTGTAACCATTCTATGAAAGTTGGATAACATTTTCTATCGTGCGTAAATATAAACTCCTCCGAGGGTATGCTCGTTTTTGTGCAACTTCTGTGCAAAAGTTGTCTGCTGGCTTACAAACTGGTAAAAGATCTGTCATGCGAAATTTGTAATGCAGGAAAAAGAGAGCAAGCTGTAACCAAAAACTAGCTCATGTAAGACTAAGATGCATGGCATACAGCTTTATATCTTTTCGCGCGAGAAAATGTTTCATTTTTGATCGGGGTGGATGGACGTGGTTGAGGTTTGCATTTGTAGTTAAAATTACCATCCAGAGCCCGCTAAATCATACACGTAATCCTATTTCCTCTCAGTACATCCTACAACACAGAACTAAAACTACCTATACTAGCCGGCTGACAGCATTTTGAGTTCCTTTGAAAAGCGACAACGTGTCACTTTTCAATTTCCGAATCAAGATGCCTTGACATGTCTATAGCGGAGCTGGGCGTAACCATGCTCCTCTCCGGGTATAGACGCCGGTAAACTAAATATGAATAAAATACAGAGCTACTTCTAGTCTACTTCTAGCTATAAATCTAATCAACTAGTCACGTCCTAAAAATATACTACCCTACTTCAGTGCCTTCGAAAGCTTTCTACTTTCCTTCGCGAACCTCATTGGCCTTTCCTTCTCAACTACTCCCAAGCGTCGCGAATTCCTTTCTCGAACTTGTAGCGGAACAGGCGATATTTTCGGAATCTGTGATGCTTCTCCGCGAACCTCTTCGCAATTCTCGTCCACTGGTCCCGCCGGAGTTTTTTCTCGGAGAAGATTTTTGCGACTTGCTTCACTCCTTTGTAGAAGTCGTTTTTGTTATCACAAAATCTGAAGAAGTTTTCACTTGTAATGCTGTCTGTGCATTCCGAAAAAGTTTGTGTTGCATGCCACAACAAGAGGAGCCCGGTTTGTGCTCCGCGGAGAAGGCGTTTCTCATGCGGAATAGGCATCATGCCGGCCTCGAAAATTTTGCGATGCTCGGTCATGCATTGCAGGCCTCGTTGGTCGTGGTCCTGCAAAAAATGCACGACAAACCTGGCAATTCTCCTGACCCAGACGCATTTGCAGTGCATAGCAAGAAAACTGCCGCTGTGGATCAGCTTCGCGAACAGAACCCGATGCTGTGGAACGTTACCCGATTTCACCCGATTATCAAACAAAAAAGTGTTTAACATTAACGGTTTTCTTTCACAGATGGCAGTTATGCATTACAAATTTTGCCTTCATGCATGCTATGCAATACAAATTCACGCCGCACCTTTTCTGATGCATCACTGCATCACACATTCCGTTCACGTCAACAGTTTTCCATCTGATACCGATTTGGGCCTTGTTGGAAATCTGTCTCGGGGTTGTCGCAGCTCGGGAGGTGATGCTCGATGACGTCGAAAAGGACCAGGACGGTGATAATAATAGTAGTGCTGGTTCAAATAGCAGTTTGCTGCAGCCGTCTAACAATGCAGTTGCACCCCCGTCGAGCAAGCAAGACGTTGGCCATTCCCCGCCGAACAGTAGCGCGAGTCAAGCTTATCCCCGAAAAAAAAAGCCATCCCCAACATTCAATCTGTCATAGTTTAGTACAAAAGAACATGCATCAAGTCCAGTGTTTGTCATCAGAAGAATGGATGTTGCGGATGGGTTTTTTTTCTTTCGATAGAGCCGACGAGGACTTCATCGATGCGATCGAGCGAAGGAAGGTAATTGAGGCGGAGGAGATTATGCGAAGAAAAAAGTGTTACAGCTGCACATTGTATTGCGAAACAAGCTAGACAGGCAACCTTTGTCATGCAGGAAATGCTTGCCAGCCTCCTTTCATTCGTGTTTTCCCTTACAATAGTCTGCGCGTCACAGGTTTTCTTTACCATATCGCGCAACTTTGTGATGCAGATACTCCAACAAATGTGTAACTGTAACTAAACACTTTTTTCGTGGGATAGAGATGAAAGAAAAATCATCAACAAACAGCATGTTGCAACAACTTCTCCGAAAAATCAAACATCTGCTCAAGAAGGAATGCAGCAAAAAGAACCCGCTTTTCTACTACTTCGCGGCGCACGCCGCGTTACTGCTCCGCCTGACAGACAAGCTCGCGCTAAACGGAACGCTGGTAAGATCCGTTTTCTTCCTGCCGCTTTACGCAAAGTTTTTGCAGCAGCTGCACAAGGATCACGCGAGGCTGCACAGTGCGGCCGTGCTGAAGACTACACCGACCACTCCAGGGACGACGCCTGCGCAAATACAGCAACTACAGATGGTGAAAAACAGCAAGAGAAGTTGTGGCGCGACATCAACCGAAAACAACTATTCCGAACAAGCAGAAAAAACCGATGAACTTTTTCTCTTCACCAAGTTTCTATCAACCAGCAAAATGAAACACGTCGGGTCTCTGGCGTTTCCGATGTTTATGTGCCACGGACCCATCGGGCAGCTGTTTTACAAGAAGGCCATCGTGACGAAATTGTTCTCGGAAGAGTTTCGATTGAAATACATCAAGAACACGCCGAAACGGTTTTTCCTGTTCTACTTGCTCCTGGTCACGGTCTCCGCGCACGTTTTGCAGGAAGGGTTTCTGAAGAACAAAATGGTGATAGCCTTGGTGAAGAAAGTAACCAAATTTTTAGCCAGTAACTGTAAAGGAATGCTGGGGGATAATGAATGAAATAGGATGCTGCTCAGATCGTGTCCGTGCGTTTTCTCGACGTTTATTCTAAGGTGCCTATAATTTGGAGGCTTTTTAAAAGAACGCCTACGAAATTTTTATACCTAGGAATAGGCACGAAAAACGAAACAGAAATCGCATTCACAATCTGACTGGAAGCTGATTGCTTATTTCCATCGGCTCCACTAACCGCAGCACTTGAACTTTTGAAGTGATCACGTCAGCAAGTGCAAGTACTACTAGCTTCGGTGTCAAAGATTATCGCTCACCTCCGACAGTACGTTTCGTACAATGTGAAGGCTATTTTGTTCAAGTTGAAATTTCCGTTGCAGCAGCGTGCGTCACATCAGATTTGAGGATCCCTAAATAACTGTGTGACTTGTTGTTTTGCTTGCATGCAAGCATTGCTGATTATTTTCATGGATTGCGATTTACCAGACCAGATTTCCGGGTAGTTGGTATGTGTAAGTACTACGAATTTGAGCCTACTATTTTCATATTTTCACTGTCTCGCTCATTTTGTGAATCTGATCTGTGACCACGAAAGCGAAGCAGGCTTCTCTCGTTAACTTCAAGCTGCATGATGTGCTGACAAAAAGTTTTTTTGATTTTGCATATACCGATCATTTTTACAGCCCCTCGATTACCTAGGTAGTTGTTGTTGTCGAATATGATCTCAAGTACTTAGTTGGACTTGAAGTAAGAACTGCATCGCCGTTAATAGAGGTTTTGTTTTGTTTTGCTTTCAGTTTTGTGGAGCTTGTGGTCCATATGCACATGATATCTTAACCTTGGACACAAGAACTATGCCCGTGTTACGATCTACTTCTTCTCTCGGCGGTATGATCTGGGGGAACAGCACTCTTTTGTCGGGGCCCGCCCTGGTGGTGCTGGTGTCCTCGCTAATCTTGCTCCACACGGCCACAATTTCCACTTGCGCGGCCGTGAGGATAAAGCTTGAGAAAGCTGCTTCGCAAGCTGTGGAGCAATCATCTCAAGAACGTGCGGCCGCTAGTTTTAATATTTTTAACGAGCCTTTTACAACTTTGCCGCACCAAATCCAATCGCCCCTACCGATTCGCCTTTTCCCCGATTCCCCCGGCGTGTGTCTCCCGGATTCTCCGACGCCAAGGGATATTGCGAAGCGGAATTACAAGAGCGACGAAGAAGATGAAAATAAAACTTCGAAATCTTGTCCCTTCGAAACCGAATTTGAAAAGTCCCTCTTCGTTGACCGTTCTTACAGCCGGGAGGCTGGAACGAGTCGAAAGGGCTCGAAGAACGGCGCAACAGCTGCGGTATTGGCGCCCGCGGGTGGAGATGAAGATCCTAGTACGAGCAGCGCGAAGAACAGCCCCAAGCTCGGGAGCAGTGCGAGTCCGGATAATATTAAAGATTGTTCAGCATCATGTTCGACGTCGCACCTCCAGATGGGTCTTACGAAAGCGGCGGAAAAAATCGCGGACCACGTTGCCGGACGAGGTGCAGGAGCACAACTCGATATAATTACAAGCACCACACACGACGACTCTATGACCAGGAGTCGCGAAATATCCGTTATTCAGCGGAAACAAGAAGAAATTCTACACGACGCAGATTTCGCGGTTTTTGAGCAGATGACGACGGAAATGGACACGACGCCCGACATATGAGAGTGTGAGTGCTGCACAGCAACTCCCGCTTATTTATGCCCCCATTGGTATGAGGGCATGAGCAGCAACAGAAACAGCAGCAGGAACGTAATTTCTGCATGACAAGATCTACTTGATACATGGAACAATGTAGTGCAGTTTGGAGTGTTCTTGTAGGAGCATGTTATGCAAGAAGGTAAGCCCACGACGACGACACGGCAATGGCTGGGATTGCAGATTTGCATGACAAATGTGAGTGAAGGAGAGTTGTGCACTCTCATACGACACCGTTTTTTTCACTCCCTTCGCCGAAAACTCGTCAGTGGAAGAAATTTTGAACATGGATGAGAAGAGCAAGCAGGAGGTTCTGATATGGCATTCTCAACTGTTACATTCTCAACTTTTACACGGATTTGTCATGCAAAAGCACCATCATCATGATCATCCTCACGATCAAGCTGCTCCGCATGACAAATTTGCGAAGAGCTAAGCCGCGCCTAAATCTGCGCCAGACTTGTAATGCAAAAGCCGCAATCTTCCTCCTCTCACTTTTGCCAGTCTTGCATTACAAACTCATGTGCCAATTGAGAGTGTAACATTCGAGAACTCCATATTTGAAAGCGGTTGAGTACACCTCCCTGTTCTTGAGCCACAACGAGGACAACGACTCAAAAACGTCTGATGAAAAAATCGAGACCGCGTTGTTTTCCAAAAGTCCGGATGCCGAAGCTTTAGCCGGGTTTGCCATTTGGAAACAAAAACAGGTTTTGCTGTTTGGACACAATGACCACACGAGTCGTAGTACTAGCGAAATAAGCGAAGCGGGAACTCGCGTGTCAGAAGCTTTGTCGACGTGCAGGCCCGCAGCGAGTTGTCGTCGGGAGGACAAACACACCTTTGACGCGCGGGGTTCAGCACAAGTTGGGCAACAGGCCGCACAGGAACCACTCCGAACTACAGGAGCCCACGTTCTACCCTTCCAAGTGTGCAACTACAGCACAACTGGCGAGCAGTACAGCAGCGGGATCCACGACCTCCAGAGCTGCAACCCGAAAATGCGGTATCTGCACCGAGGTCGACGTTTTGGCACGACCGCTGGACAACATCTTAGGGGAGGCTTGCCAAGAACTTCTCCTAGCTCGGAGTCGAGTGTTGAGGAGGAGGGGGAGGAAGAAGATGCAGGCGAGAATGAATCTAAATCTTCCCTGCGAGGAAGTGTCAATACCGCGCATTCGGTGGACGACGAAGAAGATAGGGATGATGGAATGGATTATGACGTCGAACAGGCTGTCGCTATCTCGCATACAGAACAAGTCCATAATTCCTGCAGCAATCCAACCGTAAAGATCAGCCAAGAACTCGGTGGTGCGTCTGAGTCTTCCTCTAGTGCTGAAGACCTGCCTAAATTGCAGCCCCGCTCGATTTTGAAGAAGACATCTGCTTGTTACAATGGACCTCCAGTGGTCATGGGGATGGGGGACAATTCCCCCGTCCCGGAAGCAAATGCAACTCCAACTCCTGTCGTGCCAGGAATACAACAAGTGTTGCAGAAGAAGATGCAGCAGGTCGCACAACAAGAGCAGCAGCCTACCCTGCCGGATGGCAAACACACGACCGGCACTCCACTTCATTCGACAAGAACAATCAACGCAAAAACATTCTGCCGAAAGCTGCCCGGAATCCAAAGTCGCACTGCGAAAGTGGAAGAGGAGTTAAGATCTTTGCAGGAGGACCGCGACGAGGGCCACAATTCTCTTTCCGCGAAGATGCAGCAGTTGCAGCTCGGCCGCGACGAGACAGCAAAGTCAGCTGAAGATGTTGAACCACCGACGATGCGTTCTTGTCAGGATAATTTTTCTGCTCCCCACAGTAAAACTTCCTGGTTCTTTCACATCCACGAACAAACCAGAACGGCGTATTTTGTCTTCGGGTCTGATAAAACACCGTCAAAGGGTGAAGAGCTGCAAGAAGGCCCGGTCCTCGGAGGAGGTGCCGAAGCAGAAATGCGAAACGGCTTGAAGGCTATAACTCGCTTCAAGCCAGAATTTTACGCCCAAGCGCAGCGCGCGATCCAGCAACTTTCTTTAGAACTTCTGGGTGGAAAGCTGTTCCGTGCAAGATTCGATAAATTGCTCCTCACGGGGTATGGAACCGGCGGAGCAGTTGCGTTGGTGGTGAAGAGGTTGCTGGCAACCTCGAGCGGTAGTGGGACGAACCATCTTATGAACACGCTGTTCGCAGACAAGGAGGTCTCTTGTATCGCCTTCTCCGCGCCCCCGGTGCTGTTGGTCGCATGGCAAGGGAGCGATGAGAAGGAGTCAAGTGTTAGTCGTGCAGCCGCATTTGCTGACAAACTCGAGGCGGAGCATTGGACCAATACGAAGCTCTTCCTTTACAACGAAGACGTACTAAGAACTACCAAAACGGCTTCAACATCGCAAGGGCAACGCCAACAGTGTGGACTACGAAAGGAAAAGGCAACCCACCCACCGATCGAGCAAATCTTTTGGCTGCGGGAGTCCGAATCTACATTTTTCCCCGCAACTCCGAATGGGACCACGATAAAAGAGCAGAAAAACACGATGAAAATACGTACCGTCTTTCCGCTCTCTGCCGCGGCGATAAACCAGTTCTTTTCAACATCTTGCCATGAAGATGAAGCTCCTGCACTAGGCGAACAACAACAATTGCAGCCGGAAATAAATGGTACAATCAGAGAAGCCGCAGGTGGAATTGGAAATCCTCCACGAGGCCGCTTCGCTGCTCTAGAAGGAGAACCTTGTCCTAGAATTTTTCTCGGTTCCAGTGCTGTAAAAATGTTGCAACAGGATTTGTTTGTCCAGAAACAGGAACAGCGCAGCGCCGATGGTTCACGAGGTAGCAGTGGTCATCGAACTGCGCAGGAGCAAAATAAGCAACGTGATCACTTCGCAAAAGTCCTGAAGCCGCTCGTGGAAGAACTGATGAGAACAACGAGTTCCGTAGCTGTCGGAGGTACCAGGGCAAGTAGTAGAGGCGGACAGGTCGTGGCACACCACCAAGGAACACCGCGCTCCAAGAACTCGTCCATATCACCTCCTACAAGCACGAGCAACAGCGGACGGGCATTGCTGCAATCTGTCTTTAGTATCGGAGGTGGTGCGCCAGGTGCGGTCGTCCCGATGGACCAAAACGCACGTCTCGTTCCAGAAGGTAGTGCAGGGGAAATAAAATTCGTTTCTCCCCTCCTCTACCTCTCGGCGACCGCCACAACGGCGGATTTGCCGGTGCCGTGGGAAGTTGTGATAGAAGAACCGAATGAACAAGTAGGTGAAAAGGTAGGCAGCGTTCAACATCTTGGCCAAAAGATATCATGAGAGAAAAGTGTTACAGTTACACATTTGTTGGAGTTTCTGCATCACAAATTTTCTCTGCGTGGCAGAGAAAACTTGTAATGCGAAGATCACAAGGGAAAACAGAAAGGAAACGAGGCTCGTCCCAAGCATTTCCTGCATGAGACAGGTTGTCTGTGTTGCCGGTCTTGCAACACAATGTGTAACTGTAACACTTTTTTCTTGCGATAAAAAAAGCCATTTCGCTACTTCTACAACCCGATTACGGGTAAGAGTCAGCGGACCCTTCTATCAAACAAAAAAGTGTTACCTACGTTAACGGTTTTCATAGATTGCAAACATGCATGACAAATGTTGCTTAATATGCATGCCATGCATGACAAATTTGGGCACGTTTTGTGATGCACTACTGCATCACAGATTCCGTTAACATGAACACTTTTCCCTGTGATACCTCCCGCCCTTGAATTACGATTTCCAGAAAGACGTAGAAGAAACGCTGATTTTAGAACAGGACGTGGACGTGCAGGGGTCTTTTCGACGCAGCGTCTCGGGGAACAGTATGTGCTCGACTGACGGAGCCACTTCAGGTTCATCTCCCTCCAGGATGCTCGTCTTGAGCGACAGCACAAATCGTTCCGCGGGAAACTGCGTCGGACGTCGAGCAGACGGCACTACAGCAGAGCCTTGCTGCTCCACCTCCTTGTCGCCCACCATCACCTCTCCTGCATCTAGTAGCGCACGACAAGTAGCTGCACTGGTTGTGAAAAAGCAGCTCAACATCCAGGATCGGGTGGATTTCGATTCTATGGAGCTGGTGCCACCTCCAACAGAGCAAGTGCGTCCATCTGCACCGTCGGGCGCGACGATGAGCTGGTTTGACAAAGTGGAGCGATTGACCAAAGAAGGGCTGTTATCGCAAGAAAAAACTGTTTCACTGTGAACTTGTGATGCAGAAAACGAAGCACCAAAGTGTTTGTCTTGCTACACCTGCAAGACATTGGATTTTGAAGCGTGTTTTCCCTTGGGAAGCGCGCATGGCAAGTTTTCCGCGTCATGTGTAGCAAACTTGTGATGCAGATATTGCAAAACCATCACAGTGAAACAGGTTTTTCGTGGGATAGCTGCGGGACATTTTTCATGCCACGACCGGTGAAGTTTTTTTGCGTGGTGGGCGGACCGACACAGACCTACCAGGGAAAGACGAGCAGATGCAAGAGGAACGAAAACAGCAACCGCACCAGCCCGCTCATTTTCCTCGTGACCCCGCGACGGAGCCCAGCCAACACTCTTCTCAGCACTACGCACAGGCTTTATCAGAAGCGCAGGGACAGGAAGTAGAGATGGATCTGCAACTGGCTGATGTGCAAGCGCTAAGAAGTTCCTGTGCGCCGACCACACGTACAACGACCGAGGACCACAAAAACGAAACTCCAGCCGCCCGCGCAACCACCACGGCTACTTTTCCCTCCCGCGCGGTCCTCTCTCAAGGCCTGCAAAAACTCCAAACAGCCCTGCAGATTTCGCGTCGGCTGCTTTTCACCTACAAAAAAAACCGCGTGCCGATATGGCCTTCGCAACTGTTACACTCTCAAATGCTACATGAGTTTGTGATGCAAGAATGGCAAAAGTGAAAGGGGAACTTGCAGCGCGTCTTGCATGACAGATTGAGATTTGGCGCAGATTGTCAGCCTGTTTGGCCCCTTGAGAATTGGTCATGCGAAGTAGCTTGATCGTGTCGACTCTGGTGGTAATTTTGCATCACAAATCATGTAACAGCTCCAGCTGAGAGTGTAACAGTTGCGAGCCCCATAGCCGAGTCTGCTCGCGTCGGATGAAGATGGGGATCAGTTCAACGTGGAGATGCAAATCGCGGATTTGCTAGTCCAGCGGGCGTTGGCGTTTCAGAAGATGTTATTGAGTGACAGTGAAAATGAGCGGGGGCGCATCTTCACAACAAGATCGGAAGAGGACCACGCCGCCCCAACTACATCAGAATTTCTCTACTACGACTCTGCATTTATTTTCCAAAACCGAAAACGCCTCATCAACGGGAAACAAAACGCCAGCAGTTTTTCCGATTATCTAATCTCCTGGATCGAACGCGACTTGATCAAAGTGGAAAACCAGCTCAAATCTCTGCACCAGAAAGCGTTGTTTATTTTTATCGATTGCCAGGGCACGGGGAAAAATTTTGTCTTCAACGCGCGGTTTCTGGCGCATAAACTTCCGTTGAAGAAGCTGAAATTGAAAAGAATTGAGAAAGATTTGAACATATGGATTGCAAAAATGTCTGGGTCTGGAAAATTGCAACTTGTCATGCTAAAGCCGAATCATGCAAAAATCTGTGTTGCATGATTGCCAAAAGCTGTCCACTTTCGACCAAGTTGGGAGGGAGTTTCTCACGCAGGATAGGCATGACAGAGACCTCACAGACTCTGTCGTGCTAGGTCCCGCATGCCAGACCTCAGTGGTCATGGAAAACCTGCATGACAATTTTACACTCTTCCAGACCCAGACATATTTGCAGTTGATAAAACACCGCGAAGAAAATCTTGTTGGAACAGTTCTACGACGACAAAGAGGTATCCACAAAAAAACGAACCATCCCCATCCAATTTGTCATGCAAAACATGTATAAATTTCTGTGTTTGTCATGCATGAAATGGATGGGGATGGTTGTAGTTTTTTCCTGGATAAGAAACCGCTCTGGACTACGCGAAGAGTGTGGACTGGTTTTTTGAGAAGGAAGTGCTGGAAGGAATTTCGTCGGATGAAAGTACGGATGAACACCAGAAACAAGAACTGTTGCAGATTTTTCAAGACGAAATCGAATACGAGTGTTTTTGCGGAAAGGAAAGAAAAACGGTGGCACAACTGAGTAAAGCTGCAGCGAAGAGAGAAATAGTGGCCTTACAGGCAGCAGCTATCGGTATGGAAGGAGGAATCAGGAGTAAAATCGAACCGTGAGCAGCTTTACATTGCAAACTCCTATTTGCTGACATTGGCACACAATAGGACTACAGTCTGCATGATGATTCAGGACGAGCGTTGTACTTTGGAGAATACAAAAGTAGCAATAGGCGTGGGCCTGCGGGCCTAAATTCCGGTGGGTTGGTCGGTTGGTTGGTTGGTTTTGGACAGACGACATTTGACCGAACCCGCTGCGTTGTGTTTTGCGTTTTTCTGAGATTCGTCTACTATTACTGTTGAAGCTGCCTACCTACCCGCCTACCTGGCGTCTTTTCGATTCATTTTCATTGTAGTACCGCGATTGCACCGACCTACCTACCTACCTATCCCTTTGCTTCCATCCAGAGACAGCTGCCTACTGGTCACGCCTACCGACCTACCCACCCACCAGCCTGGTGGGTGGGTGGGGCGAGGAAGCGCGCGCTGCCTATTGGCCACGCCTACCGACCTACCCACCCACCAGCCTGGTGGGTGGGTGGGGCGAGCGTGCGCTGCCTATTGGCCACACCTACCGACCCACCCACCCACCTTGCCGGTGAGTGGGTGGGGCGAGCGTGCGCTGCCCCTTGGCCACGCCTACCGACCTACCCACCCACCAGCCTGGTGGGTGGGTGGGGCGAGGGAGCGCGCGCTGCCTATTGGCCACGCCTACCGACCTACCCCCCCCTGCCTGATGGGGGGGGGGGCGGGGCGAGCGTGTCTTGCCTATTGGCTACGCCTACCGACCTACCCACCCACCTGCCAATTGGGGGGGGGGGTCAAGCGGGAGACCCGGGGGCGGTCTTTTGTTCTATCTAACGGCTTAAAGTGGAGGCCTTTTCAATTTTCCTCGCTTCGTATTCTTGGTGGCCCTCGGGGATCGCGTGGCCGGATTGGGGTGGTTCTGGTCCGTGGGGCCATCTGGGTTGTCGCCATTGTGTTGGGCGCTGTCCAGTCCGCAAACCTTTGACGACCTCCGGGTGTTTACATTGGTCGAGACACTTTTCGTTTGGGTTTTGGTGTCGGGGATCTTGGTCTCAATCTCTAGGGTTGCAGTTGTTCTTGCTGGTCGTATTCTGCGAGCAATGGGGCAGGGAGTTCTGCACAGGCAAAAATCTTCCGTCCTTTGGCGCAAGATTTTTCCTGTTCACGTTGTGTGCTTTTTTTCTTGATCGGCGCCAAGCACGGCCATGCCTGCCCATGATGCAAGCCGCGATAGATTTTGTTCGTCGGGAACGAACGTGTAATAAGCCGACACCTTCATCATGGATGTATGATGATGAAGATGAATGTGCTTGGTCCAGGGAAGAACATGTTCATGAGCCTGATCATGAACATGTTCTTGGCTCTCTACCTGATCGTCAGTTGCTCCTCGCAGCTGCCGCAACTGACGTCGACATGGTAATTTTCGGCTTAGACACTTCTTCTAAAATGAAGTCTAAAGTTGCAAATTTGCAAAATCGTGTGCGAATTTGCCTATGTTGCAACTTTAGACAAACTTTAGACAGACTGTAGAAGGACAACTGCCTGCAGCTGCAACACGTCCTGCGCACCTACCCGGAAGGCGTGTCCCCATACTTTTGTAAATTCGGTCAAATGTCGTCTGTCCAAAACCAACCAACCAACCGACCAACCCACCGGAATTTAGGCCCGCAGGCGCACGCCTACTCAAAAGTAGATACATGCGATAAAAAATCTGCAGTCCACGACCTTCACATTCGATTTTTTTTCTTTGAATTTTTCCACCGCATACCAAAACTCATCCGCCAAGATCTCGACGAAGAAGAAGCGGAGCTCCACCGAGCCAAGCTAGTCCAGAAAGCCGAATCTTTTGTGAAAGCGTTCTTCAGCATCGGTGATCCCAAGAACATGCTACAGGGCGTGGCTCCAGCGGTGTTCGGGGGGCGTACGCAGGACAACTACGACAAGCGAAACAACGCAAAGGAAATCTGGAAAAGCTTTGAAGAAGAGATTGATTTAGCTTTGGCAGCCCTGACTGCGAGGACGGCGCCGGACAGCAGCAGTAGAGCCTCCTCTTCGAGCACTTTGAGAAGTCCTCGTCCGGAAGAACAGACACAGCTGGGGGCAGTAGTAGAGACGAAAATAAATCCTCTAGTTCCTGCTAGGAGTGCAACACAAACTACTACGTCGTCAAGAAACCATAAATTTTCGACCATTGACAGCTTCTTCGACGAAGAGTGGCTGCAACAAAAATTCCAATACCAAATGCAAAAATGTCTGGGTCTGGAAGAATGCAACTTGTGATGCTGCATTTGGATGCCACAAAAATCTGTATTGCATGAGTACCAAAGGGAATGCAATTTCTGCTACGCTGAGAAGGCGTTTGTCATGCGGGATAGGCATCAAGAAGCCATCAAAAAATCTGCATTGCTAGGGTATGCATCACAGACATCATGGCTCATGCAAAACGTGCATGACAAGTGTCACAATCTTCCAGACCCGACACTTTTACGGTTGATATCCAAACCGAAATCACAAAACCGCTGGAAGAGTACGACACGAACTTACAAACTGAGTTTTTCGCTTCACATATTGAGAGGAAAAATCCCCCCTCCCCATACTGAAAAGGCATGCTGCTAAAAATTTGTGATGCTGATTTGTGACCACAAATCCTGCCTCTCTTGCGAGGAGGCAAATCCAAAGAGTCCGCCGCTTCATAATCATACCGGAGATTTGTCATGCTGTTACGCCTACATCGAAGGCCTCTGCTATGCTAAGCAGCTACACAAAAACACCCCTGCGCAGGCTGAGGCTTTGCCTGCAGTGCCTCATTGCAAGACAGAGCTGATTTGTGTACACAAATCCAGCAACAGAAATTTCCGTTTCAATATGGGGACGGGGGATTTTTCATTTTGATATCACAACTGAGTGGCTTGGCGCTAGCTGCAGCTGATCAACATAGTCCAACAACCGGTGGCAGCCGTGACGCAACGACCTCCGGCGCAAGAACGAGCGAAAGCAGCACTAGTACAGCGCTCGAGAGTACTAGTAGAACCAGCTCTACTGTTCTTGGAGGTCCACCAGAAAACTACTACACATCGAACAGCTCCACCCCTCCTGGTACGCCTCCTACCCACCAGCCTGAACTCTATTACACGAAGCAGTTGCTGAAGTCGACGGAAATTGAGCTGTACTTTCTGGAGAAAGTGAAGAAGAAGTATTTGGAAACTTTAATCAGTTTTGTCAAGACCGTATGCTGTGCAAAAGTATCGTACTCGTTGTACTAATTGCAAATATGCATGACAAATCTTCCTCCTAAGGTAAAACAGCATTACAAATCCCACTTTTCATCTTCTTGCCGAAATTTCCTGTAATGCAATTACTATATATTATATTCATGCGAAAAAAGAGGTAGACAGAGGGTAAACGAGAGGTGGCCGAGAGGTCAAAAAGAGGTCAAAAGAGGTAAAAAAGAGGTCGACAGAGGTGGAGAGGTGGCGCGGGACCCCCTTTCGAGAGGGTCGGCGAGAGGGTGCGCGAGTATAGCCCGCCGAAGGCCCCACCTTAAGGCGGCGCCTAAGTGCCTCAGAGGGTGCAGAGAGGTCAAAAAGAGGGGGCGCGAGAGGTCGACAGAGGTGGAGAGAGGTGGCGCGAATAAGGGGCGACCTCTCGCGGACCCTCTTGGCCACCTCTCGGCCACCTCTGTCGACCTCTACCCGCGAGTATAGCCGGATTATTAGCGGGGACCCCCAAAAGAGGTCAAAAAGAGGGTCTGCGAGAGGTCTGCGAGAGGGTAAAAACGCAAAGTGGCGGGCGCGAATCCGCATGGAAGTCCCCATATTTGGCACTGCAGGCCAGTCGTGGACTTGTTTTGTTCGGCGCCTTTCCGCGCCACCCTCTCGCGCCACCCTCTCGCGCACCCTCTCGCGCAACCCTCTCGCGCCACCCTCCCGCACCACCCTCCCGCGCCACCCTCTCGCGCTACCCTCTCGCGCCTGGCGGCTTCTGTTCGCCCCCGGTGTTCTTTGCAGCTGCTCCCTGCGCAGAGCGCCCACAGGCGCGGGAAGCGCGCAAGTGGTCCTGCGGGTTGGCGCGGCGCAAACAGGCGGAAAGAGCGGGACTCCAGTATGTTTCGTTGTGCATATTAGACCAAAGAAATGTGGTCCGATCGGCAAACAGTCTTGCCCCGGCCCAACAGCCCTGCGCTCCGGCGGCAGCCGGAGCATGGCTGGTTTATACTAGTACGCTACTTTTGCAATGCATAGATAGGGGAAATCAGGGAAAAGGACGAAATTCTTGACAATTCGAGCTTCTATACAACCTACAACGTGATGAAGGCGAATTTGCTGGCGAAAAGATATCACACGAAAAAGTGTTAACCTTAACGGAATGCGTGATGCGGTAACGCATCAGAAAAGGTGCCCAAATTTGTATTGCGTAGCATGCATGGGAGGCAAAATTTGTAATGCATGACTGCTACCGTTAACGTTAACCTTAACACTTTTTTGTTTGATAAAAGGGTGAGCTTTCTCAAGTTCATGCGGGAAGATGCGAAGGGGGGTCGTAAAACTAAAAAAGCGGAGCAGGAACAACTTGATCAAGCATCTTCACAACAGGATGCGGATCAGGATGGCGCGAGTACATCGATCGCGGAGAGGACCACGGAAGAAGTGCACGTGGGCTCCATGACCCGAAAATTAGTGAACCAATTCCTACTTGAGGAATCTTCGCTCCTGCAAGATGACAAGGATCATAACGGCTACAAAAATCTTCCTGGACAGAACGCGCAATCAATCTTCCCGATGCTAACGTTCGAGCATGCGGCTGAACTTTTCTACGAGGCGGTGGCCAATCTGGTGGTGAAGTACAGTGTGGCACAAAATGCGTGCTTGGAGGGAGCGAAAATAAATCGAAGGAATTGCGGAGCGGGAGAGCAGGATGGTAGCTCTTCTATTCCCAACATGGAAGTTGACGAGAACGCCGAGGTTCTTGGGCCGGCATCTGCAGGAGCAGAGTATTAAGCTACATGTAGTCTCCTCGCGGAGGCAGCAACTTCCTGAATACCTCCGGTAGTACCTCGTACCTGCTAGGTGGCGATCGGGCTCTTTCTTGCGGTCCAACTTATGATAATGTACTTTCTTGTTATGATTTTCCTGCTGTCAAGAACATCATCGCAAAAAACACAATAAAAACTGGTGAAAGTTTAAGCTTATTCCGTACGGTTTCACGACCGCCGAACAGTGGTTGCAGTAGTTTCAACACTCATGTGCAGTCAAGGTAGTAGTTTTAGTGCAGAATTCACGACCAGTTGAACTTGTTAGGTAGAGAGAGAAACCCACAACAACGCGGAGAAGAACTCATCCATAATGCTTTTTATTTCCAGTCACATACGATGTAGATTTGAGTTTTAAACAAATTTCTCATGCTTCTGTTTGCCGAACTGCGCCAACTGTACCTATTTCTGCCTTAAGTTTTACTGCACGACCGATGACATCACGACTTCTACTTCTTCTGCCCGTATTTTTTACCAACTGCTTCCAGCACCTGAAATTCTTGTTTATCTGAAATGATCATGATACAACGCGAAGAACCGTTTCAGAATCTGACGCTCGAGAATACAGCAGTAGCACGCACAATAGGAATAGCTGCGAAGTATGATACAGATGCAACCCCCACTTGCGGATCAACGTCTTGTGACGTTATTTTTGAATGCACTCATAGAAAGAGAAAATACCCTCCAGGAGGACCAGGACGAAATATCAATGCGCGGCTTTTACCCATACCATTTCTCTCTGCTTCTTCCAGCTGACAGGACCTGGCAGAAAGTATCGGCGCTGAAGCAGTTTTGCTTCTAAAAAAAGATGACATGAAGTTGTGCTTGTGTCGAAGTCGATCACGGCGCATGATGGAGCTCTTCTTGTTACTCCACATGTTTGAAGATTCTTGCCTTAAATAATCTTCGTAGTCGTGGATTCCTTTATTCGTTGGGCGAAATTGAAAAAGTCATCGTCTCCAAGTCATCAGAGAATTGAGCATCTCTTGGAGAAATTTCATCATGAGGCCTGGTACTACAAGAAGTAGCGGAGGAGACGAGATCACCAGCACTCGACGACAGCGCTTTCAGGTGTGTAATGTGAGTGCGTCAGTGTCAAAAACCACATTGATGGAGTGATATGAGAGTAGAGCGACCGGACCTTCAGCAGGATCGATCCGTGTAAATATTGGGAGGTCAGCGTATTAAGAAACCATCGTGCATCTTTCATGTCCAAACTTGGACCCGTCGTCGTCGGTCGGTCGGTCGTTCTATTGATTCCTGGTATGATTTGCGTCGTCGGAGGACGACAAAAAAACGTAATCGGTACAACCGCCAGACAGGACCCGAACAAGTACCGTTATAGTAGGTACTAGCGCAGCCCTTACAACAAACCGCAAAATGGCCGCCCCGGGCGAGGTGGCCCGGCAGCTCGGGCTGTCCACTAACCCGGAAAAGGAGCGCGGGCAGTTTGATTACCAGGAGGGGTATGCACGGGGGGAAATATGACAGTGCACAATGCTCCCTCCCCCGCATTTGTCATGCAAAATACCCAATCTACCCTTTGCCTCTTGGCACTGTCTGCATGACAAGTTCTGGCATCCCCAATTGCACTACGCTGCAGTGCAACTTTATCATGCAAAACCGGCATTCTTGCTGATGCTTGTAATTGCCGTTCATCCAATACAAATGACGGGGAGGGGGAGTTGTGCACTGTCATAGGAAACCTGTTTCGACTACGTCGAGAAGATGGGCATCGACCCGAAAACGAAAGAACCCACCCCGGTACGGAAGTACTGCTGCTTATCCTGAGTAAAAACGTCCCCCCCCCCCATATTCAAGATGGGAAATCTGCTAGACAAATCTACACACCTAGGGTGTTGCGCATGACAAGTTCGACCTCGTACTGTCATCCTGTTTACCTCGTTCAGACGCATCACAAATCGCACCCACCATGCTGATCGGGGCATTACAATTCGAAAACACGACGAGAAAATGCCTGTCATGGGGATCCGCATGAGAAGCATTTTGAGCATGCGTTTTTGCATGACAACTCTGGGATGGGAACGTTTTTGCTCAGAATACTGCTGCTGCTTTGACGCGCGGGAGGGCAACGCGTGCTGTTTGTACAACATCATTTTCTCCCCCATCGTGCTGTGCTACCACGCTATCCGGATCTACTGCTGCAGTTGCCTCGGGATCCACTTGAAGCGTTCCTTCCACCGGTTCTGCTGCTTCTGCTGCCATGCCTGCGATTGGACCTGCCGCTGCTTCGGGATCATCTGGACCTGCTGTGCCTGGAGTTACGTCGACCATAAATTTCCGCCCTGTCCGAGTTCGCTTGGGAATGTGGGAGGCGACAGTGCTGCACAGTATCCATCGTAAAACTTCTATCGTACCTATAGTAGAAATTGCATTACTACAAGTTTTCTTGGCATAAGAAATGGAGGACTTTGTTATGCTGATTAGCGTACACAGATAGATCTGTCATGCAATATTGCAATTGCTGCATAGCATAGTGTACGTTACTTTTGCACCTGACACACTGGGCCAGGCGGCGACGATACACGAGAAGGTGGTGTGGCTCCGAGCGGGGGAGTTTGGGGTATAGAAGAATTTGTCATGCAGAGCGAGCTTTTGTCATGCAGGAGTGACAAGTCACATTGGTTTGTCATGCATAGAACCACTTAAAACAAAATTTTCCACAGAAATCCAAAGTCGCTGGCGGTGGTGGCAAGTCAGAGAAACCGAAACGACCGTCGATGACCAAGCGGCTCTACCAATCGCTGATCCAGGGGAAACTCACGGACTCGAACATGCAACTGTACCAAGACGGCATCTCCGCCACGGACATTCTGCAAGGCCAGATCGGCGACTGCTGGCTGATGGCCGCGATGGCCTGCATGGCGGAGCGCCCCGGGGCCATTGACAATTTGTTTCTGACCAAAGAGTTGGACCCGCGGGGTAATTATGCACTGCAAAACTATCGTACTATAGTATGAATCGCATGACAAATTTCCTCAGCATGAGAAACAAAATTTGCAATGCGGATTTAACTTGAGACAGAAATTTGTAATGCATAAATGCAATTAGTACGAGTGCGATGCTTTTGCAATGCATAATAAGTACAAAATCCAACTGTTCGACGGAACCGCGGATGGCTGTCGCGGGCAGTGTATGGCGCAAGATAGAAAAGTATCGTACTGTGGTAGGAGTTATCGCATTACAAATTTATTTCTCAGCATGACTACAAATGGAATCTCTCATTCTAAATTACCGTATAGAAAATGGGTTTGTCATGCAATATCGCACTTACTACGCACTTACTACGCACTTACTACTGGTCTATGGTTTGACAACTGTGGTCCGTGCACTTGCTCTGTTCGCCCGTGCCGCAGGTAAGGCACAAACGGTCCAGCCTCCCCAGTCTGGGCGGGGCTGCGGCTTAGGGGAGAGTCTCGCCCCTTAACCCAAAGGGGTGCGTCGTCTCTTCCGTGAGAACAAAAACGTATGGCGTAAAATGGGTCGGGTCCTGGATCGTTCTGTATGTTGGGCTGTCGCGCTCGGCTAGCTGGCCGGGCTGTACTGATCAGGTGTGGTGGGTAGCTCCCGACTGGTTGGCACTTTTCTTGGGGCGACTTGCCGTGGTAGCGCTCGGCTTTTGTATGATGAGGTTGCCGAAAGCGCTTCCTCGCCCACCCCCCGGGGAGGGGATCCTTGACCTGTGGCGCTGGGAGAGGGTGTCCACTACATGATGATGATACAACTTTTCTAGAGGATTAAATGGCGCGTGTTTACCATCGACGACTACATTCCGTGCGATCGGGACGCGTGGGAGCGATCTGGGTATCCTGTGCAAAAGTAGTATCGTACTCGTATTCAGCCATGCATTACAAATCTTTCTCTTAAGGTAAATCCGCATAACAAATTTTATTTCTCATGCTGAGGAAATTTGTAATGCAATTTATACGAGTGCGATACTTTTGCGCTGCATACTGGGGTGGCGAAGCCGAAATTTGCGCAGCCGAACGGAGTATCCACTGAGAGACGAGTATCGCACTCGTGGTACTACCGCATGACAAATGTGCTTACTAAGCCGAAATCAGCATTACAACAAATTCGAATTCTATTTGTCATACTGCGAAAATTTGTAATGCGACTCCTACTACTAGTGCGATATGCATATGTTTGCAATGCATACGGGGAGGAATTGTGGGTGCTGCTGCTGGAGAAGGCGTTTGCAAAACTATGCACTATAAATTCATTCCCGTGCACAGTGTACGAAATGCATCACAAATCTAATCTCCTCGAGCAGGCAAAGCATGCAAGTTGTCATGCTGAATAGGGTTGCAGCACAACTATTGTTATGGAGGAACTGCATTTGTACATCGTGGACGGCAATAAATTTGTTTTGGATAGAAACTGTGCGGATCCTACCAGAACCTGGAGGGGGGAAGCACGATTTGGGCACTGCGGGCGATGACGGGGGACCACTGCCGGTGGTATTCCAAGGAGAAGTCGGGCGGCACCAGGTGGAAGAGGTGGGGTACGAAAGTGCAGCTGTTGCAAGAATCCTCACCGCGCACGGTTCTAGCTGTCTCCCTCCGTAGCTGCTCACTCAGATTCGACTTCGATTCTTGCAGAAAAGTAGCAAGCTGCAGCTTGCATATGAAGAATTTGCAGTCGTAGCTCCTCTTCCACTATGTCCTAGCACTGGGCACCATTGGTATTGGTTCGCTTGCACGTGGTCGGGCTAAACATGCACTTCCTGAGAAGTCCCCGCGATTCGGAATGGCGCCTAACCCTCCCAGCCCTTCCTTGCAACTGCCCGCGCAACTGCCTATTTGATGCGTCGCAGGCGCGCTTACGAGAATGCAAGACCTTGCTACGCTGCAGTCTGCCGCTTCGCCCCCGCGCCGCGTCCCCGCCGCCCGTTGAAGAGATATAGTATTTACACGCGCGCCCCTACCAGCTTCACATGACGCGCTAGATAGATAGCCCGGCGCAGTGGCAGTGAAGGTCCAGCACATACGGTGCGACGTTTTTGATTGTGCTCCGTTTGTGGTCCCGAGACACGACAACTACAACTGTGGGTGATGTTGATAACTTTGTCACGCCTCCATACCAAACTTCGTGAATCAAGAAGATCCGTCGAAGCACCCAGTGTGCCGACACTGCCTGCGACCGGTGGCCAGGTATAAATAATCGAAAACCAACTCCAACATAGTACTTACGTACGAGCAGGAACAGCATCAACGTAAACGTTCGCTTTTCATGAAAATGCTGATGCTGATCATGGTTGATGTGCATGTCAAAACCACTTCCTCGTCGTAGCTCTGCAACACAACTTGTTGTTCTTTCAGGGACAAGCGCAACGGGTCCCTGCAGGGCACGGACGAAACGCTTTCGGTGGACGAGATGTGGGACACTTTGTTTCGCTACAACCGCTATCCTCGGCAAAAGTGACAATGCAAGGATTTGCATGACAGATCCTCTTTGTTTTTCCTTATCCTACTTTTCGTCGTGAGAAATAGTTTTGTGATGCATGTTTCACATCGCAATCGTTTCTTTTGCCTTGCATAATCGGCGGGGGTCGGTGCTCTGTGCCTCTGGCGTATCAAATGCAAAAATGTCTGGGTCTGGAAACTTGTAATGCTAAAGTGTGACTGGTGGGCGCACTCCAATACGCAGCCAAGCATGACAAATTTTTGAGCTGCTCTTGTGTTTCGTTTTCCGCATGGCAAACTGCGTTTCTGCATGACAGACAAGAGGTCCTTTTCCTGCTCCTGCATCACAGATTTATGAGTCATGCCAGACAAGCATGACAAACTTGCATTCTTCCAGACCCAGACACTTTTGCAATCCATATGGCGCGCAGCGGATGGACGGATTAGTTTCCGGGCACGCGTACTCCATCCTCGACGCGCAAGAGCTATGCAATACAAATTTTTCGTCCCCGTGCACGACGTACAAAATGCATCACAAATTGCAATTGGGCATCAACCTTTGTTGAGAATTCATCGACTTGTCGTGCTGAACAGGATGGATTACAGAAAAGTTTTGTCATGCAGAAACTGCATTTGTACAACGTGTCCGGCAAATTATTTGCTGTGGATAAGAATTCAAGGAATCCTCCAGGACGGGCCCGTGTCATTTGAAGCTCTACCCCCAGCAAAAAGTGTCACAGTTACACATAGTGTTGCAGGACCAGCAAGGCAGACAAGTCCTGTCATGCGGGACATGCTTAGTAGATGCCTCGTTTCATATGTGTTTTATTCGCTTGTAATCTTTGCAACATTGCAAGTTTTCTACTCTGCCATGCCGAGCAAGTTTGTGTTGCTGAAGTTCCAACAAACGTGTACCTACTGTAGCCCTTTTTTCTAAGGATAGGCTCGTGCGAATCCGGAATCCGTGGGGCGGGGGTGAGTGGAAAGGTGACTGGGGCGACAACTCGGCGAAATGGGAAGAGTTTCCAGCGGTACTATACTTAGCAGGTCGGCTTTGTCTGTCATGCAGAACGTGCATAATGATAATCATGTTTTACATATCCCAGTCGCACAGAAACTCGAAAAAGCTTGTCATGCACGAGCTGCAAGCAAGTCAGCGTTTGTGATGCGTGGATGTCGATGTGGAAATCACAATACAGGTCAAGGCGAAGATCCATGTGGCGAAGGATGATGGCTCTTTCTGGATGTGCTGGGACGACTACTGTGACTACTGGGACCGGCTGGGTATCGCGGATCGGACCCGCAACATCCACTCCCTGCACCTGGAGTACAACCAAACCTACAAGCTGACCGGCCCAACCCTATTCTAAGCAAAAACGTCCCCACCCCATAGTCAACAAGTTGGTAAATCTGCAAGACAGATGCAGAAGTTTCGGGAGTCGCGCATGACAAGTTTCCCTCTGTATTGTAGGGTAGTTGAGCAAGGACAGGCCCATCACAAACCCATAGCTTCATCCCGTTTACAGCATTACAAATTTCAAAACACACGACCGGGAAATGCCTCTCACGGGCCTGTGCATGACAAATGTTCCTGTGATTGCAAATCTGCATGACAGCTCTGGGCGGCTGGGGACGTTTTTACGCAGGATACACCCGGGGACTGTTTTACGGGTGCTACGAGTACTGGTGCTGTTTGTTGGGCTGCAGGAGGTTGTATCAAATGCAAAAATGTCTGGGTCTGGAAGAATGCATGTTTGTCATGCTTGTCTGGCATGACTCTTAAATCTGTCATGCACGTTACCCAAGAGCTCCACTTTTCTGCGATGCAGAAACGCAGTTTGTCATGCAGCATGGGCAACACCTAGAAACTCAGAAACTTGTCATGCTGAGGTAGCATTTGTGGGCTCATCATGAAACGCTACCCAGCATCACAAGTTTCCAGACCCAGACACTTTTACATTTGATAGGTTGTACTGCCCGAAACAGTCATCAAAGGAGAACGTGTATGAACTGCAAAAGCATCGTACTAGTATAAACTGCATTACAAATTAGCCCAGCACTACAAATTTGATTTGTAATGCTGATTCACCTTGAGAAAGAGATTTGTAATGCATAAATGCAATAACATACTTTTGCAGTGGATAGCGTCGCGTTTGACGGTAAGCACCACCCCAACTGCTGCGGCTGCACGCGGAGCAGCATCGCGGATCGGATTTAGATTTTTTGAAGAGGAAAGGTGGTGATGGAGATGGAGATGGGTCTTTAATTTCTTGGTGATTCCTAACCAACGCTCGTTACTGAAGTAGAACACCAAACAAAAAAAAAGTCTGAACCACGCCGACTTTTTTTACTACTCGTAGGTACACTATAGACACAGACACTTAGGACTACTTTTATCAAGATGTAGTGAAAGCAAAGAAAACTCAAAACTCGTTCCCTGTAGCAAAAGACCCGACATCTCAAGTGTATTCTGACTTAATCTACTAGTCGAAACTGCAAGCCTCAAGCAATACGTAGAACAGCAGTCCGATATGAACGAAGCGGTCATTCTGTCTGACAGAAAATACTTGTAGTCCCGCCCCCGCGCCGATGACCGACAAAAAAGTCGCAATTATCATATATTACCAACTTCTTCTAGAACAAAAGATACTAGCGCACGAATTGATGGTGCCCGAGGACGTCTCAAGATTGATAGTAGAGAAATGTGAATTTCAAAAAATAATGTGGAAAACAAGAGAAACAAACAAGGAGCCAAATGATATTCATCGTGTATGCTTGGACAAATCTCCCGTCCGATTTGACCCACTTCTGCTGTACAAAAAACACATTTGGGAGCAGTTTCTCATCGCAATACAGGACCCCATGAGGACACATGTGTTTTCAACAATTATTGGATGACGAGGACGACCAAAATGACTACTGAATTTGAAGATCTTGAGAACAACAACAAACTCAATTACCCTGTTTGTCTTTGAGAGGAGGATGTGTGGTCTTAGTTTGAAACTGATCTTCATTCCACGTTGTTGTACCTGTCACACATCTTCATCTGCTCCTCGTTCTCATGATCACAGCGACTCCGACTTTAGTATGTTCATTTCATTTTTTTCCCCCATGTTTATGTTTTCCCTTTTAGTCCTTCGATAAAATGCGATTGAGAATTGGAATTCTGTAGCGTAGCTGACACTGTCGATCCATCCCCCTGGTGGATTCATTGTTTATTCGAATTGTGCCCTAGTGCTTCTTTCTCAACTGCTACTGCAAGTGCAAGGAGCTCGAAGTAGAGTACAATGTTGAACCTTCGTCGACCCCCAGTCGACGCTCCGTCCTCCATGGCCCCTCCGGCTTCCTTCGCAGCTTCAATTGCAGAAAACCCCGGCGAGGTGGACAACACGGCTTCAACTACAACCACCTCTCAAGAAACTACCAAAGCACCGGCCGACACCGCCGCCAAGCCGCAGCAAAAGAATAATGCAGGAACTACGAATCCAGGAACAGGAACCGCTCTCGGTGAGCAAGTGATGCGGAAGGTGTTGCAAGATTTGATCGCCCAGAAAGATTATAAATTGCAAAAGCAACGGACTAGTAGTACTTCTACTTGCATTACAAATTACCTCAGCATGACAAATGGAATTTGTAATCCTGTTTTACCTTGGGATGAAGATTTGTAATGCATAATCGCAATTACTACGAGTACGATGCTTTTGCACAGGATACAGATAAACTCGAACGGAATATCGAGATATTGACCGAGTTTCTCACCGCCCCGAATATGCCGGGGTTGACCGGAAATTTACTCGACGCGGAGGGGTTCCCACGCGCGGATATTGACCTGTATCAAGTTAGAGACTATGAATTGCAAATATGTCTGGTCCGGGAAGGATTCAACTTGTGATGTTGTCTTTGGGTTCTAAAAAAATCTGTATTGCATGACCATGCATTTCTCATGCGGAATACATAGGCATCGCAAAGGCAAAGCCCTCTAAAAATCTGTGATGCTAGGCCAGGTAGTACCGGCTTTGTCGGTTATGCAGAACATGCATTACAAACCTGGCAGTCTTGTTCCAGACCCAGACCTATTTGCAGTTGATAGAGACGCGCGGAACAAAATCGCGTGCTACCAGAACGACCACAAGGCTGTGATGCGGAAAATCGACCAGTCGTTGCAGTCCCTGCACGCGCTCTCCCGTGTTTCGGTGCCGATAGCAAACTCTACCTCTTTTGCGTCGGGCTTGTCCAGCAATAATAATGTTGCCGGAAGTTCAAACAAACTGAAACTTCGCAGCGGCCCGCCCTTCGCGGTGATTGACAAGGTTTTCCCCGGGTCCCCGGCGGAAGAAGCGGGCGTTCTCCCTGGTGACTTAGTGAAACGGTTCGGAACTGTTACGCTCGGCCAGCCGAAAACGCTGACGGTCGCCGACTGCTTCCGGGAAATCAAAACGCAGGTGGTCGCCGGACAGGCCGTGGTGTTGTTGGTCGAACGGGATATCATGGAGCGGAAAGAGGCAGATGCTTCGTCGGGTGGTAATGAGCTGGCCAGCTTGAATCTGATGACCAATGGGCCACAACTCCTACTAGGGACGAGAAATAATGGCGCACTAAGCAGTAATCCGACAAGTGCTAATCAACATCTCATCGCAGCACCGATGCTGGACGCTGCTGCGGCGACCACGAACACAAACACAACGGCACAAGAACTACAGCAACCAGTGCTTGCAACCGTGCAGACAACTAATGCTCTCAGCGGGAGAGAGGAAAGAGAATTGGAGTTGATTCCGCGTTATCAAATGCAAAAATGTCTGGGTCTGGAAACTTGTAATGCTAAAAGTGGATGATAGCCGGATTGCAATACGCAGCCAAGCATGAAAAATTTTTGAGCTGCTATGTGTTGCGTATTCCGCATGAAAAACAACGTTTTTACATGACAGATAGGAGAGCCACTTCGTGCCCATGCATCACAGATGCTCGAGTCATGTCAGACATGCATGACAAATGTAAGAATCTTCCAGACCCAGACATATTTGCAATGCATACACGTTCCTGGAGTGGAACTGGGTTGCTTGGATGCCACATCGTGCCACTTGATGCGTGAAAAGGAGAAGAAAACACAATACTGAACCATAACTGGCTGGAAAATACAAAAATGAACAAAAAGACCTCATATTCTCAAACAAACGATGAGAAAACGGCTGGTCTGAAAGAGAATCATAAGAATACACGCTGGATCATAAGCACTTCGATGTTGTTCCACTCCTCATGATATCGATTTTCCAAAATCAAATATTTATCAACACAAGAAAATTGAGCTTCCTTTCTTTCTTTCTTTCTTTCTTTCTTTCTTTCTTTCTTTCTTGTCGTGCCTGGGCATGGCGTCAAATGTTCAAGGCCCTGAAGAAATCCTTCATGAAGATCTCTCTTGTCCTGTCCTCGATATCTATAACCTATTGGTGTAGAAATTTGAAAAACTTCATAAACATCTATTTCTGAAAAATGAAACTGAAAATAAAGATAAACAAATGTCTTGTCCTACAGAAAATAAACAAACTATCTTTCCCTTCAACAATCCAAATATAAACCTGTCCTGTTCCTAATTGAAAGTCTCGATCTGTGTCAATCTAAACCAAAAATTTCTTTGCCAGCCGGATAATTCTGAAAAAAAAAAAAACAAATCTTATCCTTCTTGATTTCAGCACCAGCTCTTTGTCTGGCCATTTTCTACTCTATCTTATTGTTTCTGATGTTCACATTCAATTACAATTTCTGATCTCGATTGAGCTTCCTACATCCAAATCATCGTCATTGAAATCATCCTGTGACACCATCGATCGATATTCTGGAAGGATGATAGATTCTCGTTTTCTTTTTTTGATATCAATGCCTTATGATCTTGAATTGGTTTTGGATCATCTCATCATCATATTCTTTGATTTTCTTCTGATTCTGAATCTCTTTCTTTGTTTCTTTCTTTCAATGTTCGGATTTCTTTCATTTTTGAAAGAAAGAAAGAATCTCTTCTATTGATTCATTTTTGTCTCAATTCCTGGAAAATTGATGTCGATTTATATCACAGGGACAGGATCATAGGTGGGATATGCCTTGGAATTCCTGAATATTTATATTATATATTTTGAATTCCGAAATTTTTTTTGAAAAAATTTTGTCGATGTATTCATGTTCATCTGGGTTTCATGTTTGGGTTTCTGTTTCTGGTTATAGTTTGTAATGATTGGGATGATCGGATCACAATATATCAAATTCCTAATTTTCATAATGAATCGAAAAAAAAAAAAATATGAATGAATCTAATCTCGATCTGTGTAGAATGAATGTTATGATGTGTGTGTTTTTGGTCTCATTGAAGAAATGCCATTGATTTTTCTCTTTAGATCTCCCCTGAATTTCTCTTTACATTTCGAAATTATTGAATTTTATCTTTTAAATTTCAAGATATCTTCCAAATTTTTATTTTTCGAGATCAATTTCGGTTATTTCTAATTTTCGAAATTCCATGTGAATGAATGTCATTCTAACCATGAACTATGATGAGATTTTAAATATTTTTATCCCAGAAGAGAAAACATGACATTTTCGGAAGAGATTCATTGGATTTGGATCCAGATCAAAACAAAAGAGAAAATATGACCTCCATTGATTTGGATAGAGAAATAGACTTAGATGGATGATTTTGGATGGATGATGAGGAGAAATGTGTGGCGCAAGAAAGAAGTGCTCAAGTTCATGTTTCCCAATCAAATGAATCAGAATCTTCTCTATCGATGATATCGTGGTGAGTCGAAGAAGCAATTAATTATGTGATTTTCTTGTTTGTAGTTGTGCACCAGATTGGATTCGTGTATAGGCTCTCGAATATTGTCGAAAACTGGAAGTGAGAGTGGATTTCTTAGAGCCCATAGCCATAGAGTGGCTGGGATGAAAATGATTTTCATCTGTTGGCGTGGAAAAAGTGAATTGTAATGTAGAATTGCAACTCATCTTCGCACATGTGGTTTGTTGTCATCGCAAATTTTATCTATCATCAGAGCCTTTGGCCCGTGGTGGCCCTGGATCGAGTCAAGAGCTCATCCTTCGGCGAGAAGCGTAGCGATTTTTACGACCACCTGGGACCATCTCCTGTCGTGATTTCCTCCACCCTTCCTTAATTGGGTATGTTGATACCCGTGGTTTTAATCGTTTTCTTGCCATCGAATGTAAAGATCGATTTGGGTCTCTTGCATTTGATTTGGAAGGATCCTGTATATATTTTTCGTGCAACTAGCTCTAGCATTAGCTTGCCTAGAACGCCACTCAATTTTCGTTCCTGCTGCATGTGGTGCGCACACACCACCGGACAAAAAATATTGTAAGTATGCATGATAACCACTCGTCGAGCTCTTTCTTCGAAGAGTTGGCATGTGTTGGTCCTCTGCACGGTGAGCTGGCAGGTCATCATTCACAAATTTGCATGACAGGTTTGTTCCATGAGACCCAAATCTACTTCTATTTTTTCAGATTCGTAATTGCCAAGCCCAATCGATCTGGACCACCGGTGAAAGCGAAACCCCACCCAATATGAAGTGCAAAAGCATCCCATCGTACTAGTATAAATTGCATTACAAATTTCCTGAGCATGACAGATAAAATTTGTAATGCTGTTTTAGCTAAGGAAGGCGATTTGTGTTTGTCATGCATGTCTGCAACTAGTACGAGTACGATAGTACTTTTGCAGTGCATACCCAATGAATGTCGTTGATTCGGACTTTTTCCTTCTCCTGAAGTGCGCTGCTGGCGTGGTCTACTCCCTCGTTTGGCGCTAGTTCATTTGGCTTCTTTTCTTGATTGGCAGTAGGAGACGCGCGGGTGGCTCTCGCAGTGTGATCGTCCTCGTGGTTGTCTTCCTCACGGGATTTTGCCGTTTTTTTATCGACAAGTTCTGTTGCTGAAGAAGCAGCACTTGCGGCGGCTGCTGCTGCTGCTGTCGAGGCGGCTGAAGCTGCACTGCTGTATGCAATGTAAATTTCCTGTACATGATGTACAAAATGCATGACAAATTTCGCTAACTTGCAGTGCCCAACTTGTCATGCTAGACTAGGATTGAAGGCAAGTTTTGTGATGCAGTGACTGTATTTGTACGTGTACGGGAAATTTACTGTGGATATGCTGCTGGCGCTGCTGAACGGGTTTTGCAGGCGGCGCAGCATTATCAAATGCAAATATGTCTGGGTCTGGACGAACACTGCAACTTGTCATGCAAATTCTGGATCGTGCAAAAATGTGTGTTGCACGCATGGCAAAAGCTGTCCACTTTTGACCAAATTGACAGGAAGTTTCTCATGCAGGAGAGGCATGATAGAGACCGCAAAGAATCTGTCATGCTGGGTCTCGCATTCCAGACCTTATGGGTCATGGAAAATCTGCATGACAAGTCTCGCAATCTTCCAGACCCAGACATATTGGCACTTGATAAGCATTTGGTCACGCAGGTGGTACATGTCGCAGCGGGGGAAGAGGCGGTCTATATCGTAAGGAAAAATCATCCCTCCCCATATCGAAACGCAGTTCCTGATGCTAGACTTGCGTACACGAATCAGAGTTGTCTTGCAGAAAGTGCTTGGCGGCATTTTCTAGGCCTGTTTGGGTACTATGCAGAAGGCTAGCAATTGCGCATGGCCAACAGGTTTGCAGTACTCGAAAGCGCATGAGAGACTTGGTCTGGAATGCGTCAAATGGCTCCCATTACCTTATGTGCACGACAAAGCTGATTTGTGACTACAAATCAGCATCACAAGTATCCGTTTTGATATGGGGAGGGGCTAAGATTTTTCATTTTGATAGTCTAGGTCTGCGTCGAATAGTAACACACAGGATTGCGGTATGGACAGAACAAATTTTGTCAAATTCACCGACTACTGTGCAGGTTTTGCATTACAAATTTTTTTAGCATCGCAGCTACTTATTCCTTGTATTGGAGAAACTCTAGGGCAATCCCCTACGAGGGTTGGCTGTGGTGCATTTTTAAGCATGACAGAAGGTTCTGTATTGCAAAAATGCGCATGAGTGATCGCGACGAACTTTTTTTGTATGATATGCAGCGTCGCAGCACCAGGATGGCTTAACCTGTCCACCTCCGGCGTGTAGTAATCGCTTGAAAAGGTCCCGTGCTGTGCTACCTGTTTGTCCTCAACGGCCCCGTGCAGTTCCTTGTTAAAGGACGTGACCTTATGTTTCAGGCCCCCGGTCGCACTTATCCCATGAAAAAACTGTTTCACTGTGATGGTTTTGCAAGATCCGCATCACCAGTTTGCTACACATGACACAGAAAGTTTGCCATGTGCGCTTCCCAAGGGAAAACACGCTAAAAAATCCAATGTCTTGCAGGTGTGGCAAGCCAAATAGTTCTGTGTTCCATTCTATGCATCACAAGTTCACAGTGAAACAGTTTTTTTTTGCGATAGCACTCCCTTCGCCATTACTCTCGTCCCACGCTCTCTTGGTTTCCTCGACGAGGCTCGTGGTCGGGCGAAGCGCGTATGGAAGCGTCAGAATTGAAATCGTCAAAGTTGAAATAGTTCTTTGTGATGCATAAAATGCAACGAAGAAATTGCCTCTATTGATGCAGAGGACGTAAGGGAAGATGCAGATTGCAAGCCTGTCGAGGGGTAGAAATTGAGCTGCTAAAGTAGCATGACAAATACAGCAGGCGTCTTCCTTACCGAAACAGCATCACAAACTGGATTTCAGTTCTACCCAAATTTGTCATCATGCGCCACTTGAAAACAAGGCGCCAACGGGTTAATCGTTTTATGCGTCACAAATTATTTCAACTCTGATGATTTCGATCCTGACACTTCCATAGCGCGAAGATGGTTTTCAATCGGTGAGCGTCCTCGTCGATTCGCTCCCGTTTCTCGCTGCCAATGTCGCTGGGGTACAGTTTCGTGCTTGGCGCGTCTCTATCAAATGCAAAAGTGTCTGGGCCTGGAAGAGCCAAACTTGTGATGCTACATTTGGATTGATTGATGTAGCTACGCCCCCTGACGTACCTCGGTAGCCGATTGCTCTACCAGCCGGAGATGCTAAATTCATGCCTATCTGTTCGCGTTGCACCTCTTGGTTCGTCATACAAAACGACTGGTGAGCAATTACCCGGACTGCCGGCCCTAATTTCTGCCGGTTTTGGTGTTTTAGGGAGTTACCCGCAACGCCCCCGCGGAGTTGGCGAAACCCTGATAGCGCGTCGCAACCCTTGGCGGACCTGAACGACCTGAGACCATCCCCACCTTTGGATGTGTTGTCTCCCGCTTGTGCTGCGCGTTCTGCTTCGAGCCGCCCAGACCCTGCGCCCCGCGGGATCTCGGTTGGTACAATGTTGGTTAGTACAAGTCGTATCCTGATCGCGGACGGCGGTGTTGTAGTTGGGGGGGCTACTTCTTTTCTTGAGGGGTCGAGGTAGTGGCATACTCGGAGCACTGCGTGATTCTAAGTTAAAACAGGGGTGAGCTGTTGCAGTCCCGGGGTCCTGCTGCGCTCTGCTGCTCCCAATGATCATTGCCATTTGGGGTCAGGCTACCTGTTTTATAACCATCCACGCAGGTCGGCTCCTATTGGGTCCTTTTTCAAAAAAAATTTTTTTTGCTCCAACTTTCCGCTACAGTGCCTACCTCTTGGGTCCTTGGTCCTACTCGTTCTGGTCCAGGGTTGAGCAAGGCCCTGGTGAAGGAAGTGAATCGTCGAAAAAGTAGATGGAACGAGCATCGCGCACGCCCGAAGGCTGATCACTTTGCCGCTGTTGTCGTCTTGACTGTGGGGCTTGGTTCTGGCACGTTCAAACTGCATGACAGATCTTCGCGTCGTGCAACGCCCTTGCTATCGCCATGCCTAATGGGGGATCGCAATCGCCCCTGAACCACATCACCCGCATGACATCGCTTCTGCCGTGGTTTTTGATCGCTTCGCTTGCAGGCGGCTTTCGTTCCATTTGCTTTTAGACTTCCCGCACCCCCCCCCCACAGGAAACCCCCTTTCGGGGAGCAAAGACAAAAGTGCAGAAGTGTACGTACGTGAGGCCATGCGTTTTTGGATTACTCTCTTTTCCTCTGTGTCGCTCCGTGCTGTGGCTCTCGCTACCCCTCGTCGTCGCCGGGACCGAGCAGGAACATCGAGTGCTCCGATGTGTGATGGATAGGAGCGGCCGCCCCGCCGGACGGCTTGCGCTTTTTTCCTTTTTCTCTTTTTTTCATCTTTGTGCAGCTCTATATGTACAAAACGTCAGTCAGGTGTCTGCTTGGTTTCAGTGTGGTTATCTCGCGCGCTCTTTTTCGTCGGTCGATTTGCCGCCATGTCTACAACCGATTCTGCGCACTCCGGGTCGTCGTTCGCTACTTTGCTATCATCTGGGGGTAGCTACTATTTTCCATTCCGCCTGGTGCTACGAGGTCCCTCGCTCTTCATGTAGGTAAGGGGTACTACTATGCGGGGAGGGATGGGCTTGAGGGGGTATCCGTCGGGGTTCGACGAGTGGGGTTCTTCTTTTCTTCTTTTTTTTACTTGGCTTTCGTATTTGCGGACGAGGAGGAAGAGGCTGAGGAGGAGTGAGAGGCTGGCTGGTTGCTGTTGTTCCGGCTGCGTTCCAGTTCGCGGAACAGGTCACCGACCATCGAGAACTGGCTCGTCGACGTAAACATGGCACCCGGCCTCGCCGGTTGTGCCTTGCTTTTCTCTGTTGCCGCTGTTTCCTGCTTTTCTGCTTCGGCCCTCCCGCCGAGCCCGTTTGCAGGTTTCGCGTCCTCCCGATCTCCCTGCGTAGCCAGTTGCTCTGTTCCGTGGGTCTTCCGTGTCTCGGCTTGCTCGCTCTTCGGTGGCGCCGCTTCTGCGGTGTTTTCCGCTGCGGAATTAGCGGCCTGTCGCGGCGCCTCGTTCTGTTTAGGTGGTGGCTTTTTTCTCGCTGGGTTGGCTTCCTCCTGTTTTTTGCTGGTTTGCTTCTGTTTTTTGCTTGCCACACCCGGGAGCGCCTCCGCCTCCTCTGCAGATCTCTTCTTTCCGCCCGCCTTGGGTTGCGGCGGTTTGGCTTCCGTTGCCTTCGGCTTCGGTCCGGCAGCCCCCTTCGCCTTTTTCTGTTCCGGAGCTTTTGCTGGGGCTTTTCCTGCTGCCGTGGCTACTGGTGGCTTCGGTTTCGGCCCAGCCGCGCCCTTTGTCTTTTTCTGTGTCGGGGCCTTTGCTGTTGGTTGCTCTTCTGCCGCGGCTGCCGGCGCTGGTGGTGCTTTTCTGTTGGGCTTTCTCTTTTCGCCTGCGTCGTCGTCCGACTGCTCTGAAACCCTCCTGCGTTTTGGTGGCGGTGTTTTTTCTCCTACCGGCTGTGGTGGTGCAGGCCCCGGGGCTTTCGCTTTTGCCTGTTTTTTCTTTGGTCCTGCGCCGCTAGTCGACTTTTTTCCGGCAGTCCCGCTACTCTGACTCGCCCCCTGTGGCGCCTTGGGCTGGGGTTGTGTTCTCTCGGCTTCTCGTTCTTTTCGTGCCCGCTCTGCCGCCTCCTCGTCTGTTTCTACTCCTAGGGCCTGGGCAAGGAAAGCGCCGCGCTCCTTTTTGCTCATCCGTTGCCAGGTCGAAACCGGTCCGAACGCAAATAGTTCCTCACCGAACTCATAGATCGGCCAGTCCATGTTTTTGTCATGTCCGGAGATGTTGACGAACCTGAGGGGGATCTCATGCACGCCTTGCGCCGCGTTTAGCTCCGTCCGGTTCTGGCTGTTTTTTCGCAGGACCCGATGGCCTAGAAGTTGTAGTCCCTCGATTGCTTCTACCAGGTCCAAAGCGATCCCTTGGCCTTTCCGGATCGGTCCTTTTGTTCCGTCGTGAAGTGTCTGGTAGTTTTCTAGCGAAATTACGAAGCTTTCTCCTCCATCCGACTGTTGTTCCTGGATCAGCAATGGCATCGCATACAAGGCGTTGTTGATGTATGCTGCTGCCCGCTGTTCCTTCCTGCCGGTTTCGGTCCTCAGGTGTGTTCGCACTGTCTTCACCTGCAAAACGCTCGGCCTTACTACTGTCCCGAGGATGTCCGTCTCACTGCATGCGATTCCATCACCGGCATTATTGGCTTCGATTTTAAAGAAGCGGCGGCGGTGGGCGGTTCTCTGTGAGGGTTCCTCACTGAGCCCGGAACGATCCGGGACGAACCCCGTGCACCGTAGATCACTTGCTGGTGGCAACCTCGTTGACGCGCCTGCTGCCGCTGCGTCCAACAACGCGACATCGGCCTGGTTCTTGTCGTCGATGTCAGCCGCGTCTGATTCTGTCAGACCTGTGCTCGTTGCTCCGTGAAGAGAAATCGGAAAGGTCGCCCACTTGATCAATCTGTCGGGATCTGTCAAGTACCCAGCCTGCGCCGCTGACCGTAGAATCTTGATGCCTAGCAGATACGGGTCGACCAAAGCCAGAACGTTTTCGCTGAAGATGATACGGTAGAACTCGCCACCTCCGGTCTTTGCCTTCTCCGCTAGTTTTGCTATGGCCTCCCAGCTAAAGCCCAGCGACCTGGCTGCGCCGAACGAAATGTCTGTCAGTAGCTCTGTCCAGTCCTCTGGCTTGAAGATCAAATGCATAGCCGGCAATCGGTAAAGCAGCGGGGAGAGGAAGAAGACCTGCACTGCTGTTCGAAGTTCCTTGCCGTCCATCCGGGGCTGCGCGACCATCAGCTGTTCCGTGTGGTGTTGTGCCGTCCCGATCGCTCTTCTGACTTGCGTCCTAAGTGCCGCGCGCTGCTCGTCGATACTACTCAGGCTGATTGTCACTCCCAAGATCTTCGCAGCTTTCTTCTCGTTGAACTCGATCCCGAATGGGGAGAAAACCTCACGGACCTGCTCCGACTGTTCTGCTGTTCCGGAAAAAACGTATTCGCACTTTAACGGCGCAAGATACTGACCTTCACTTCGGTAGATGTCTTCGTAGACCGTTTTCACAGCACTCAGTAGTCGCAACGCTAGTGCGTGGTCTGCAGGTTTGTACCTGAGACAAAGGGTCCCATCATCGACAAATTGAAGCGCTGAGGAAGTTTTCTGCCGCGCTGGCTCTTCCGGGCTCTGGAGCTTTCCGGATTGATGTGTCTGCACGTACACCTTCCGATATTTGTTCCAGGTCTGTGTCCGCCGGTATCCTGTTGTCGATCCGCCTAGCGATCCCGCATCGAACCAAAGCTCGTCAATTTCGCTCGTGCTGTAATCTGGGAAGGACGTGTCGATGTCGTTGTCGCCTTTGTAGAGCTCCCTGATACTCCTTCGCAGTTTGTGGGTCGCGCCGTCGATTTTGCCTGCTACTATTCGACCTGTTTCGTCGTAGCACTCTTCGAAGAATTCGGCCACCTTCTGCACCCCGGCCATGTAGACGATTGTTCCTATTAGCATGCACTCTACGGAGCCTTGGATGAGGTCGCGATGTGCTTTGACCTCGCCGTAGTGGTTCCCGTTCCTCAGGAAGATCTTCTTCGACCACGTAGTGAGCATGATCAACTTGATAAACGTCGGGTGCAAGCGAGCGCGTCTCATACACCGCACGGCTGTCGGCAACGTCAGGCAGTTGTAAAAATTACTAGCGTCGAGGCCCATTAAGAGCTTGATCCAGTCGATTACTTCAACTGCTGCCTCTGCTGCTTCTGTGGATAGGTTGCTACTACTCTTGCCTGCCGTCGCTCCTTCTTTTTGGCTCTCCTCCGTGGTCTGTTCTCCTCCCGTGTTCCCGTTCGCGGTCGGTGGCTCGGTTGCTACTGCTTTTGCTCCTTGATCGCCGTCGTTCTTGCTTGTCTCGTCTTTGCCGTCGTAGCCGTCGCTCAGTTCGGCCCCGTGGCAACTCTCTAGCACTTCTAGCAGCTGGAGCGTGCAGGAGGCTGCCGGCTTCCCAGCTGCGCCGCACCGGGTGAAAACGTCATTGATGTCGGCCACTCGCGTCGCAATGTAAGTTAGGTGGCTTACTAGGAGTTTCATTACTGGGGTGTTCTTAATAACGGCGCGGAATTTGCTGACCTCCGTAATCGGCCCCGACGCTTTCGTCAGGATCTCGACCTGCAGCACTGTAAGCGCGTGCGGGATGAGCTGGCTCATGTTGCCGGGGGAGTTAATCGCCTTGCCGACTTTCCGCAAGAAGTCAGTCACTCCTGCAGCAACTTCCTGCAGTTGGCTGTCGGTGAGGGATTTCAGCCCCTCGACGCGCATTCCGTCGGCGCCGGCGGCTTCGCCATTCATTCTACCCAGGGTTTTACGTAACTGTGGCCCAGTAGTGACGATCTCCGGGACGTGTTCCGACGCGTCCGTTAATTGCTGGAAAGCTTTGTTGAACTCGACTTTGTTGAACGTGTGCCCGAGGCCTTCGGCAGCCCGAGTCAGTTCGTTTTTGAGTAGGTGATAGAAAGCGACCTCCTCTGTCACTTTCTCCGTCCCTTCTACCCAGTCCGGCTGCTCTTTCGTGCCTATGTTGATCTTGCTGAGCTCGCCTGCAAGTTCGCCACGCGCTTGCCCCGTTACTAGCTTCCTGACCCTTCTTGCTTTCTTGTAGATGCTGTCCTCGGTGTCGTCTTCTTCAAGTTTCGGGTAGGTTGCTTGCCATTTTTCTAGTAGCTCACGCGCCTTCTCCTTCTTCATGCGCGTGTCCTTCTCGTCAGCTGTTTCAGTCGTGCTGGCAGGGCCCGTCTGCTCAGGTTCATTGCTTTGCTGCGTCTTTTTCTGGTGCGCCTTCCTTCCCCCCTTCCGGCCGTAGAATGCTTCCATCTGCTGGGTCATTAAATTCTTTGCCTTCAGCGGGCACTCCGTTTTCAGAAGATCCCTGATCCAGTTCTGTATGCCGTCGAGACCTACTTCGCACGCGCTTGGCATTTCTGCGGCTTCGAGGACCGGCGCCAGTTGTTCTTTCTTCGCTGCCCCCCTAGGCCAGGATATGGCGCCGGGGAAGGGGGCGCACTTCTCGAATTCCGCCTTGCTCTTCAGGACCTTGACTCTGCCCGTGGCCGCGGGTCCGCCCGGTTTTTTATCAGCGTATGTTGCGTTAAACGCTGTCGGCTTTTTGCCTGCTGTTCCAATGTTGTTTCGATCTGCCCCGGTTGTTCCCTGCCCCGTTTCGTCCTTCGTCGGCCTCCACCGGATTACTGTATGGAGTGCTAGATGGTCCGCCTCGGCTTCATCTGGGGTCTCGTCGTCCTTCAGCCACTGGCAGCGCGTTTGCTTCTTGCCGAACTCATACTGCCAATTGGCCGGCACCTTAGCCCGCTTCTGCCTCACCTTGAGCGAGTTTGCGTCTTCGGCGCCTACTAGAGCGAAGTCAATCCGTCTGGGTGTGGTCCGAAAGCAGGTCGGGCCTGCCGGGCAGCGGTACTTGGTATAGAGGGACATTAGGCGAGCGAGGGGCGCTAAAACTTCCTCGTAGATGACTGGCGCTACTTTCTCCCGAGCGAATAGAAATTCGCCGTCGGCGCCCTCGTAGAATTCGGCATTCATATCGCCGCCGAAAATTCGGAGGTCGGCGCGCTTCGCTGTCGCTTCTAGTTCTTGCAGCAGCGGTTTCATTTGCTTCACGACTGCTGCGCGTTCTTCCTCCTTGTACTTTGCGATATATGTGTCGCGCCTGTACAGTCCACCTGTATTGCATGACCAGCAAGCATGACTTTGCGATATATGTGTTGGATGCTCAGAAAACCTGTATTGCATGACCAGCAAGAGGACTCAAATTTGGCTACGCGGAGAGGGCATTTGTTGTGCTGGATGCGCATAGGTAAGCGCTCAAAAAGTCTGTGATGCTATGGCATACATCACAGATATCATGGATCATGGAAAATGTGCATGACAAAGTTGTGCTCTACTTCCAGACCCAGACATTTTTACTTTTGATAGTCTCGACTGACCCAGGTTGGCTCGTACCCGTCCGGAATCGCTCGTAGCGGCGCCATATCCTGTGCAAAAGTATCGTACTCGTAGGAATCGCAGTTATGCATGACAAATCTGGTTTCTTATCTCAATCCGCATTACAAATTTCAGTTCTCTTTTTGATATGAATTTGTCATGCGAGTAATACTAGTACGAGACTTTTGCAATGCATACGCCAACACAAATGCCATCGGAAGTTTTGGATCAAATTTAAATGTCTTTCCCTCCCCAGCGTCCGCCCCGATGTCATCCACTGACACGTCTGCTAACACCACCCCGGCGCGCTTGTTCTGGGAGAAGTTTAAAATTCTGGTCCGCTTCCGAAATAATTCGCTCTGGTATCAACTGCAAAAGTGTCTGGGTCTGGAACAAGGTTCCGCGATTTATTGTCATGCAGTTGTTCCAAGCTCTAGCTCTGCCAAGTCTGGAATATGCAGGGCCTAGCATGATCTTCACAGGTTCTGCAGCCCCTACTTGCACTAGGCGATGTGTATTATTCTGCAATGAAAAATGGCTTCTCATCATGACCAGAACTGGGCAACTTTTGCAGGTCCTGCGCGACAGTCGCATGTTGATTCGGAACACGCATTTCTACAAGTTCGCATCCTTCCAGACATTCAGGGATATTTGCAATCGATATCTGGAGACAGTAAGCCACGTCCTGGCTGAACGCAGCGTCCAGGGCCGCATTCCCGACAGCGCGACTACTTCCACTTGCGGGAGGGCCGCTGGTACTACCGTATCCTGAGTAAAAATGTACCCACACCAGAGTCAGGATGGGGATTTTGCAACACAAACCTAGGAGTTTTAGGAGTCACGCATGACAAGTTTCAGTCCGTAAGGTAGTGCAAGTTAGCAAGGAAAGCCGCATCACACATCGACCTTCTGATCCTGTTTACAGCATTACAAGTTCCCAAACACGATTGAAAATGCCTGTTATGGGGTTGCGCATCACAAATGTTCCTGTCATGGCAAATCTGCATGACAACTCTGGGGTGGGTACGTTTTTACATAGGATATACCGGCGTAGATAGGTACGCTTTTTTCTTCTTCCTCGGATGCGGTTTCGAGGTCCGCGTGTTGCTGTTGCATAGGGCGTATGAACTGCAAAAGTATCGCACTCGTAGTAATTGCTGTTATGCGTGACAAATCTCTTTCCTATAGGGTAAAACAGCATTGCAAGTTTCATTTGTAATGCTGAGCTAATTTGTGATGCAATTCATACTAGTACAGCGCTATATTTTTGCATTCGATAGGTCGGATGAGGACGTACTCGCACTCTTTTTGCAGTTTGGCTAGCGCAGTTACCATGTTTGGGTAAGGATTATTCATGTCGTCTTCGGCCTCTCGTGCTTCTGTCACCATGTACTGGTACACCGTGCTGTCCGTGCGTCCCGTTTTTTCATACACGGCGGGCATGAGCATCCGCAGATCGTAGCCGCGGTTCTCGATGTAGTTACTGATCTGGTCTTATGAGAGTGCACAACGCCCCCTCCCCCTCATTTGTATAGCATGAGCAGTAACAGAAGCAATGCCACAAATGTAAATGTTGCTTTTGCATGACAAATCCGCACATGGAATGTAGTCCTGTTTGGGCGTCCAAAACTTGTGAAGCGCCGAGTGCTTAAAGGCAAGATGTGGATTCGGTATTTTGCATGACAAATGAGGGGGAGGGGGAGTTGTGCACTGTCGTAGGTCTATGGGCGCGAGTTGCGAAAAATCCATCTTCCACAGACCGTAGGGGATGTGCACCTTCTCAAACTTCGCGATTGGCTTCCCGTGTTTGGAAACCATGGTGTACAGGCGCTTCTTCCCGTCCCACCGGAGCTCTTTCACGTCTTTCAGTGCGTCCTGGGGATGCAGCAGACGCGTTCCGTCCAGGCTCGCGGCGTATACGTTGCAAATATGTTTGGGAGGTCTGGAAGAGTGCCAACTTGCCATGCTAAATCCGAATCACGCAAAAATCTGTGTTGCATGAATGCCAAAAGCTGTCCACTGTCGACCGAGTTGGGAGGGAGTTTCTCATGCAGGATAGGCATGGCAAAGACCTCACAGAGTCTGTCATGCTAGGCCCCGCATTCCAGACCTCATGGGTCATGGAAAACCTCCATGACAAGTTTACACTTTTCCAGACATCCAGCGATATTTGCAGTTGATACGGCGGGAATGGGGACAATTTCCGGTCGCCTTGCTTCGGGATCAGCAGCCCGATTATGCATTGCAAAAGTATCCTCGTACTCCTAAAAGTGCATTTTTCCTCAGCATGAGAAAAAAAAATTTGTAATGCATGACAGCAATTACTACGAGTACAATACTTTTGCACAGGATACCGATCCGCGTCCAACAACTCAGCGTCCTTGAAGTTGCACCAAATGTCGACAAGGGGAGAGCTATTCAGCTTTTTCTCCTCCTCATCCTCGCCGAAGGCGTTCGCTCCCATTTGCCCGGCTTTTTCTTTTTCTTGAATGTAGGACGATGATTTCTGCTGGTTCTGTCTCCCACTCCCAGCTGGCGCTACCGTTTTTGCGTAGAAGTTGGCTGTTTTCTGCTTATCAAACTCCTGCGGTCGAATCTCCATGTGCTCGCAGAGACGAAAGACACGCTGCTCCAAGTCGTTCTGCGGTGCGTTGGCTTGATCGGCAGCGGAAAGGGTGCGGTACACGAAGTGCCCATACCGGTGCCTCCAGTTCTCGATGTCTTCCTTTGTTAGCTGCACAAATGTTGATCCACTGCCTGTATGCATTGCAAAAGTATTGTATCGCGGTGGTACGGTAGTAGTTGCATACAGAAATTATTTGCACAGACAGCGTGATAAATGAAATATTTAGAGCTGAATTATTGGGTTTAGCTAAGCCTAAGGAAGAAGATACGTCATGCAAAAAAGCAACTAGTACGAGTGCGATACTTTTGCACGGGATAGGCTGATCCACTGCCACTGCCACTGCCTGTTCCACCGCCAGCACTGCCTGTTTCACCCGTCCCACTTCCGCTGTTGCGACCCACCGGTCCGCTGTCCATTCCACCGTGGGGTTTATGCAATGCAAAAGCATCGCGTGTGGTACAAATTGCATGACAGCCAACTTTTTCAAAAACAGAACGGGAATTTGTCATGCTTTTGTTGATTGAGGTAAGGGTCTAGATCTGTTTCTGTCATTCAAGATTGCGATTAGTAGGCGCACGATACTCATTTTTCACAGGATAGAGTAGCGACAAAACCAGTTCCTTTTCCTGTTTTTCCTTCAGATTATGCAGGTCGTTGTCGAGGTTTTGTGCGTCTTGCTCGACGAGCGAGGTTATCCTATGCAAAAGCATCGCACTCGTAGTAAAAATCGCAAACACGCATTACAAATCTTGCTCATAAGGTAAATCCACATTACAAATTTTATTTCTCATGCTGAAGAAATTTGTAATGCATTCATTATACGAGTGCGACACTTTCGCAATGCATAGAGGTTTTCTTCACCACGTCGCGATCCAGATCGGATTTCAGGCTGACCAGATCCATATCAAATGCAAATATGTCTGGGTCTGGAAACTTGTAATGCTGCGTTGGGAATAGTAGATGCTCTGTAATGCACAGCCAAGCATGAGAAATATCTGTGTTGCGTTTTTCGCATGACAAACTGCGCTTTGGCATGACAGGCAAAAGGGTCTCTTCTTGGACAGGCATCACAAACTTTTTGGCCATGCCACACAAGCATGACAAATCTCGCAATCTTCCAGACCCAGACACTTTTGCATTTGATAATCCATGAGCGCGCTTTCTCGCTTCTCCAGTTCAAACTCGTCTTTTGGCAGTTGCTCAGAAATCTCGTCAATCGTGTCACTGAAGATCTTGTCCAGGTGGCCTTTTTTCGGACGGGGTTTCATATTTTTCCTCGTACTGCTAGTACCATCGTCACCCGCCCCCACCTCGCTATTGTCTGCTTCACCTGCCCTGCTTAAGCGCTGCTTGTTTATTTTTTCCTGCACCTCTAACAGGGAAGACTGGCCGTCTATTTGATGTTTTTGCGCCTCCTGCCCTTCATCTTCTATCTTCTTGCCCGCAGGAGTATGTTGTGTCGCCCGTTCTGGTTGTCGTGACTGCTGCTGGTCGTGGTCCAAGTTGGCAGCACTCACGTCGTCCTCGTCGTCCACAATATCGTTTATCGCGTTGTCCTCGTTAAACGCCTGCTGTTCCTCTTCTAGATCGAGCTTATCTTCGTTTTGGTACCAAGTTTCCCGGTCGTTCCAGGGCTCCGGCCGGTCGGGCAGAGGGCCTTCCAGGTCGTCGTTGTCGTCTTGGTTTTCGGTGGCACCTGCGACGTCTGCAGTTTGTGCTTGTGCTTCCGGTTTGGATTTGATATCATCGACGTCGCTCCTCCTTGTAGCGCTCTTTGTTTCAACATCGACGCCAGGTGGTCCAGAAGCAGCAGCGGATGCAGGACCATCATCTTCATTCGCAACAGCAGTGCCTCGTCCCACAGAACTTGAACTGCTGGAAGCAGTTGCTCCTACAGCCTCCACATCAGCGCGGACTGAAGGAAGCAGGAGGAACCACCACCACCACGCTTGCAGCAGGACGAAAAGCAGACAGAAGCTTCGAGCGCGTTGACCTTGACTAAAGAACGACATAATTTTCTGCGAGGTTCTTGTAGTCCTCGCAGTTGCCATGATGTGTCGTGTCAACAAGTAGAAGTTGCAAAAAAAACGAAATCAGCGATCATATCAAAGCCGGGTATTGTAGTTGTCATTCATGTTTGTGCTTAGACTTAGTTTCGATGTAGTACTAAGAAGTACAACAACTTCTGAAGAGATCGCGACGACGACGATGGGTGCCTGGTTTTTCATTTCCATCAATTTCGGGCGTCTGCTTGTGATCTTCTCCTGTGAGCCATCATATGACCTGGTCACGCGGTGGATCATGATCTACTTCGATCTTCACTGCCGGCGGCTAGAGTTTTCATCTCCTGATTATTCAAGAAAAAAACACCATCACAATCACTAATTGCACATTTTTGCAATACAAAAATTTTTGTCATGCGCAAAAATGCATCACAGTCAAGAGTTATTGGCGATTTCCCTTTGTGTTTAGGGTTTAGGGTGTGCGAGTGAAATATTTGGCATGCGAGAGAAATTTCTGATGCAAAACCTCCTACATGTGATTGTGATGGTGTTTTTTTCTTGGATACTGATCGTCAACTAACCCCGGCGGAGGTAAAAAGCCACCACGCCTCCGCCCAAGAGGAACAAAAGAAGTCATTGCTGCTCCCAGTAGCGGAGTTGTACCGAGAGAGACTCAACAAGAATTCTGCGTAAGAGGTTCTTGCAGGCACTTCTGTTCGCCCCAAATCTTGCGAGTGGGGTCGTGCAGTTGTAGACCTGCTTTGCTTATTCATATTCTTGCTATGGTTCATCTTTCGAGCCTGCTCATGACCATGAGCTGCTGGGGAAAAAAATTGTTTTTTTTGTCACTTCGACGAATCCCGTCAGAAGCCATATAGTACCAGTTTTTAAGTATCACCGATGGTGACAAAAAGTTATTGGAAAAGATAAGTTTGCCGTGCGCTTTCGTCCATGTGGAAACTCTTTCCGCCACTGGCACAGTCCGTCCCATCTAGACAAGGAAAAAATCGTAAATGTTGAGGCTACTTTCTTATAAGGGCAACCATTTTACTATTTGAGGAAAGCACCGTGCGAGCAAATGCAATAGCAATTGCTTTTGCAGCCTAGAGAGTTGCGCTCATGTTGCGTTTTCTTTTGTTACTCGCTACAACGATGAATACCAGCTGGGACGAAGCAAAGTCGCAACTTCAGCACTTTGTTCTTCAGAAAAACCCCGCCGCAGCCGCACTTCCCGACGCAGCGGCCGGGGGCGGCACGGTGAGCTGTTTTCTATCCTGTGCAAAAGTATCGTATTCGTATAAGTGCAAGACTTGCATTACAAGTCTTGTTCTTAAGGTAAATCCACATTACAAATTTCATTTCTCATGCTGGGGAAATTACTATCTAAACTGCAGCAGCTGGTCAAAAATGCATGCGAGGGGTATGCTCGGGGGTATGTTCGGGGGTGTGTCAGGGGTATGCAAATGGCAGTCAGTCACGACCTGAATACAAATTTTTGGCGAAAAAGCAGAAGGTGGGGTATAAACATACCCCAGACACACCCCAGACACACCCCAGACATACCCCCGAACACACCCCAGGCAAAAAGTCCGAACATACCCCAGACACACCCCGGACACACCCCGGGCAGACTTTCGGACACACCCCAGACAGACTTTCGGACACACCCCGGCCAAACTTTCGGACTTTGTCACGCGAGGTTTGGCCCCGAGGTCCAGTCTGTCACGCGTCGCGAGACGGACCGTGCGGCCACGGGGCGAAAGCCCTAGGCCAGCGCGGGGACTCGGTCCCCGCGTCATGGCCTAGGGGTCAGCTGCAAGTGCTTCCCGGACACCGTGCGGCCACGGGGCGAAAGCCCTAGGCCAGCGCGGGGACTCGGTCCCCGCGTCATGGCCTAGGGGTCAGCTGCAAGCGCTTCCCGGACACCGTGCGGCCACGGGGCGAAAGTCCTAGGCCAGCGCGGGGACTCGGTCCCCGCGAGCGTCATGGCCTAGGGGCCAGCTGCAACCAAGTGCTTCCCGGACACCGTGCGGCCAGCCACGGGGCGAAAGCCCTAGGCCAGCGCGGGGGCCCTTTCCCCGCGTCATGGCCTAGGGGCCAGCTGCGAGTGCTTCCCGGACACCGTGCGGGCGGCCACGGGGCGAATGCCCTAGGCCAGCGCGGGGACTCGGTCCCCGCGCCATGGCCTAGGGGCCAACGAGCAGCAAGCGCTCCCGGACACCGTGCGGCCACGGGGCGAAAACCCTAGGCCAGCGCGGGGACTCGGTCCCCGCGTCATGGCCTAGGGGACAGCTGCAAGTGCTTCCTTCCCGGACACCGTGCGGCCACGGGGCGAAAGCCCTAGGCCAGCGCGGGGACTCGGTCCCCGCGTCATGGCTTAGGGGCCAGCAGCAAGTGCTTCCCGGACACCGTGCGGCCACGGGGCGAAAGCCCTAGGCCAGCGCGGGGACTCGGTCCCCGCGTCATGGCCTAGGGGCCAGCTGCAAGTGCTTCCCGGACACCGTGCGGCCACGGGGCGAAAGCCCTAGGCCAGCGCGGGGACTCGGTCCCCGCGTCATGGCCTAGGGGCCAGCTGCAAGTGCTTCCCGGACACCGTGAGGCCACGGGGCGAAAGCCCTAGGCCAGCGCGGGGACTCGGTCCCCGCGCCATGGCCTAGGGGTCAGCAGCAAGCGCTTCGTTCCCGGACACCGTGCGGCCAAGGGGCGAAAGCCCTAGGCCAGCGCGGGGACTCGGCCCCCGCGTCATGGCCTAGGGGTCAGCTGCAAGTGCTTCCCGGACAACGTGCGGGCGGCCACGGGGCGAAAGCCCTAGGCCAGCGCGGGGACTCGGTCCCCGCGTCATGGCCTAGGGGCCAGCAGCAATTGCTTCCCGGACACCGTGCGGCCACGGGGCGAAAGCCCTAGGCCAGCGCGGGGGCTCGGTCCCCACGTCCTGGCCTAGGGGTCAGCTGCAAGTGCTTCCCGGACACCGTGTGGCCACGGGGCGAAAGCCCTAGGCCAGCGCGGGGACTCGGTCCCCGCGTCATGGCCTAGGGGTCAGCTGCAAGCGCTTCCCGGACAACGTGTGGCCACGAGGCGAAAGCCCTAGGCCAGCGCGGGGACTCGGTCCCCGCGTCATGGCCTAGGGGCCAGCTGCAACTGTCTCCCGGACACCGCGCGGCCACGGGGCGAAGGCCCTTCCTAGGCCAGCGCGGGGACTCGGTCCCCGCGTCATGGCCTAGGGGTCAGCTGCAAGTGCTTCCCGGGCACCGTGCGGCCACGGGGCGAAAGCCCTAGGCAAGCGCGGGGACTCGGTCCCCGCGTCATGGCCTAGGGGCTAGCTACGAACACTCTCCGGACACCACGCCCCGCGGCCAAGAAAGCACGGGGCGAAGAAAATCCCTAGGGCAGAAGTGTGGGGATTCTGTCGCCGCGTCATGACTTGCGGGCCGGCTCGCTCCAGATCCGCACCCGGCGCCAGTTTGTTTCTTCTTTTCTTTTATATTATCTTTGCGCGCGGCAGGTGAACGGACCTAGTGCGCGCAAGCAAGGGTGCCGCGTCCGCAGGCCCGTCGCGGGTCAGTGAATGCAAGGCGCACCGAGATACCTAGCTGCAGGCGACCTGCCTGCCCAGTGCCACCGCGCAGGCAGGCAAATGCCGGAAGGTCGCCGCACGGGGACTCTGTCCCCGTGCTCGGACCTTGTTTGTAATGCATTTATACGAGTACGGTACTTTTGCAATGCATATTTTCCGGCGTTCTGCAGTGCTTCCGCCGGGTCGAAGGGCTGGGGGATCGGGTATGAGAGTGCACACCCCCCTCTCCCCCTCACTTGTGTAGCATGAACAGCAATAGTACAAACACCAGCACACGTAGAGCCTATGCATGACAAATTTGTGTGCCCCGCACTGTGGTACTGTTTGGGCCACTTGCGGAATTTGTCATGCATAATAGTGATACAAGGAAGCAACTGGATTTGGGATTTTGCATGAGAAATGAGAACGAGGGGGAGTTGTGCACTGTCATATCGGGCCCCAGGGGAACAGCGAGCCGGACCCGTTTGCGTTGGTCGGGGTCATGGTGTAGATCAAGTGTAAAAGTGTCTGGGTCCTCTGGAAGAATGCAAGTTTGTCATGCTTGTCTGGCATGACTCTTAAATCTGTCATGCACATTACCAAAGAGCCCCACTTTTCTGTCATGCAGAGCAGACGTAGTTTGTCATGCAGAATGAATAGGCAACACCTAGAAGCTCAGAACCTTGTCATGCTGAGCCAGCAATTGTGGCCTCCTCATGATACGCCACACAGCATCACAAGTTTCCAGACCCAGACATTTTTACATTTGATAGTATAGATCGCGTAGCAAATTCCGATGGCCGCGCCGTACGTACTGAACATGCACAAGTAGCGGAAGCCTTCCATTAAGTACCGTGCGATGCCCGGTTTCCCGCCGTCCGCAGACTCCGGAAGCTGGAGTATCAAACAAAAAAGGTATAACATCAACGGTTTTGATGGTTCTTCACGGTTTGCAGTCGCGCATGACAAATTTTGCCGAGCATGCATGCTATGCATGACAAATTTGGACACGACGTTTTGTGATGCATTACTGCATCACAAATTCTCATCGGAACAAGTTCCGTTAACGCTAACCCTTTTTCCTGTGATATGCAGGTTGCCGTCCTCGTCCGGCTTCAGGTCGGAGGAATCGCCCGGCGCGAAGCGATATGCACTGCAAAAGTATCGCACTCGTAGTAATTGCAAATATGCATGACAAATCTTCTTCGTAAGGTAAATCCGCATTACATTTACAAATTTTCTTTCTCATGCTGAGGAAATTTGTAATGCATTTATTTTTATACGAGTACGATGCTTTTGCAATGCATAAGAGACCCAGGAAGAAGCAGAGTAGCACTTGCCCCATGATGGCCCAGGTGGCCAGAAACATCCAGTCCTGGGCATATCCCTGCGGCGACCCCATGGTCTTCGTCAGCTGCAACGCCCGGAGTCGGCACCCGAGGAAGAGGACGGAGAGCATATCCTGTGTAAAAACGTCCCCACCCCAGAGTCAAGTTGGGGACTCTGCAACACAGATCCAGAAGTTTTGGAAGTCACGCATGACAAGTTTTTCTCTGTACTGTAGTGCGGGTTAGCAAGGACAACCGCATCACAAATCCATCCTGGTATTCTCTTGACAGCATCACAAATTGCATAACACGATTGAAAATGCCTCTCATGGAAATGCGCATTACAAGTTTTTCAGTGATTGTAATTCTGCATGACAACTCTGGGGTGGGAACGTTTTTACGCAGGATACAGCATCGGCGCGAAGAATACCGTGCCGCGAGCCGTGTCGAACGCACGGAGGACGGACGAACCAAACTGACTGCCCAAGCAGGTGCGGAGCGAGGTCATCAGGAACAGGCCGAAGTAGACAATGAGGTACAGTACCGTCAAGATCATCACACACTTCATTGCCGAGCTGACTGGCGGCGTCTTTGCCGGGTCTTTCGGGTGCTCGAGCACGCAGACGGAAACTAAAACCATCAATGCGCCGGTATAGATGCAGACGATCGTGGACCAACGGATGATCTGAATATGTTGTGAATGGCAGAATGAACAAATATTTGTAAAGTGGTTTTATGCATGACAGAAAGTCCTTCTCATGCAGTTTCACGCATGACAAAAAACCATGATGAATTCGTGACAACATCACCATTACCTGCATCACCACCATGACCCAGGGGTTGCTGACTTTAAACCTCACATTATCCGGAGCAAAAACGACCCCAACCCATAGCCAAGTTGGTAAATCTGCAACACAAACCGCCAAGCTTTGGGAGTTGTGCATGATAAGTTTCCGTCTGTAGTGTAGTGGTGCTTAGCAAGGCAAGCCGCACGAGAAAGCTAAGCAAGCCGCACGAGAAAGCCAATTTCTCATTCTGTTTACAGCATTACAAAATTGTCAAATCACGATGAAAAATGCCTCGTCGTCTCGTGGAGATGCGCATTACAAATGTTCCTGTCATTGCGCATTTGCATTACAACTTTGTGCTGGGGACGTTTTTGCTGAGGATACACATCCCCTTCACAGTTCCCCGCCCTCACCTCGCCGTTCAGACACAGGCCGCAGACGAACATCGCCAGAATCTGCACTTCCATACCGGTTATGGATTGCAAATCTCTGGGTCCGGAAATATGGAACTTGTAATGCTAGTCCTACACTCCTGTAAAACCTGTATTGCATGACTAGCAAGAGAGTCCCCCTTTTTGTAATACAAAAGCCCTGTTTCTCATGCGGACTGCGCAAGAGGACGGGCTCTGCAAACTTCTCATGCTTGGCTGCATTGGAATGTATTTCAGTCTCGCCAATTCATCATGACAAGTTTCCAGACCCAGACGTATTTGCACTTCCATACCGGTTGTGGTCAAGATCATCGCGACCTTCGCCCAGTTCTGCATTGCAAATATGTCTGAGTCTGGATGACTGCGGACTTTGTCATACTGATTTTGCATGACCCAGAAGCTCTGGCATGCCAGCAATAGCATCACAGGTTTGGTGATTGAGGTTTCCCAGTGCCTAGATCGCATGAGAAATTCCAGAGTTTGATGATGAGTTGTAAGCTACTTTTGCTGTCCCTGCATGACTGATTATTTTTGTCTAATCCAAAATGCGCATCACAAGTTGCATCCTTGTTCCAGACCCAGACATATTTGCAGTCGATACCAGTTTTGCACGTGCCCGTCAATGGGGTCCATTTGCAAGGCCCGCATCCTGGCACCGAGAAACAAGATGCAGAACATCGGGGCGAGGTTCAAAGTTGGTGTCACGGTTTGGAGCAGGGTGATATGCATTGCAAAAGTATCGCACTCGTAGTTGTAATTGCTGTTATGCATGACAAATCTCGTTCCTAAGGTAAAACAGCATTACAAGTTTTGTTCGTAAAAATGCTAAGCAAATTTGTTATGCAATCACTACTAGAACTAGTACGATACTTTTGCAATGCGTACGCAATCGTGTGGGCGAATTTGGGGCTGTTGAACTCCCGGAGCATCGCGACGTATCAACTGTAAAAATGTCTGGGTCTGGAAGAATTCAACTTGTCATGCTGATTTCGGACTCTAAAAAAATCTGTATTGCATGAGCAGCAAAGAGAGTCCAAATTTTGCAGCACGGAAAGGGCATTTGTCATGCGGAATGGGCTTCAGGAAGCCCTCTAAAAATCTGTGATGCTAGGGCATGCATCACAGACTTGAGGAGTCATGCAGAATGTGCATGACAAACCTGGCAATCTTCCAGACCCAGACATTTTTACAGTTGATACGAGGGCGAAGTAGACGACGAAAAACAGGGACGTCATGTCCATCGTGGCTTTCACAGAAGTATCAAATGTAAAAATGTCTGGGTCTGGAAACTTGTAATGCTGCGTTGGGAATAGTGAATGCTCTGTAATGCACAGCCAAGCATGAGAAATATCTGCGCTTCTTTGTGTTGCGTTTTTCGCATGACAAACTGCGTTTTTGCATGACAGGCAAAAGGGTCTCTTCTTGGACACGCATCACAAACTTTTTTGGTCATGCCAGACAAGCATGACAAGTCTCGCAATCTTCATTTTGCATTTGATAGGAGGTTGCCGGCCAGGGAAAATCTTCGTTCTGCATGTCCGCCCGGGGGCCCCAAATTTCGACCGGAGGCTTCATGAACCACATGCCGGTAATCAGTGCTGGAAGAGAATGCACTTGCGAAAAGTTTTGATTTCGGGTCAGGGTTGAATTTGTCATGCTAGTATGGCATAGATACGTTAGCTTTTCATATTACTGTTCTCTGCAATACAAATTTCGTATTGACCCGAACTTCATCTTGTTTCAGCAGGATAAATCGACGTCCACAGGCCGAGGAAGGAGAAGGACCGGATTATGGTGAGAACCTTAATTAGATAGAAGGTTGAGTTTGAAAGTTTGTCATGCGCAGCCACAACTAGGAATAGGATGGTATTTTGTGAAGCAATAATGATCAGCATGTACGAAGAAATATTTTGTCATCGTGGTCAAAAGTAGTGTCAGTCATTTTTATACCGTAGATCCCCAGCTTCTCTGGAGCGTTCCGCCGATGTATACAAGAGAAATAAAGAACCAAGTGAAGCTGCCTCTGCTTGATGTTTGATATTGATTTGTGATGAGTACTGCCTTTCGCACAGGAATAGCTGCACATGCGCGGCCTATTCCAAGTGAGAATCAGCAACTTTTTCAACATGTGCACGAAGACGCATGACAACCTGGTAGTTCTTAACACTGTCACTGTCGTGGTAGCCGTGGTCCAGGACACTCCTGCAGACGTATTCAGTGTTGTAAGTAACGACCCTTGTGTATCAAAGCATCTATCAGCCCGCTTCTGCTAAGCTTTTTTCCAGCACCATAAAGCCGCCGCAGTGGAACTCGGCGGTACAATGTTTCCGTCGCTGTCGACTTCCGGCATTTTGTTCAACAAAAACGGGCAAAGCAGCACGACAACCCCCTGGATCACAACAGCCGATGTTGCGATCTTCATCATCGTCTTCATCCAGTTTGGCGGCAAATCGAATTGGTCGTTATCCCCGCCCGCCAACTGCACTGCCCGCATGCGGATCGCCAGGAAAAACACGCACAGCATGGGGACGAAGGTCAAGGTCCCGCGGGACACTTGCAACGCGACGAGCAGAGTGGAGGGTTTGTTGTTGGCGGAAAGTTCTTTGATCGTCTTCAAAATCGCGACCGCAGAGAGGATCATGAAGAACTGAAAGGTCTATGAACTGCAAAAATGTCGGGTGTTTTGTCTGGAAACAAGACCTTGGTACAGCACGGGGAAGAGAACGACTTCTGGGTCTGGAAGTAGAATAGAAGATTGTCATGCTCGGCCGGCAATAGCAATACACAGAAGTCTGTCATGCTTGTCGCGCTACAACGGCATTTGTTTGTCATGTAAAAGGGCTATTTGTCATGCGGTTAGCGCTAGGCATAGCCGCTCAGAAACTTGTCATGCGCGGCTCAGCAACACAGTTCGCCTATCCTTTGGACATTAGCATGACAACTTTCCAGAGCCAGACCCAGACATATTTGCAATGCATAAGGTCAGGGTGATCACACATTGCATGGCGGTCGATGGCGGAGCCGGCGGGAACTGGGTCGTGTAGGAGTTGTGGGAAATATCGCAAGAAAAAACTGCTTCACTGTGAACTTGTGATGCAGACAAGAAAGCACCAAGCTGTTTGTCTTGCTACACCTGCAAGACATTGGGTTTTGAAGCGTGTTTTCCCTCGGGAAGCGCGCATGGCAAGTTCTCCGCGCCATGTGTAGCAGACTTGTGATGCAGATATTGCAAAATCATCACAGTGAAACAGTTTTTTCGTGGGATAGGAAACGGAGTGCATGTTCTGGCCGTACAGTGGCGAGCCGTAGCTGTAGCCCTTCCCCGGTTTCTTCAAATGCGATGTGGTGCTGTGGTGGACGCCCCAGCCGCTGGGTTTGGGTGCTGGAGCCGCTGGAGCTGCTGTGGGGTCTTGCTTTGAAGACTTTGTGACGAGCAGCGCTGCAGGTGAAGATGCTAGAGTAGCAACATGGTTGATTTGGTCGTCACTGTGCACCCGGATGGCGGAGGCAAATAGCGACCCGGAAAACTGCAGGGTCACGGCGGGCAGGCAGAGCACGAGCGCGGCCCGCAACGGAAAAGAAGAAACGGGTACCAGGCGAGCCATCTTGATGCTGTCCGTGTTCTATTGGAGGCTTCTCCTCAACAGATACTAGAGTTGTTTTGGCTCGGGTTCTTGTTGCAGCAAAAAGCTGCTGCGGCAGACGAGGATGGGCGGTGCTGGTGTAGTCCCCTTAATCGCCTCGGCTCAATGGTACTAAGTACATCAAACAAGAACAGTAATAGAAGACGAGGAGGTATGACGGTCACGTAAAATTACGGATGAAACAGGACACGACACTTTACGTGAACACACAGACGAACCACTTGGTGGAGAAAGCAACTGCTTTCTCTCGAACGATAGTTGTGGTTTTTTTCTTCTGCGGTGTAGTGTTATTCCCATTTATTCTCGATCTTCTCTACAACGAAATGCTGTGTCTACTTCGCCGCCGGGGCAGTTCACCATTCCACAGAAAGTTGTTCTTTCGACGCCAGTGCACCACCCTTCCAGGTGAGCCGGGACGACCCTGGTTCTCAAAAATGATGTCATCAGGAGGAGGACCACTGGCGCGAAGTTGTTTTATTCTACTCATGCTCTGTACATAAGCGTCGCCGTCACGGCTTGACGAGCATAGTTAGCCTTTCATTCTTTACGATACATGTGTAGAAGGAGTAGAAATAGTCTTGGTAACGATCACGATGAATTTTACAAAATGTTGTAATGCGTCGTGACACCACTCATTTTTCTTGTGCAATTTGACACAGGGATTCTGTATTGCTGGGTGGGTGAGCGTGAAATACTGTCGGTTGTAGACTTCTTGGGTCCTGATCTTAGCCTTACATCAGGTAGGAACTAGTGCTGTGAAAGAAGCTAGTTAATAGGAATACTTAATCATGGGCGGGGAGGTGGTCGTTCGACGGGTTTCAGTCGTTGCTACGGATGAAAAAAAAAAAAATGTTGATTGATGTGCAGAACGCCTGAGGGCGGCGCGCGAGCGTCCAGACATCTTCCTTGGTCTTTTGATAAAAGTACGCTTCAGCCCCTCATCGTGCTCGTTGACTAACGAGACATCGGACGAGACGAGCCTACTGAATGATTCTGGGTACCACGACCTCCGGATCGACTGCCCGTCTGAGACGCTTTTCAACAAAAATTCGAGGGTGTTCTGTTTCTGATTCCGATTCTAGCAGCGTGAAAAAGTTGTCTTCCGCCTGCTTGAGTTTAGTAGATTTTGATAGGTGTGATATACTTGAAACTTGTTGAATATCTTCTTCTGGTGAAAGTCATAACAGTCCTTCGTGTGATTACAAGATGGAAAATAGTTGTTGCTATACTTACCAAATTTACGACTCAGATCCAGTGTCACGTGAGAAGATACGAATTGGTATCCGAGAGAAGTCCTCTGGGACTAGCGGCCCCTCCCTCCTTCATCTGTGCATGGTGAGCTGCTTCTCCCACGGATAAAAATTGCACCAAAACTTCCCGCATCAATCCCCTTCCTTACACGTTGTGGATGTAGTTCCCCAGCGAGGCCTTCATTGCTGCTTCCTTGAGCGCCTCGGAGACGGTATCCCACAGAAAAAGACCGACAGGTCATATTTGTAATGCAAAAATAAATACACAGGAAAATCTGTCATGGGCGAGGCCATAACATCCTGTTTAGGGCATGCAATACAGATTTTTTTGTCTATTTATTTTTGCATTACAAATATGACCTGTCGGTCTTTTTCTGGGGGATACACGGTCGGGTGTGCAAAGCAGGTGTGCGCGAGGTCCTTGCTATCAAATGCAAATATGTCTGCATCTGGAAGAATGCAAACTTCTCATGCATGTTTTCCATGCCCCATGCTGTTTGGAATGCAGGACCTAGCATGAGAGGTTCTGCGACGTCTCTATTATGCCTATTTTGCATGACAAACTGCCTCGAAACTTGTTCAAAAGTGGGCAGGTTTTGGTAGTCATGCAACACAAATTTTTGTACGATCCAGACTCAGCATGAAAAGTTCGCGTCCTCCCAGACCCAGACATATTTGCAATGCATACTTGCAGTCACGGTTAAATTGCATGGAGTTCACGGCTATGCACTGCAAAAGCATGATCGCACTCGTATTGCAATAATGCATAATACAAATCTTTTTCTTATAGGTAAATCAACATTACAAATCTTATTTCTCATGTTGCTGAGAAATAAATTTGTAATGCATTTATACGAGTACTACGATGCTTTTGCACTGCATAACGGCCGGCATCAGGATATCTCCTGCGTACGGGGCGATAATGTGGCACCCGAGGATCTTGTCATCGGTCGAGGTCAGCAGCTTCACGAGGCTGGAGTGTTTTTTGAGTCATGTGGGTAATATCAGAAGATCCAGTTTGTCATGCATGAAATGCATTTATAACATATCATCGTTTGTCATGCAAAAACTGCATCACAACCAGAAGCAACATCAACAAAGCTCCTCTGTAGTACCCCGCAGTCTCATCGTTCGCTCGTGCCCGGCTGTTGGCCATAAGCGGAAAGGAAGCCGTGTTGTATTCAATGCCCTCCTTTTATGACAAGGCAAAACTCCCCCTCCCCCTCATTTGTATGGCATAAACAGCAATACAAGCGCCAGCAAAAATGCAGGCTTTGCATGACAAATTCGCACAGGAGTGTAGTGCTACTTGGGAAGATGCCAGAACTTGTCATGCAAACAGTGCAAAGAGGCTTAGTGTTGGTTTGGTATTTTGCATGACAAATGAAGGGGACGGGGAGTTGTGCACTCCCATACCTTTTTCAGTTCGTCTTCGGATTTTCCGACCCAAGCGACCTCGGGGTAGGTGTAGACGACCGATGGGACGGCGTGATAGGAAACCGGGTCGGCTTTCTTGGCGACGCCGTTCTTGACCTGATTTTGGTACTTAATTTAGGTTTGTGTGTCGACGTGCGGTGGTGATCTATGCATCACAAAATCGGTTTTTCATCGAGTTTCTGCATGACAAAAACAGAATCTTGTTGAAAGATAGGCACCTTGTCCGCGATCTGTTCGGCGATGTAGACCCCATCTTCTTCGGCCTTGTGGGCAAGCATCGGACCCGAAATGCAGTCACCGATAGGCTTATGCAATAGAAATTTGTTTTCTACATTGCCAGACACGACGTAGTACCATCAAAGCAACATCATGCAACACAAGGAGAACCAGCATGATCATCTGAGTACCTTTTACAAAAGAGTTTCGTTTGCAGGTTTGCAAAATTATCGCAGCAAGCTTGGTGCGCTGATTCTACTTTGGTCCGACGAAATAAAACAAAGTAACCTTCTTGGATACGCATACACGTTGTCGTTTGCCGTCGTCATCAAATTGCCGTCGACCGGGATCCTCCCCATGCGGTCTAATGCAATGCCGAGGTTTTCAATGCCCGTGTTCGCGGTATTCGCAATGCGACCGGTGGAGATGAGAACCTTTGGTGTTGATGTTGGGATAATTTCTTATGCTTTCTCACGTACTGTCGTCGATTGTGCTGCATGCCAGAAGCCACTTGTTTGAGGAATCACGCACTACAACTTTCATCTTTGGAAGATGATGAAATAAACACTCACTGCACACACTAGACTCCGTACCGGTGATGTCAAACTGATACTGGGTGCATGACAAAAAATAAATCTTCTTCATGCACTATCACCAAAAGTTTTGTACCTTCTTCGACACTTGTTCCGTTTTTTCCTTTATCCTGTGCAAAAGTATCGCACTCGTATTGCAGTCATGCGTTACAAGCCTTTTCTTTAAGGTAGATTCGCATTACAAATTTCATTTCTCATGCTGAGGAAATTTGTAATGCATTTATGCGAGTGCGATACTTTTGCAGCTCATATCTTTCGTCTCGTTGTTTTCCCACACCAGTTTCACCCCTCCCTGCACCTTCTATCAAATGCAAAAGTGTCCGGGTCGGGAAGATTGCGAGATTTGTCATGCTTGTCGGACATAGAAAAGAAGTTTATGATGCGTGTCCAAGAAGAGATGACCCCTTTGCCTGTCATGCCAAAACGCAGTTTGTCATGCGAAGAACGCAACACAAAAAAGCGCAGATATTTCTCACGCTTTGCTGTGCATTACAGAGCATTCACTATTCCCAACGCAGCATTGCAAATTTCCAGACCCAGACATATTTGCGGTTGATAACTTCTGCACGTCAATCACTTTCGAGTTCAAATCAAAGGTCAAGCCCTGCTTGCCCAGGATTTTCTGAAACTCGGTGGAGATTCCCGTGTCCGCGGGGCCCATAATTTTGTTCAGAAATTCAACGACGTGAACCTGGAGTTTTTTATTTTTGGGGTTCGTTTTATGAAGAAGCGACGTTTGTCATGCTAAACACCATGCGCCGCTAGGTTTGTAATGCACACCAAGATGGAAAGCGCATTTAACTTTTGATAAAAAATGCACCTTTGCCCCCAATCTGGACCAGACAGACCCAAGCTCCAGGCCGATCACACCGCCGCCAACCACGGTCATGGTTTCCGGGACTTCGGTAAACTCCAGGGCGCCGGTTGAGGAGACGATGTCGACTTCGTCGATCAGTTCCTTCGGGAATCCGGGAAGCCCCGCGACTTCGGAGCCGACAGCTACCACGATGTATCAAGTGCAAGTATGTCTGGGTCTGGAAACTTGTAATGCTAAAAGTGAATGATAGACGCACTGCAGTACGCAGCTATGCATGACAAATTTTTTGGCTGCCATGTCTTACGTATTCCGCATGATAAACTGCGTTTTTGCATGACAGGTAAGAGGGCCTTTTCGTGCCTATGCAACACAGATTCTCGAGTCATGCCAGCCAAGCATGACAAACGTGCACTCTTCTAGACCCAGAGACTTTTGCAGTTGATACGATGTTGGCGGCCTCGATCTCTTCCTTGTTGCCTTTGGCGTCCGTGACTTCGATTGTATTTGGTCCCTTGAAAAAACCGGCACCGGCGATGTTCTCGACCTTGTTCGCCTTGAACAGTTATCCACTGCAAAATGTCTGGAAGTTTGTCATGCACACTTTGCATAACCAACGATGTCTGTGATGTATGCTCTAGCATCACAGATTTTCTGAGGCCTTCTTGATGCCTATTCCGCATGAGAAATGCGATGCCCTCTACGCGAAGGAAAAATTTACATTGCTTTTGCTGCTCATGCAATACAGATTTTTTATGGAATCCAAATGCAGCATCACAAGTTGCATTCGTCAAGACCCAGACATATTTACATTTGATAACAGCCCGGCGACACCGCGGGTGAGGCCGGTCACGGATTTTTTCTTCTGCTTCATCATAGCAGGTATGGATTGTAAAAATGTCTGGGTCTGGAAGATTGCAACTTGTCATGCTAAAATGCAGCTTGTCATGCTAAATCTGAATCATGCAGAAACCTGTGCTGCATGAGTGCCAAGAAAAGGAGTCCACTTTGGACCAAGTTTGGAGGGAGTTTCTCATGCAGGATAGGCATGGCAGAAACCTCACAGAACCTGTCATGCTAAGTCCCGCATTCCAGACCTCATTGGTCATGGAAAACCTGCATGACAAGTTTAGAATTTCCAGACCCAGACATTTTTGCATTTGATAGCTGGCACATCAACTTCAATGCTGCCGTTGACCTTGATTCCCTGCTTCTTGAAGTTTATCACAGGAAAAAGTGTTAACGTTAGCAGAATATTAGAATTTGTGATGCAGTAATGCATCGCAAAACGTGCCCAAGTTTGTCATGCATAGCATGCATACTAGGCAAAATTTGTCATGCATATCTGCAACCTATGAAAACCGTTAACGTTAACACTTTTTTGTTGGATAAAGTTGTGCAGTGCCTCATGGTACTGGTGTGATGCGTGCAGCAGCGCCTTCGACGGAATGCAACCCACGTTGAGGCAGGTTCCTGTTGAGCAATTTCGGAAGTACATCAACTAGAACTAGCTTTGCTCTTTCGATGCATGACAAAGACAACGTGTATTCGTATTCAGTGCAACACAAATTTTTCAACATAGAGAATAAGTTCTATACCGCCCAACGCTCCTCGTTTTTCCACACATGCCGTTGAGAGGCCGAGTTGCGCTGCTTTGATTGCGCACACGTAACCGCCAGGGTATGGAACTTGAACAAATCGATAACTTTTTCCACCTATAATTTTTTCCACCTATTCGTGGACAAGGAGCTACATGCTCCGTGGTTTACGGAGTCGTCTTTCTTGATATACAATTTTTTTTTTACAGCTCCACATGATCCACCTGCACAGAAAGCAGGAGACGACCTGTATCTGTCATGCATAATTTTGACTACAACGTACAGAACGTGGAAATTTTTATCGACATCAATTCCGTCTGCATACTGGTCCACCGCCTACGACGACGACGTCGAACTTTTTAGCAAGATGCAACGCAGACCGGTGCAACATATTGACGGTAGATGATGATGGGTTTGACAAATAATACTAAATATCTCCAGCAGCTCTGTCGTGTTGTCCCGCTGCAGGGGTTCCTCGGTTATAAATAAATGTTGAACTGAACGAAAATGAACTGCTGAATGCTTCAGCACGTCGGTCTCGAGACTCGCCCTCAACTTGTACAGTACGGCAAGTAAAGTAAATCTGGTGCTAAAACTCGTTTTTACTATAAATATGTTGTTGATGGGGTCTACTAGCTTTAGTGGCTCTTGGTGAGTAGTAGACAAATGTGCCGGGGTACTGGATAAAAAACACCAAACACAGAAGTCGGGGTAATATCATATGCTCTCAATAATTTTCATGTGAAAAAAACTCACTCGGTAATTATGTGCTGTTGCGTGCCGTCCTCTCATCTCTTTTCGATGGGAGTACAACTTCTGAAGTGCTACTTACCAGTTGTAGCACACCGCACGACCGAACTCCTGAATATCATACCGATCTTCAACTGCTCATTCTTTTTCTTGTCGCTCCTTTCTAAAATTTTATTGCGACCGTGAGAATTCCTCGTGCCATGCCGACTCACCAATTCGCTCCCAGGGAAAAAGGATAGCTCAGCAACCGACTCATTGTAAGTGTGGCAATAATTATGCCAAAAAAAAATTGTTGGTTTGTGTTTTGTTGATGGTTGAGACCAGGCTCACTCCGACGCTGAATTCAGGGTCAGGACGAATTAGGGTCAGCCCGGCCCTGAAATCAGGACCACAAATCATTTCCGGCCCCCACAAAAGTGGGTCAAAGTGAAGTACTTTCAGACCCACTTGAATGTGGGTCGTCAGGTCGTGTTTCGACCCACTTCAAAGTGGGCCAAAGTGGCCCACTTTCAGGCCCGCCTCAAAGTGACCCACTTTCCGCCTCCCCACAAAAGTGGGTCAAAGTGACCCACTTTCAGACCCACTTGAAAGTGGGTCGTCAGGTCGTGTTTTGACCCACTTCAAAGTGGGTCAAAGTGACCCACTTTCCGGTCCCCACAAAAGTGGGTCAAAGTGACCCACTTTCAGACCCACTTGAATGTGGGTCGTCAGGTCGTGTTTCGACCCACTTCGAAGTGGGTCAAAGTGGCCCACTTTCGGGCCCACCTCAAAGTGACCCACTTTCCGCCCCCCCACAAAAGTGGGTCAAAGTGACCCACTTTCCGACCCACCTGAAAGTGGGTCGTCAGGTCGTGTTTTGACCCACTTCAAAGTGGGTCAAAGTGACCCACTTTCCGGTCCCCACAAAAGTGGATCAAAGTGACCCACTTTCAGACCCACTTGAATGTGGGTCGTCAGGTCGTGTTTCGACCCACTTCAAAGTGGGTCAAAGTGGCCCACTTTCGGGCCCACCTCAAAGTGACCCACTTTCCGCCCCCCCACAAAAGTGGGTCAAAGTGACCCACTTTCCGACCCACCTGAAAGTGGGTCGTCAGGTCGTGTTTTGACCCACTTCAAAGTGGGTCAAAGTGACCCACTTTCCGGTCCCCACAAAAGTGGATCAAAGTGACCCACTTTCAGACCCACTTGAATGTGGGTCGTCAGGTCGTGTTTCGACCCACTTCAAAGTGGGTCAAAGTGGCCCACTTTCGGGCCCACCTCAAAGTGACCCACTTTCCGCCCCCCCACAAAAGTGGGTCAAAGTGACCCACTTTCCGACCCACCTGAAAGTGGGTCGTCAGGTCGTGTTTTGACCCACTTCAAAGTGGGTCAAAGTGACCCACTTTCCGGTCCCCACAAAAGTGGATCAAAGTGACCCACTTTCAGACCCACTTGAATGTGGGTCGTCAGGTCGTGTTTCGACCCACTTCAAAGTGGGTCAAAGTGGCCCACTTTCGGGCCCACCTCAAAGTGACCCACTTTCCGCCCCCCCACAAAAGTGGGTCAAAGTGACCCACTTTCCGACCCACCTGAAAGTGGGTCGTCAGGTCGTGTTTTGACCCACTTCAAAGTGGGTCAAAGTGACCCACTTTCCGGTCCCCACAAAAGTGGATCAAAGTGACCCACTTTCAGACCCACTTGAATGTGGGTCGTCAGGTCGTGTTTCGACCCACTTCAAAGTGGGTCAAAGTGGCCCACTTTCGGGCCCACCTCAAAGTGACCCACTTTCCGCCCCCCCACAAAAGTGGGTCAAAGTGACCCACTTTCCGACCCACCTGAAAGTGGGTCGTCAGGTCGTGTTTTGACCCACTTCAAAGTGGGTCAAAGTGACCCACTTTCCGGTCCCCACAAAAGTGGATCAAAGTGACCCACTTTCAGACCCACTTGAATGTGGGTCGTCAGGTCGTGTTTCGACCCACTTCAAAGTGGGTCAAAGTGGCCCACTTTCGGGCCCACCTCAAAGTGACCCACTTTCCGCCCCCCCACAAAAGTGGGTCAAAGTGACCCACTTTCCGACCCACCTGAAAGTGGGTCGTCAGGTCGTGTTTTGACCCACTTCAAAGTGGGTCAAAGTGACCCACTTTCCGGTCCCCACAAAAGTGGATCAAAGTGACCCACTTTCAGACCCACTTGAATGTGGGTCGTCAGGTCGTGTTTCGACCCACTTCAAAGTGGGTCAAAGTGGCCCACTTTCGGGCCCACCTCAAAGTGACCCACTTTCCGCCCCCCCAGAAAAGTGGTTCAAAGTGACCCACTTTCCGGTCCTCACAAAAGTGGTTCAAAGTGACCCACTTCCAGACCCACTTGAATGTGGGTCGTCAGGTCGTGTTTTGACCCACTTCAAAGTGGGTCAAAGTGACACACTTTCGGGCCCACCTCAAAGTGACCCACTTTCCGCCCCCCCACAAAAGTGGGTCAAAATGACCCACTTTCAGGCCCACTTGAAAGTGGGTCGTCAGGTCGTGTTTCGACCCACTTCAAAGTGGGTCAAAGTGACCTGCGCTTCACATCGGGCATCTCGCCAGAATCAAACGTGTTTGTATTCTGTTTTGGGTAAATTGTAGTTCTAGTCGTACGATAAATGGATTTCAATTTTAAACAAAATCGCGTCGCTTGTATTGTAACGTTGTGAGAGTGGACGAAGCACCCCCGTATTGATTCGCGGTTTGTTTCTTGAGCTGGCTCCTCTTTATTTTACTTCTGGTTGTGGCGACGCTGGACTTAGACACACGGGAGTGGGCCGCTTGTCCGCTAGGCCAAATGATTTTTTGATGCACTCCTTGCTGTTAAAGTGCGAAAACCACAAGACATTTCTATCTATATAGAAAGTAAAATCCCAAAGGGAAGTTTGAATAGAGCACAGTAGCAGGGCGAACTGAGAGTTGTTGCGTGCACATCCTGTAGTGTGGGTTAAAATGACGAAGAAGACAACCTAAATGAAATCTAGCCATTTCTATCTATAAACACGGAAGGGTGTGCTCGTCACGCAAACACTACACACCCAGGTTTCAAGATTTGATTCTCGCGATTTTCTTGTACAAAATAAGTTAAAGAGAATATTTTTTAATAAAGTATAGTAAGCGGCGCCTTGACTGAGAGAAGACAAGACACAACTGAGCGACTTTGCATTTTGCTAGGGGCCTCCGTATCTCTTGATTTGGATGAAGCTCAGGTAGCTCAAAACTATATATTTGGAGTAGAGTTTCTTTCTGCGGCCTTTGCATTGGTTCAAATTTGAAGTTTTGGATTTGGTAGTACGGCTATTTCTTTTCTGCCATTGCCGACCGCCGTGCGACCAGAATCGCAGTAGCTCTAATTACATAAACGTAAAAAACGTCGCATCTGTTAGCAATCCTGAGTTCTAAGCTTCACTTTGACAGAGAATTTTGGATGTAGAAACCTTCACCGGTTTAAAATTAGATTGTCACTGCATCCTGCAATAAATAAACGAAGATGTACAAAAAACGGACTCAGTGCAGTTGAGAGTTGCGTCAACAAGTAAACGAAAGTTGCTCATTCTGTGAAGAAAATAGCGGATGATGGTGCGATGGAAGAAGATGAACTTGACGATCCTCTAGTAGCATGCGTAGCAGTTCAACTTCAACTTCGAGTGAGAGATCATAAAAACAAAATATAGTAAGTTGCTGTGTTCACGACGTTCGAAAAAAAAGGAAGCTACGCTTTCAACATCACACCTCCCGCCGTCACAACGTGAAGATGACCCCTCCTCCTTTCATCTTCACACCCGTCCTATTCTTATTCACTTCTTACTTGTACTACAGCGCCGTCCGTCTTCTATAAAAAATTGCTCGTTCTCGTTGTTCTTGTTCATCGACTTCATATCACGAACGCGACCACCAGTTACTATAATTTGTTTTTTATCACCAAAAACTATTCACTGCTCCTCTTCACACCTACACGTCGTTCTACTCTTCACTTTGGTTTCTCCTGCCAGGAAACCTTCTGCAGAGAGTTGGAAAACTTCCGACCACTGTTTTCGAAGAGCTGCGCGACCTTCTGCGGCTGTTCTTCCCGGAGGTGATCCCAGCTTGCTTGGTTGTGCTGCGCCATCCTTTATCAAAGGCAAAAATGTACCAGTCTGGGTCGGGAAGTGAAAGGCTGTCATGCTAAAAGCCATATTTATACATTACAGGGTGGAGGTCTCGACTGATGATATCATGTCCGGCATGACAAAAGTCTTGCAATCTTCGTCTTCCAGACCCAGACATATTTGCAGTCCATATCAATCCCATTGTGTACGGCATCCAGTGACCCGGCTGCACGTGCGTGGTCATCGCTCCGTTGCTCTTGTCGTTGTCCGCTGGCACCGAGTATGGATTGCAAAAGGACCACAACAACTCCCAACAACTATCTTCATATCCGTTGACTCAATACTATTGGGATGTGTACATCATTTGTTGCATTCAATCAAAGCTAGTTTCCACGAGCACTCGTTCGCTTCTGGTTCTGAGTGTAGAAGAAGTTCTGCAAACGAAGCTTACTTTTTCATTCAAAATTTTTGATACTGGATTTTTACTTGCGAGCGCGATCCTTTCTTTCCCGAGGGTACCAAACGACCGTTGACAATGTCTGAGATCCGCAGCTGCCGCTTTTTCGGTTGGGTTGCAGCATTCTTCACAGTGGTGCCGGACGGATTTTCTTTCGTCACCCAGATGGAGCTATGCAAGGCAAAAGCATCGCACTACTTCCACTCGTTAATTCGAAATTGAAATTGCATAATGCAATTTTCATTTTGCTCAAAGAATTTTTTTTTCGTTTGATTCAGAAGGTATATATTTGTCATGCGCTTGCATCGCAATGGCAATTTAGAATTTGAATTTTGAATTGTTGAACCACAAGTAGGTGCGATACTTTTGCAGCGAGTAGAAACTGTGGTCGCCCATGTGATTCGTGATTTCTGCGGCGAGTTGCTGTTCCTCCGCGGTTACCATGCCGGCGTCACCGTCATCAAAATCGCCGGGCGTGTTTCCGTATCGAGTGCAAATCGTCCACATCTAGGAGGAACACTAGAAAAATGCAGCACGGTAAGAAATGCAAAACACTGATGTTCATTTTCCGGTGATGTTGCTGAAGGTGAGATCATGTTGGCTCATCAATGGTGATATTAGCATGATCAGATCAATAGCAATACATTAACATGACAAAATTATTCTCTAGCACTTTTCTAGACCACTGCCAGACATGGTTGCAGTGCATAGGCCAGGTGTGATGGTTTGCTGCGGGCCTGGGTTTGTTGTAGTGTGGGTGATGAAAAGTAAAAATACTGTTGCGTTTTTCAATAACATAAATGTCCTTGAATTATGTCTAAACATTCAACACTCGTCCACCTGAGGACGTATTCAAAGAGAGCCTAGTACGCAGGTTGACGAAGTGCTGTTCTTGAGCAAGATAAAACTATCGTATCTATGAGTGGTACGCTTCTTGCTGCCGATCGCGCTGTTGCGGTTCTTCATTCCGAGCAACGACGAGGCGCCACCGAAGCAACCAAATTTTACTACTTTGCTGCCAGATGCGTGGGTTTTTCCGTGTTTATTAGTTGTGTCATCGTCTTGATCATCAAACCCTTCAAGCTCCTGAAGCAAAATTTCTTCATCCTCGTCCCGATTGAATAACATCGGCTGTCGCAGTTGCAGCGCACCCGCACCCGCAGAGGAAGAAGATGCTCCGGGTGGTACGGACGAGAAGGCGTTTTTTACCCCGCCGCTGTAGTTAAGGTTGTTGTGGTAGCTGCTGCTGCTCCCTGCACCGCTGTTTGGTTGCAGAAATAGTGCAGAGGATGAAGAGGAAGCAGATTGCCCGCCACGACTCTTGAGGGAGAAGGCAGAACGGTTGGAAGTTGTGGACCTCTGGCTGTAGGTCGTGTTTTTCTGGTTAATATTTTGTCCTCCGCTAGAAGTTGTACTGGTGTTGTTTTTCAGGATTCCTCTCAACCCGGACGGCAGAAGCGCGGTGGGGACAACCTGTGCCGTTTTCTTGGCCAGCTGGCCGAAGAGGCCGGGTCGCGAATCGGGCAGGTGCGGTTATTATGCTTGGAAAATATATCTGGGTCTGGAATAAACTTGTTATGCTGCATCCACTTTCGCGAGTGCAGCAGCCAAGCATGACAAACTTTTATTTGAGACATCTTGTCATGCGTTGTAGCGCTCATGAGAAACAGCTTGCGCTTTTGCATGACAAAAGACAAGTGTTGCATTTCTTCCTGATAATTGACGCGCAATACAAATTTCACACACATCCATGCAGGTCAAGCAATACAGATTCAACTTTCTTTATTCCAGACCCAGACCACAGATTTGCACTCGATAATTGTTTGCGCTGGGAGTGGTCCTCATACTGCTCGCCGAAGAGCTCGAGTTCTTGCGGGCCGTAGCCGGGCACTGCGCCACCGAACACCGACGGGTCGCGGAGGCTTATGGCCTTTTCGGACAGCAGTTGTTCCTTGATGATTTGTTGCGCGTAGCAAGGTATGCGGTGCAAAAGTATCACTATCACGGTCACCGGGACCCTCGACCAGGCCTCTGTTCTTCAGCATGTAACAGCTTGGGTCTCGTGCTGCTTGTTTCTTATGCAAGCTCCCGACACCTACGACCACAGAAATACTTTTGCAAAGGATAGCAATCAACTCGTTCTCCGTTGCTCCCTCCTCTTCTAAATGGTCATAAACCAACTGCAACCCGTCACGGTGCGTGTTCCGCACCTGCTTCGCGCCTCTCAGCAACTCCAGTGCCTCACTTTGCTGCCGCTCCCGGTCCTGTTCCTCATCTTCTTTTGTTTTCTCGGCCATCTTCTTGCTGCTATCTTTTTTGCCTTATGCAACATTGCAAATACGTGTGGGTCTGGACTTTGTGATGCAGTTTTTGCAGGACCCAGACGCCCTAGCATACAAGCATTCGCATCACAACTGGTTTTGAGAACCTTCTCAATGCCAGTCCCACATGAGAATTTCCATGTTCTACTTTTGATGACAAGAGATAGGCCACTTGTGCCTTTCACGCATGACAGATTTTTGTCTGATCCAGAATGCGCATCACAAGTTTCAATCTTCCAGACCCAGACGCGTTTGCAGTGGATATCCCTTTACCCTCCTTGAGCGCGCCGTCTTCCTCTGCTTTAGCTCTCGCGGCCAGGGCCTCTGCTGCTTCTGCGGTGGTGAGCAGTTTCCGACTCTCCGGCACGTAGGCCAGGCACTGCCTCGCTACCTCGGCACACACCGGGGAGACCTCCCGCGCCTTTCCGAGTAAGTTGGTCCATTTTTTTTCCAACTTGTTGTACAACTTTCTCCCCTATCAAATGCTAATACGTCTGGGTCTGGAAGATTGCGAGATCATTAGTCATGCTAGACTGGCACGTTGACTCTGGGATCTTTATTGTGTAGTTTGTTGTGTGGGTGTGCTCATTATTCACTGACTTGCGCCGGCACAACTTCCCAGACCCAGACATATTTGCAATGGATATCCACGGACCAGCCAGCCTTGTGATCTGGATGGCGGCTCTGGTTGTATTCGCATCCACGTCAGACGCAATCACCCGGGTACCTATGCATCGCAAATATATCTGGGTCTGGAACATTGCTACGTTTGTCATGCATGCATGCATGACATGACGCGAAAGTCTGTCATGCACAAGCAGCTTCCCATGGATGCAGGATACGCAACACATAGCAGCTCAAGAATTTGCTATGTTTGGCTGGGCATAACAATGCGCTTATCCTGCGCTTTTAGCATTACAAGTTTATTCCAGACCCAGAGGACAGACTTGCAAAGCGTACTAGCAACATGCCAGGCCACTTCCTCCTGGAGCTCGCCGTCCGCGAAGGAGATGGAAAATTCTCTGTCAGTATGCACTGCAAGAATTATGTGTTCTGGGTCTGGAACAAGAATGCAAGGGTCGTTATCATGCTTGGTTGACACGAGCACGGCGACAAAACAAACACCTGTCGTGCAAAAATGCAATTTGTCATGCGGTCCGCGTATGGTCACATAGATAACGGTTCAGCAACTTGCCATGCGTGGCTCGAAAAAGAGGGGCGTGGTCCATCTACACATCTGCGTCACAGATTTTTCCAACTACCAGAAGACATTTTTTTTGCAAGGCATATTCATCGTCATTCTCATCGTCTTCTGCGTCGTCGTCGTCACCTATCCCGAGTAAACACGCCCCCACCTCCTCCCCAGAGGAAAAATGGAAAATGTGCTCGAGAAATCAACAAGTTTTGCTTTTGGTTGTTGCGCATGACAAGTTCATTTCTGGGCTTGCAAAAATGTAGGCGAGTAGTTTTGTAGCTAGGAGTGCAGCAGCATCACAGTCGATAGGGCATCTTACACTGAGACTGACTCAAGCATGATAAAAATCAAAACCACACTTGGCGCGCAAGAGAAACACTCGAGGCAGGCAGATTTGCATGACAGCTCTGGCGTCCTGGGGGCGTCTTTACACAGAATATCATCACCACTGTCCTCGTCATCGTCCTCGTCTTCAGACTCCCTCCAGTAATTATGCAGCGCAAAAGTATCGTAGCTACTAGGTGTTGTACGAATTGCATGACAAGTTCGCACTTACCTTTGAGAGGTGGCCACCCACTCCCATAAGTAAGACGACAAAGGTAGGCTTCTCGTGTCGTTTTGCAACCTACTGCGAGGACGAGACAACTTTTGCGCAGGATAGTACTTGCCACACAGCAGCTTCATCAGCTCTTCCTCCTCCCCGGCATCGCTTAAAACTTCGCAGATAATGTGACCTATCGCCCAATAGTCGTATCTAATGCAAATATGTCTGGGTCTGGAAGAGGACAAGTTTGCCATGCACATTTTCCATGATTCGTGAACGTGATGTCTGTGCTACACATGCCTTAGCATCACAGATTTTTGAGGGCTTATCGATGCGCATCCCGCATGACAAATGCCCTCTCCGCGTAGCCAAATTTGCCTTCCCTTGCTGCTCATGCAATACAGGTTTTTTTAGCATCCAAATGCAGCTTCACAAGTTGCACTCTTCCAGACCCAGACATATTTGCACTGCGTAAGTCGTGGCCTTTCACGAACTTGATACCACTGCTGGTCTCCTGGAGGAAGCTATCGAATGCAAATATGTCTTTGTCTTGCACAGGATGTTGCTACACTGACTTCTTTTGCAAGATTCTCGTGTGGCATGAGCGCATCACAAGTTTTCCCCAGTGTTATTGCACACTTAACTGTAATATTTTGGTCAGGGAAAGATGCCTTCTAGCCCGACAAAAAAATAAGTCACGAATCCTTTTCATGAAGTACAGACGATCTTCATCTTTGTCGCAGTGAACAACCGCATCACAAGTCAAGGCCCAAAGACATTTGCAATGCGTAGTAGCTCGCGGTTTCCGGGGGCGTGTATGCGCCGGTGCCGCACGAAGAGCGGGGGCTGTGTGTGCCTGCGTCGCCCAGTGCGGCGGAAAAGAGCTTCGCCGTATGCAATACAAATAATGTATTCCCGCAGAGGCAGATGTACAAAGTGCATCACAGATTATATGCAGGTTATAGGACTCCAGGCATGCCATTTGTCATGCTAAATAGGATTGAGAGGGTGTCTGTCATGCAGTAGACGACGCGAGTCCGTTTTTCCATCGTGCGCGGAAATATTCAGTATTTTGCACGTGGATACGCCGTTCCCAAATCACCAACCACCAAAACCAGCCGGCCCGCCTCGTCGCGTGCCATCAAAAATAAATTTTCGCGCTTCAGGTCGCGATGGCCATACCCCTATCGCGTGCAAATATGTCTGGGTCTGGAAGGATGCCAGGTTTGTCATGCACATTTTGCATGACTCGGACTCCTGATGTCTGTGATGCATGCCCTAGCATCACAGATTTTGTGAGGGCTTCCTGATGCCTATGCCGTGACAAATACGGGACCGCTTTTGCTGTTCATGCAATACAGATTTTTGTAGAATCCAAACGCAGCATCACAAGTTGTATCCTTCCAGACCCAGACATCTTTGCAATGCATAACCCAAGCTTCTCTAAATACCGCACTCCCTCCACGAGGTCGTCCTCCCACAACCGCCATTATGCAATGCAGAAGTATCGCACTCGTATAAATGCAATTCTTGCATTACAAATCTTGTTTGTTTCCAAGGCAAATCTGCATTACAAATTTTACTTCTCATCATGCTGAGGAAATTTGTATTGCAATTTCTACTACTACGTCTACGATACTTTTGCAATGCATAGCCATAAGGTTTCGCCGATTTGTTTCCACCGGAACTTATTCAATGGAATCCCGCGCTCCATGAGGATGAATAAATTCCAGCTTTTGACCACGCTAACCCATCCGCCGCGAATATCCCAGGAAAAAAGTCGTGTTACAGTTACACACTTGTAGTCAATTCCGCAACACAAATTTCTCTGCATGAAAGAGAAAGCTTGTAATTCAGAAATCCCACGGGAAAACACCAATGAAACGAGGCTTCTATGCGTACCCGGCATGACAGAGCTGGTCTGTCTTGCTTGGCCTGCAACACAATGCGCAACTGTAAAACTTTTTTCTTGCGATAACGAAACCCAATCACGTTCGCGTGGCTACACTGCATCATTAAATCCAGTTCGCGATGAAGTCGGATAAAATCGTCTTTACCCATCTTGTCCTCATCGTCGTCTTCCTCGTCATCACTACTGTTGTCTCCATTGTCTTGCGCGGGTTTTTTTTTATTCTGTAGCTGGTCTTCGTCCTTACTCTTCTTTTTGTTACTGGGTTTTCTCTTCTTATTGTTTGCGTCTGGTGGAGGATTTTTCATCGGGCTTTTGCTTTTTTTGTTCTTCGATTTCTCGTCTTCATCCCCGAAATGCTCAATTCGCTTCACAGCCAGTTTGTCATGCACCGCGTAGACGGTCCCGTATCCGCCTTTGCCGAGCCGTGGGAATGGTGTCTCGGTGATTGCCAATGGCAGCTCCAGGATCTCCGTGTTCAGCTCCCCCGCCTCGGGATCGTCGGGCTCTTCCACCAGTCCGGTGCGAAGTATGGCGCTCTCAAGCGTTACATTCGAAACTGTATACATGAATTGGTGATGCAAGAGTGGCAAAAGCGAAAGGGGGGGACGTTCGTGCGAGACTTGGATTACAGACTTGGCCCAGATTGTATATGCTATTTAGCTTGTTGTCGAGAACTTGTCATGCGAAGAAGCTTGATCGTGAGAAGCGTGATAGTTGTGATTCTGGCTGACAAGAAATTCATGTGACAGCTGAGCACGTAACGTTTGAGATGAATCCCATACGAAATAATTGTAGATCGCCGAACTTTTTGCCGGGAATATACCGCAGCCGCCCGCCGCCCCCGCCCGATTTCGTATGCATTGCAAATCTAAGGCCCTCTGGGTCTGGAATTGAATACTTTTGTGATGCTGGTGTTTGAAGGATCACAGAACGAAGCGCCACGATCATTTGAGGCCAAACATGCCAAGTTGTTTAGCTGCTGGGTTTTACCTACTTCTCTCCATGCGTGACAAACTGCGTTGCTGCATGACAAAAGTGCGTGGCTTTTCGGTGCAAGCAACGTGCGCGATGCTAACAAAGCATGATAAAAAATCGAGGGAGGTGATGACGCTAATGAGCATGGATGACAAGCCCGGTAGTCGTAATCTTCCAGACCCTCCAGACGAAATCTTTGCAAGTGATATTTTGTGTCCTTTCGCAGGATTGGAAATGTGTGGTTGGTCATCACACCCACACGCATGCGATCCTTGTCAGTGGCCTCGTAAAAAACTGCGTCCTTGTCGTCTTCGTTGTTTTTCATAGCTATCAAATGCAAAAATGTCTTGGTCTGGAAGCTTGTGTTGCTGACACTTGCATTGCAAACTTGCTGCTTGTACGGCATAACAGCATGAGAAATTTCCCTCGTCTAACAGCATGAGAAATTTAACACGAATAAACAATCCTTGCGGATTGTTTATTCGTGTTTAGCATTACAGACTGCCATCCAGCACGACAAGAAAACTGGCCAATGGTATTCATGCATTACAGATCTTGTTGTCCTTGACATCCTGCATCACAAATCCAGACCTAGACATATTTGCAATTCATAATACCCGCGTCCTGTTTATCTTCCTTCTTGTCCACCACGACCGCGTCTCGCTCTGTTTTCCCTGGTAGTAGAAGCTGTTCGCCGGAGGTTATCCAGAGGAAGAAACCCATGCCATCCACATCTATTCTTTGCATGACAAGCACAGATTCAGATGGAGCAGGTGGCTTTGACGCATTTTTTGCATGACCAAGTCGATGGGCGGGATGCTGGGTCTTTCTTAGTGGATACCGCCCTGCAAACCAGCGTCCTCCATGATGACATCGTCCTCCTGCTTGCCTTTCGTGCCTTTTTTATTCATCCCGCCCTTCGGGTTCGTGTTGTTTCCAGTCTGCTTCTTGTTCTCGGGCTGCAGACCGTCCTGAAGCTGCTTCACGCTCTTCTTCTCAGGGGCGGGCATCTTGTTTTTCATTTTTGGAAGTAGTAGCTGGAGTGCGTGGTTGTATTGGAAGTCGCTACAACCAACGTTCTCACCAACAGCGGACTGCGTGTGTTGGCGTTGTAAACGGAGCTTCTGTAGTTTTTCGTCGAAAGTTGTGGACGACGCGATGCAGCACGACGTCGTAGTTGTTCAGGGAGCAAGTTTTAATCCTGCTGTAGCCTGTAGATCTCGCCTTCCTGACCCTCCTGTCCGGCTCAAATTGACAGCGAAGCAAAGATTTATTCGAGTTGCGCTGCTCGTTCTTTCTGAAGTTGTGTAGTTTCCAACAGCACCACGATGTTGAAAAGCAATTAAGCGCCAGCGGCACTACACCCACACGTGGTTCTTCACCAACAATGTCGTCTTTCAGGAAATCAGAAAGCAGCAAGTTGTCCACAAGCGCGCGGCACTTCGAAAATTGAGGATGAGTTCGCGTTCTGGCAGGGCGTGGGCGGGGTGCTGTGGTTGAGGTTCTTGTTGTAGAAGAAGATACTCACAACTGCGGTTAGTTGTACGTAGTTCCTTCTCGTCACCGTTGAAAATAGGTCTTCTTCAAATATGATCCGCTCTTACTGCCGCGTTCATCTTGCGAGGACAGTTTTGTTGCCGGTTGATGGTTCTTGGGGTTTCAGTAAAAACGACCAAAATTGCTGGTCGTAAAAGAATCTTGCTACAGGTGGACCGCTATAACAAGCTAGTTGTAGTCGTGTAGTCGGCTTAATATTTCAGTGCTGTGAAGATGTAGTTCTCCTGCTTTTCCCGCTGGTGCCACTGTGGAAAAGAAAGCGGTCTGGACAGCTGTTGCACTTTGGCTTTGGTCCTCTACGTGGGAGAAGAAGTTTATGTGAATTTTCTCTTCAAGAACGACCAACCGTGACCGCCGGTCTGTCGTACTTACCGCACAGGACGAAGCTGCGTCAATGCGAGGAGTGGTCCTCGGAGTGAGTAGTTCTTGTAAGGAGTAAGCACAAGAAAACAAGCGGTCTTGTCGTACTTACTATCCCCCAGCTATTGTTTGATGATCCACCTCGTTCTCCTGTGTTTCGTTTGCTCCTCCAGAAATGCGCTGTGCACAGAGTCCTCGGAAGACAACTGGATATTAGAGTTCCTGTAGGTACTGGTTGGAAACCGAAGCGAGCTGTGGTCCTCCAGGAAGCTGAGATTCTGTAAAAATCTCCTGCTGTCGCCGGCTCTGTAAAAATAAATCTCCTCCTGTAGTGCAGTCGCTGCTCGTTCAGATCGGCGGGTGTGAAGTCTTCCGTTGTCGTTCTCCGCCAGTGAGTGTTGTTTTCCGCTTCCTCAAACTACTTCCCACTCTTCCTTCTCCACTACAATTATGTCGGAAACGAAAAACAGGTTCGAAAAAATCGGCGCTCTATGAAGTAGGCATGCGATTTTGTAGATGATTGCGACAAGCTTGCTTATGAAAGCTTAAGCTTATTACTTTGTCAGATCTTCAACCAAAAAAAAAACCAACAACGAAAAATCGTCGTAAAGGGTAGAGCTTCAATTCGTTTTTTATTTTGTACTTCTAGTTGTAGCCATTGCGTGTTGCAACTCAAGAAAAAAACATTTCCTAAAGTCAACGATTCAAACGGGGTGGTTGTACGAACGATGTGCAATAGATCATGCGTAGAAGGCGAGAAGGAAACACGAATTCGATCGATCTGTACTGCGATTGCGAGCTGCATAAATAAACATCGAAAATAGACACAGAATCAAAATCGTCACTCGCCAACGTTAGGTCTGAAAAAAAAGCAGAAGCACATAAACAAACACGACAGAAGGACCACCGTAGAACGTGATCACGTATAAAAAATATTTTATACAAGCGGATCGTGGCCTAGCGGATCATCGATTGTCTGCACAATAGCAAGACCGAGCGAGACGGGGGCGAGAGCGATGCCTACGATCGTGGTAGTAATCTAAACGTCGAAACAAGCCAATCGCTCCTCGATCGAAATTTTCAACTACGTCGCGACAAGAGCAAATTAATAGGTTTTTGCCGGTTTGCGAAGCTGCCAGGGCCACATGGTCGCTCAAAAAGACAAAGACTGCGATAGTGACAAGAAAAACTATAATCTACTAGTAGGCGAGCTTTTTTGTAGAAGTTTTCTTTTCTCTCATTCACGGACAATCCTTTATTGCCCTTTTCAATTTTCATTCTCTCTTAAAGGTGGAGGCAAGTGAAACACTTAACACGGCCGAGGCAAAGGCGGTTTGAGCAATACGACACAACTTGTGATTTTGTTTTTGTGGCCGGATTTTGATAAATCCTAAGCACAGAGAACGAGGAGGAAGGCGACGAACACACCAGTTATTGATTCCTCTGCTGCCAGAGTGAGCGCAGGGTCAAACTCAAAACAAGCCAAAGCTGCTTGCTCGTATTAAAGATGTTTATTGCATCATCCACAGATCATGTGTCGTCGCAGAACTTCACCAATTGGAATTCCTTGAAGATTTTTTCGTAGACAAAGACACCAATAAATATGAGTTTGAGTAGCATCAGAAACAGAATTTATCCACAGGTGCACAGCTCCTACTACTTGTAAGCCATCTTCAGGCACTTGGCCATCAAGGCCAATCCCTTTTCACTCCTTCTCTCCTCCTCCGGTCGCCATTTCGCCTTCTGCTGCCGCTTGTCTCGGATGTGCTTCGGAAGTAAGCTTTCGTCAATGCCGTCGTTCAAAGGATTTTTGTGCGTTTTCTTCGCCAACTCGATCGTTTTATCAGCCGCATCTTGCTGGAACTGCAATTCTTGTTGGCGTGAGAACTGTTTTTTCCGCGCAAACTGTTTTCTGTGCTCCTCTTCGCGGATTTGCTTCTCGATTTCCTTGTTGGTCTTGCGGTTTTGTTGCCGGACTTTTTCCGCCTGGTCCGCTTTGCGCTGCTCTTCTACATCGGAATCTTCTGCGTCACTGTCAGTCTCAGTGCCCGCGGAGTTCTTTCTGCTCTTCATCTTCTTGTTTCCACGGTTTTCTGCTTGTATTACCGAAGCTTTTTTGGTGCCCGCGCTGGCTGGTACTTTGCCGCTTTTTCCACCGCCCTGGAGCTGCTGTGTCGCTGTCGTCCTGCTTTTTTTTCCGTTATTTTCGGTACTCCCTGACGTACTAGTAGTTCCTCCTGCAGCCCGGAGCACCGTCTTGTACTTCCGCTGACTGGGGTCTTGGTGTCGCAGGAACTTCACCATGGTACTATTTTTGATGTGGTCGTTTATGCTGATTATAGGGGAATCATCAGATGATCAAAAGTACACTTATGCTGCATAGATAGGGGAACAACTACAAACTACGTTTCATAAAGTAGCCGTTACCTTGAGTTTCTGTTTCACCTGTTCCGATGTTTCCAAAAAATGCAACGCGACTAGAAATCGTTACGGTGACACAGCACTCGCGGTGAGTCGAGGCTGCCCTTGCTGTCCATCGACATACAATACCAATTGCGCGTTGGTTCTACTAAGATCGCTTGTTCCACCTGACATCTTCTATCTGGATCCAGATCTTGCTAGTGAAGAACAAAATTTTGAACGCGTCGACATTCTGAGTTTCTTGTGAGGTGAGAAGTTCATTTGCATGAAAATGTAGATCAAGGTCATGATCTCGTGACTCGATCCGAGTGCGGCCACATGTGGAAATTTTCCGCGCAAAAAAAGGCTTCAACATGGAAGATCTTCCCGTCTCTTCATGAAGACACAGGTTCGACGACGACGTCGAGAGACGACCACTGATCAAATTGAAATTACATTCTCGTCAAATTATTCGACTTGTTTTGAGGTGGCGATTTGCCTAGTAGAAGAAGAGCAAAATCGCGTATCATTCTTTTCCTGGCAAGAAGCCAATGCAGATGGGGACTCAGAATCCGCGGATGAAGCTGCGAAGACGGTTTCGCATCGTCAACAAAGCGGGTACTTGCAGGACGATTATGATCAATATCATTTATTTGTCATTGTCAGTCTTCGATGCATTTTTACAGGTAAAATTAAGGAGCGGCGAGTGAGGCTCGACCGTCATCACTGGATGGAAAAATCATTCAACATTCAATGCTGTTCATGTACATCTTGCGTCGACAACAAATCTAGATGATGTGGAAAATGGGAGTGCGACCTCACCTAAGCCTGACTAAAAAACTACTAGATGCGATAATATGCAATATGCAGCACGAGCAGCTGGCCTAACCAAAAATCGGAGAAACGACTTTCGACGAGCAAAAATACTTAACTTAACTTACTATCGAAACCAATTCCATTCTCGAATTTATGTTTGAATTTCGTGCAGTCCTTGCAGTGGTGCATGATGCCCCAGCTCTGATGGCTTGTCTTGCAGCAAACTAAACTGGTCAGCGAGACGTGTCTATTTTGAGAGTTTTTTCGTTCTTGCGGTCTTTCTGTTCTTCATTTTTAATTGAGTGCAATACTACTTAGCTGCACGCGCGTAAATAAAGGCTCTGTAGTGGGCCACACTTAATTCATGCATGGAAGCAGAAGATGCAGAATTCTTCATCGAGAAGCAGCTGCGGTATAATTCGGGTCGTTCCAGTTTGTAGTACTTCTAGTAACGAGGAGGACATATTACGAGCCGATCTCTTGTCTTTGGTCACCACAAAGTAGAGGTATATTCATACTTCTATTCGCTTCGTACTGGGACTTTTCTACCTATCGCTTTTCTATCACACCACGAAAAATCCGCCCTCCGGGGCAGTATGCAAAGTATTCCCATGTGCGGTTTCAACTTTCATCAAAGTGTTGTTTTTCTGCATTTTGAATTCCACGATCCCGTACCGTGGCGGCTCCGGCAGCTGTCCGGCGAGCACTGCGTCCAGGTCAAAGGGCCTTGGTAGCGCGTCGAATTTTTCCAGTACAGTTCTCATAGTTTTGGTCCTCTGATGATGCTCCTGTTGAGCGGCAGGAGGTTGTGGTGCTGGCGCTGCACCAGCCTGTTCCACTTCTTCTCCACGAGGACCATCGTGGTTTGCAATTCCATCACCATCCGCCGCAGCTGTTGTTAACACCGTCTTCGGCAATTTCGGCGGTGGAAAATACTCCATACCCTCCGCCTCAACTCTCGGAACCCGCATGGTAAAGCTCACGCCATACAAATCGTAGGGCGTGTGATTGCCGCCCACACGGCTGATGGCCCTGTGCGGCACTTGCTGCGCTACACGACCGTAAATCGTGTCGACTTTGTCTAGATCAAACCGGATTTGGAGGATTCTCCCGTCGTCGAGCCGTGCAAACTCGGGATCTTTCCACGCATCCGCGCCAAGTTCGAAGCAAATTTGCTGCTGCAGCTCCTTTGTTTCGGTAAAAAGGAAATAGACGAAGCTCAGAGGGCCGCCGGGGTAGGAATCGTACAGGATACAGCCGAAGTTTAAGGGTTTAGAAGTTTCTTCACGGCGAGGTGGACGCCCAGCATGCGATGTAGTTGTACTTGTGCTGCTACTCCCGCCGGAGAGAGCAGATTCCAGAAGATCGAGAATGTGTAGTGGCAAGTTCCCGATGTGCGCGTCTTCCTTTTCGGCGAGGGTTTTCAACATCTTTCTTGCTGTGACAGTAGCTGGTGGGCGGGCGCCGTGTAGTAGTCCATTTCTCGAAGCCGCCTGACTCTTGCTCCTCCTGCCCTTATTTCTGCTTGCGGTGCTGGCAGGAGAGCTCGGCAGAGAAGAGTCGCCTACCGTGCTGTCAGTACTATCGGCTTCAGAGGACTCATGATCACTGTGGCTGTGCTGCTTGGATGGGGTGCTCCTCCTCCTTCGTTGTGGCTGCACATTTATTCCTGCGGCGATAGAAGTAGAACTTGAGAGCAAAGAAGAACTCGCAGGATCTCCTGGCACCAAGGCCGACGTTCTAGTTGTCGCGGGGCTTGGGTTCTTTCTGCTTGTTTTCCTGCTTCCTTTCCTCCCCGACGAGTTGTGGTTCTGCATCAAGCTGCTCAAGATCTGCTTAAACTTAAGCCCGACATCCTCCCGGCGGCGTGGGTAAAACTCGCCAAGGAAGTAATGCGGCCGGACAGTTGTTTCTTTTTTCTCTTGCTGTTCCCCTAGTACCGCGATAGCACGATGTTGACCTGCACTGCCATTTGCTTGTGTGGACGGAAATGAAGACTTCGCCGGCTCCTGTCTCAGAAGCGGCGCGGCCGGAGTTGTACCAAAAGCGCTTTCCTGCAACGGCAGCAAGAAGTCTTTGTCGAATTGTTCGGCGAGCTTCTGTGCGTTGTCATTCCTCCGTAGTTCCTCAGCGTTTTCTTCGTGGTCGTCTCCCTGTAGTGAAGCTGCTCTAATTCTTTCCGATTCCTCTTTCTCCAGCCCGCTTCTCCGGTAAGTTACCAAGTTCTGCAAAAACAACGGCAGCTGCAGCTCTTGGGGCCGTTCTTGCTTCTGTTGCAGCCCACGACGACCTTCGCCTTCCTGCTCAGCATCTGCCGGCACTTTAACTTTATCCACAACCGGAAGTACGTCGACCAGCAGTTTTCGGAGGTCAAATCTGATACTCGGTTGCGAAAAATTCACCTTTCCACCAGCGAACAATTCCTTCACCGGGTTTTTCGCAACTGCGAAAAGAAAATCCGCGATGGATTTTTCCACAAAGGTGATGTTCACGGTGGCGCTGCAAAGATCCTCGTGAAAATCTTCTTGCTTTTGTTCCTCAACGACGGCTTTCCTCGAGCCGTCGTGGGCATCATGATGATCTCCTGCACGACCACCACGACTAGCGCGATGGGTGAAACAAGCAAGCTTGTCGCACTCCACGGCTTTGACCAGGTCGGACACTGTGGTCGTTTCCAGATCTAACTTCTGGAGCTTGTAGAAAACTTCCGGCTTTCTGTTGCTGTTTACGTTGTCAAAAAACTCCCCTGGGAGCTTTTCACGCAGGTATGAGGACAGGGGACGGTAATCATGGGTGGCCACAGCTGCGACGTGTGGATCTTCGAATTCCTCTTTCGTATCAATCGTCAGCACGGTGCGCCCGGTCAATAGTTTGAAATCGATTTTCGTCGCAATAATGAACTCGCAGGCGACCACCAGGGATAGCAGGAAAAAACCTACTGAGCAGCGGAACGAGGGAAACATTGTTTTTTTTTTGATGAAGCTGTATGCAATGGAAATAGGGTAGCGGTAGGAAGCTGCTGTGGGTAGTCGTGGTTCTTCAGTATATGATTTTACGTCGTGGTGGTCAATTTGGTTTTGGTACTTTTAGACAAATGGACTCGGACTCCATATATCGACAAGTACGAAAATAATGCACTGACAGCTCCTTGGTAATTTCCTGTTGAGAGGTTGTAGGAAGTACGACGAATGAAGAGGCCACGACCTCGTAATAGTACCGTTGCAACACAACTAGAAGCTCCATGAGAAGTAGATACTGTTTCGGCGAGGGGGACGAAACATTTTTTGAGGACAACGACAACGAGCATTTGTCAAGGGTCCGATGCTGGGCATGGCTCAATAGCAAGAGCTTTGTTTTTTTTGTATTGTTCAAAAACCGCATCCGCACAAATAAAGATTGCTGCACCGAGAGCGAGAAGCTGTTTCCCAAGCGTCCTGCAGAAAATTTGCATGATTTGGGATCTGATTTGTAACTGCGTCGGAACATCAATTCGTGCGGCGAGTGAAGATCTTGCTCATTTTTGATTTTCGGACCTTCTTGTCATTTGTTTCTGACGCTCGCTTGTGGTTTTCTCTTTTTTCTGATCGCTTTTGACAATAAAAGCGTGATCTCGTCGTGGAAAATCTAAAGCCACTTTGTTCAACATACATCTCGAGATCAAATTTTTCGGTCTTGCGAGTCCTCGCAGTTTCCTAGTGCACCTCAGGCCCACGGGGAAGAGGTCGTGGAACACGACGAGCACATACACAGAGAAAATTTGTGATGCAGAAACCCCAACAAATGTGTTACTGTAACACTTTTTTCTCGCGATAGCACTGTCAATGGTTAGCAGGGTGTCCCCGCTCAATAGCTTGAAAGCGATCTCCGTCGCAGCCGTAAATTCACTGGCGCCCCAGGATAGCAGACAAAAGATCTTCACGGAAAAGCGGGAAGACAGCAACATTTTTCTTTTTTGTTGTGAAGCTGGACACGACGAAATTGACGTAGGAAGATGCTGCTCTTGAGGTAAAAATTATGGTTCTTCGAAGATATTATATTACGTCGTGGCGGTCAATCTCAATTTGTTAGTCTTCGTCTTTCTTTATTCTTTCTTGTCGTGCCTGGGCATGGCATCAAATGTTCAAGGCCCTAAAAAAAGTCCATCTTGATCTCTCTTTCTTCTTTCCCTGATGTCGATATCTCCAGTCTTAGTCTTACAATGGATTGTTCGTAAAGTCCCAGAGAGAAGTTTGAATTTTAGCAGAAGATGCCACAAGAAATACGATATGAAGTCAGTGACAGATTGATAATCATAATCTCCTGATGTTGAGAGGTGATTAGCGACGTTTCTCTTCGTATTGTTCCAAAACTGCAAAGAATAAACCGATTCTCCTCGAAAGAATACTTGCTTCCTGCAAAAAAATTGGGATCTGATTTGTAACTGCATCGGAATCTTCTTTCGTGCGGGGTGATCAGTGATCTCGCTTTTTTTTTTCGACCTACTTTTCCCTTTCACTTCTGATCGCTTGTGGCATCCATTAAAGCCGTGATCATCTCGAAGATCAAGATTTTTCACTCTCAACTTACATCTTCGTCCATCGTTCTTGCGATGGATCGCAATTTTCTATTCCTTGGTCTCCTGAGAAATAAATGTGGCCATTCTCATTGTCATAGTGAACAAGCTGTAACTTCTTAATAGCCCGTTGGTGGAGGTGGAAGTGGATCGACGCAGTCGCAACCTACACTACGAGCGAAGAAGATACTTCTTAGTACCGAGGCCCACATTCAAACGAGAAGAACGGCAAAGGGGGAAGAGGTCGTGAAACACGACGAGCACATGCACCCCTACAGGGATGAAGCTTTACCTTTTCCGAATGAATAGTGCAAGACTAGAAGTACTACTGCAACATACTTTTATGTGTAAAAACTTTTCAACTTTTAAGAAGCTCATGACTTTAAACGATTCCGCTGTTGCTACAAAAATTCAGCAGCTTCTAGCACTTCAGCAAGAATCGAATCGAAAAACAATCGCGCAGCGCTAGAAAAAAAATGTTACTTACTTCAGGGCTCATCTACTTTCTTGCGTATAGCAAATTTCTGTGCAGCTTGAGTTGATGAAAAATGAAGCTCCTAGTGCAGCTTCAATAAGTTTCTATTGGAGTAGTTCCTTCTGACGAGCTTGGAGTTACAAGCCACGCATGCCAGCCTCGACCTGCTAGCAGGCCGCTGCGTATTATGTGGTAAAAAGATCATTTATGTGATAGAGAGAGGCGGAAACCTTGAAAATCTATGTGCAACTAGGATGCAAATCATGCGTTATCGTTTGATGAATTTGGTTGCAGCACACCTTTTGCAATGGTGGGAGATACTTCTAATTCAGATGCACTAGTGGTCAGAGGCAACAGTGCTGCCGCTGATGCCAACAGTGGCACAGGATTCTAATATGCACAGGTAATGTGTTTAATTGCGTGCAAGAAGGAGAAATGCTGCAAGCAGGCACAAAATATAAAATAAATGCATCAGGATATTATGTTCACTACTGTACTTATCTCTATGGTTGCATCACGACCGGCGTACTGCTTCAATGCTGAAGTGGAAGTTGCTGCAGCTGCCGATACTAAATAAAAGTGCAAATTATAATCCCCCGACAGGGTGGATGTTGTGCCCACGTGCCGAAGACTGCCGATCCGGGTAAGTAAATAAAAGACGAGTCGAGCTTCTTCAAGCGGCTTCAAGTTGTAGGGGTCGAATCTTTGTACTCGGTTAATACCACGGATTTTTCTACTCCTACACCGCGAAATAGTTTCCTTCCGGCGAGAGGAACTGCGTGAGCCCACTTGCTCTCATTTTCGTCGTACCCACACTGGTATCCTTGTGCAACTTCAATCGCACAACGCCGTACCGTGGCTCCGGCGGGTCCTGGCCGTTCATCACGGCGTCGATGTCAAAGGGACGACGCAGCTGGTCGAACTTGTCGGCTACCGTAGAAGAAGTGTCGTCTGCTTGAGGTAGTAGAGCAGCCTGCGCTGGCGGTGCAGCAGGTGCAACAGGGGGCTGCTGCTGCTGCTGCACCAGGACAGCAGGAGCAGGAGCAGCAGCTTCTCGGGCTGTTTTTTCTACCTCCTGTGCAGCTCCTTCAGCCTCCTGCTCATCTACTTGTTTGTCATGTTGCTCATCTTCACTGTCAAAAGAAGCCCCTTCATACCGCATCTCCGCTGCTTCTTCTCTCGGAATCCGCATTGCGAATTCGATCCCGTACAACTCAGAAGAACTCTGCTTGTTCCTCGCCCGCGCACGAAGCCCCCCGTTCCGGTCCAAGTTAAACGCGATTTGTAGGACCCGTCCGTCTATCAAGTGCGAAAGTGTCTGGGTCTGGAAGAATGCAACTTGTGATGCTGCATTTGGATGTCTAAAGAATTTGTGTTGCATAAGCAGCAAAAGGATTCTGATTTTTGCTACGCGGGAAGGGCATTTGTCATGCAGAATAGGCATCAAAAATCCCTCAAAAAACCTCTGATGCTAGGGCATGCATCACAGACATCATGGCTCATGCAAACCGTGCGCGACAAGTCTCAGAATCTTCCAGACCCAGACATTTTTACATTTGATACCGTCCGCGAGCCGCCGCTCCGAATCGGTCCACGAAGCCGGACTGGAAATTTCGTAGCAAATTTGCTCCGCTAGGGGCTTGGTTTCCGCAAAGAGGAAGTAGACTATGGTGATTTTGTAGGTCTGGTTGTGGTCGTAACGGACGCAGCCGAAGTTCAATAAGGGACGTCGACGAGCAAGACCAGGACCACGCGTGCCCATACTGTTTCTTCCAGTAATGTAACTGTCCAGCGTGTCCAGAATGTGTTCGGGCAGGTTGCCGATCTTCACGTCTTCTTTCCCCGCGAGCTGGGCGAGTTGGTCCACTGCTTCATCATGTGGCACAGAAGATTCGACGCTTGACGGTGGTGCAGACGTCGTGGTCGCCGTCGGTTGGAGGTCATCCTGACCACCGGGTGGTTGATGAAACGACTCAGCACGTCGACGACCTGGAACTGCTGTTGGTCGTGGTGTAGGGCAGCTGCTCATGGTAGCTTCTGACAGTGCTGGGTCCTGACAAGAACTGCTACCACTTCCACTCGAACAAGACGAAGTTGTTGCGCCTGCACAGCCAGGTTTGGGTTTGCCGGCAACTGCATGGGTTGAAGATGCGCCGGAGCTGCACGACGAGAGTCGACGACGTCCTATGCTTCTCGCCTCCAAGCTGGTTTTCAGAGATTTGAACTTTAGCCCAACGTTTGCCCGGGAACGCGGGAAAAACTCTGCCAGCCACGTGAAAGGCTTTTGGTATTTCGTTTCGTAGATTCCGACCATCCGCTTGATGTCCACCTTCTTCGGGGAGGAGGAGGAGGAGGAGGTTCTTGGGTCGGCGGCTGGTGTAGTAGAGCTTCTTCTGCAGCTCGACAGGCGAAGTGAGGCGGAAGAAGATGTTGACCCTGCGAGAGGACCACGAACATCAACTCCTGCCCCCGGCGTTCCTGTACTACTTCTGCCTGGAAGACGAGGAACCCGTGAAGAGAACGGCGGTGCAACACGACCAGCACCACCCGCGAGAGGCTCGTGCAGAGGGCCGCTCGAAGCAGCTGCTCCTGATGTTCTACCTCCTGTAGTGGCCGCCGCAACAGCACGGTGGCTTCCACGTAGCCCGGTGAGAGAAGAGGAAGAGGAAGATGCAGACCGCCTGGCTGGTGTCCTCGCGGAGGTACTATCATGACTAGTACCCGTCCTCGTACAACTTCTCGACGTCGCACTTGTTCTCCTCATAGAAAAACTCGTCCTGCTAGTACTACTACCTCCCGCCCGCACTAGCGCCGCCTCGGCAGAACGGCGGGCAGCGAAGTACTTCGTCATTGGGGCAGGGATAGGGACGACGGACGGTCTAACAGAACTATTAACCTGGAGGGCCCCCGTACTAGATGAGGACAAACCCGCAGCCAGTGGGGTCGAACCAAGAGCAAGAGAGGACGACGAAGATGCGCCGCTGCAGCTTCTTGCGCTCGTTCCAGCATCATCCCCAGGCCCAGGAGCATGATGAACATTATGTGGCAGCAGCAGCCCGCTCCCTGCCTTCGCCAGAGCTTTCGCCTTGGCAGCAAAGTACCGCTGGATAACCGGCGGCGCTGGAAGGTGATGAACTTCTGGACCACATGCATGGTCAACAAGAGAAGGGACCACAGCTCTACTTGCGCAGGAGTAGAGTCTCTGCTGGTGGGATGGGGTGAGAAAATCCCGGTCCAGCTGGTCCGCGAATTCTTCCGCGTTTTGAAATTTTTTCCGTGCGACAGAAAATGACCTCTTCCTCTTCGACTTTGTTGGCGAGGATGGAGACGTGGGTTTTATTCCGCCTGATGTGCTACTAGGGCTACTCGTCGCGCTGCCACTGGACATCAACGCTGCGTGATTCTTCCTCAACTGCCACACCCGCTGGAGAAACATGGGGGCGTTTTTTCTTGGCGTCAGAGTGAAGACTTCTTCATCATCATCTGCATCATCATTTTCCATGCCAAGTTGCTCAAACGGCAATCGCATCAGATCCCTCGTGACATTGGCGAACAGCTCTTTTTCCGGGTCCTGTTCCACTAACATGAGAAAGTCGGCGAAAGTGCGGAGTTGCTTGTACACGGCAATGACGGCGGTGATAGTACTGTCTCTGTGGTGCTTGTCTACTTTCCCGGTGTAGTCGTGGTCCCTCTTCTCTCGGTTTTCATCTTCTTCCTGCTCCACAAACGAAACGAATTCACCAACCGTGATGAGACTCTTGTTCAATTTCTGATTCTTGTAGAAAAACTCTGGTTTCTGGTGCTCGGAGTGGAATAGTGATGGATTCGCTTGCTTCACGACGTCTTCCAGTGTTTGCAAGTCTTTGTTCCAGGGAAAGTCCGCGCTCGTGGAGTCGATACTTAAAATCGTTTCGCCACTGAGTTTCTGGAAGTCGACTCGGGTCGCGTCGGTTGTTCTCATGAAGCAGGTGAGGAGAATTGCGGTAGTAGAGAGCAGCGACAAGAACCTCAATCGTCCCAGGGAGGAAAACGAAAACACCAAGCAGGAGGCTGTCGGCAAGAAGTGCGAGACCACGTCGGCCAAAGGTGTACTACAAGCGGTTTTCCTTTTCATCTTGCTGCCGTGGGAGACGTGCATGCCGTTCCCGTTTGAAGAGTTGTAGTTGGAGGCGTCTTGGTATTGGTTTCGCTGAATCTGAAAGCAACAAAAGAAGTAAAGTTGGATCAATAGACAGCGCCGATCAACACAACTCTTCTTTCCAAAAAATCCACGGATTATAGTCGACTCTTTCGAAGACCACCTGGACGGCGCACTGATGAAAGAACGAGCTCCGACCTACAGCAGATAGATGTTGATGCGCAAGCAGGAAAAATTATCTTTATCGCGAGGGCAAGGCGAAGGGAGTCTTTTTGGTTCGTTCTTTTTCAACTACAAAGGGAAGCGAAATAAACAAAGGGTTGCAGATGTCGATGTCGTGGTTTGCAGTCAAAAATCCATCGAAATTTCTCAAGGTACGAAAATGTCGGACAAACAAGAATAGGTGAAGGTGAAACACCGACAGAACATACGAACAACTTTAGTTAAAAGTGTGGCTCGTTGATTTCAGATGCGCCCAAAAAACCATAGGAAACTTGAGTAGTTTCAAACAAGCAATAATGCTGCCTCCTGCAAGAACTGGATCTGGAGTGTTAAGATATTGAATTTGTTCGTTCAAAAAATGTAAACAGGCTCGATGTTGACTTGACCGAAAAGAAATTTATGCTGCAAGAAATACCCTAGTTACTACAACAATGGCTAGAAGATTTTTTCCAAAACGATCTAAGACTTGATACTGATCTAGATTCTGAGCATCAACGGCTGGCAATCAATGACCGACGTCCGCACATGTAGTTTATTCTGATCTTCTTATTTGCTGAACTCGCGAGCAAGGATCTTTTTTTTCTTCTGAGAATGCGCGCCGTGCGGAGGGATCTGCTTTATTTTTCCACGTCTGATCATTTCCATTTCAGTTACAGTTCATGTGGCGTAGTTGTTGGCTTCTTTGAAAAATTCAAGAGCAAGCAACTCTGAGATCTATTGCACGAAGATCGCGGTTCAACTACATTGGTCACCGACATTGAAGAAGCACGAGAAAAAACATATTTTGGGATCATCTTGTTACGACGAGGCTTTTTTACGAGCAGAGGTGGCCTGAACTATTTTGCAACGTCATCCATCACAGAAGCCGCACTTTTATTATGCTCGCAACGTTATGTGTTCTCTAATAATCCAGTACTAACACTAAGGTCGAGAAAACATAAATAAGACCGCACATCACCCAACAGGTACAGCATCAGTAGCGTCTACATGACGTCGCTAGACCTTGACCATCTTCAGCACGCACTATCACAGCCTATGCGTCCGGAGCTTTTCTCGAATCAAGATACTGGCGCAACACACCGAGTACTGATATGTCGTCAGAGACAGCTCCACATACGTGAAGCAGTCTTTCCTTTCCTCCTCCGTCACATCGCCCCCGCCGCAGCACTTTGCGTAGCTGTGCTTCGCGTCAAAGCACGGAACTTGGTGAAAATAGCCGTCGTCGCGAAGAAGCTTGTGGTACAGCAACCGCGCTTCCAAAATATCGGCGGTGTCCACGAGAGAAGTAGTGGATAGGTGTGCTACTTCATCAGAAGAAGTCTCATTTTTGCTACTGTTCATCATTTTTGTCAGGCTCTTCACCAGGTCGAAAGCCCGCTTTTGCTGCAGATCAGAATCCCCGGCGAAACGGATGGGAAATTGTGGTTGCATGGCAGCATCGACAGCTTTGTTCTTCTGCTCCTGAACTTCTTTTACCGTCCCGTCACCAGAACTGCTGACCGAGGACGACGCAGTGCTGGGAGCTGCTGCGGAGGGTTTGTCTTTTCTTTTTTTGTTGCTTGCTCTTATCCCCACTACCTTGCTGTAGTACTCTAATTTTGATGAAGCCGGATATTTTTGTAGTTGTTCTGCTTGCTGACCGCGACTTCCAACAGCTGCAGCAGGCACACCACCATTATCCTTCACATACCAGCCCAGCATGGGCCTGTCTTGGGTAAATCGGAACTTCTCATACATGGGCATGGTGTGGTTACCGTAATCCAACGCCATATCGTGCCGCATCCGCCAACTTTCTTTTCTGGAGCGGAACCGCGAGATGAAGTGGAACCGGTTTGGTGTTTTCAACAGTTTGTCATGCTGGCGATACTCTTCCACCGCAGCAGCTTCTACAAGTGGATGTCGTTGTTCCACTTCTCTGTCCTCCTGCGCCGATACGACTAGAGAGTTACTATCCTTATTTTTCCTTATCCGCTCCATCAATAAATCCTCCCCGGCTCCCAAAGCCGCACCGAATTTCTGCCACTGTAATCGTATGCATTGCAAAAGTATCGCACTAGTAGAAATCGCATTACAAATTCGGTCAGCATGACAAATGAAATTTGTCATGCTGTTTTACCTTGGCATGGAGATTTGTAATGCATGACTGCGATTACTACGAGTACGATACTTTTGTACAGGATAAAGCGGTCTCCGTGATGCTGGATCCAGTCGTTGTATTCTTCGGGGTCATATCAAATGCAAATATGTCTGGGGCTGGAAGGTTGCAAAAACTTGTGATGCTGCATTTGGATACTGCAAAAATCTGTATTGCATGAACAGCATAAGCGGTCCAGTTTTTGCCACGGCGAGCGGGCAACATTTCTCATGCGGTATAGGCATCAGGAAGCCTACTTCGCGAAGTCTGTGATGCTAGGGCATGCATCACAGGCGTCAGGAGTCCTGCAAACTGTGCATGACAAAGAACCTTGCATCCTTCCAGAGGACCCAGATCGATATTTGCAGTTGATAGGTCGGTCTCTCTCCCGTCGCTTGTCAGATAGTTGGAAAAAATGGAGAGATCCACCGCGAAAGGCCGGATGTCCTCCCAGATGTAAATACCGGTTTTCGGGGTCAAATACTTTTCCAAAAAAACAAAGCTCGCAAGCACAGAGTATGGCGCTCTCAGCTGTTACATTCTCAACTGTTACACGAATGCGTGATGCAAGAATGGGAAAAGTGAAAGGGGTGACCTTGCGCGTCTTGCATGACAGATCTGGCGCAGATTCTCAGCCTCTTTGGCTCTTCGAGAATTTGTCATGCGAAGCAGCTTGATCGTGTCGATTTTGATTGTGCTTTTGCATTACAAATCATGTAACAGTTGAGAATGTTCGTAACATTTGCGAACGCCATACAGAGATCGCCGTGTGAAGCCCGTCGTCGATGATGACGTCGAATGTTTCTTGTTGCTGTTGTTCTTTTATCCTGTGCAAAAGTATCGCACTCGTATTGCAGTCATGCATTACAAATTTTCTTCTGAATGGAAATCCGCATTACAAATTCAATTTCTGATGCTGAGCAAGTTTGTCATGCATTTATACGTCGAGTACGATACTTTTGCACAGGATATCTTTGTCATGCTGTTTCGCTAGAAGTAGTTTCTTGTTTCTCTCCCACATGAATCGCTCCACCGCTGTTTTGTTCATGGAGTTCACCGTGGCCGCATTCAGTTTTTCATTCGTGTCGTACTTTTCTTATCAAAAGGAAAAATGTCTGGGTCTGGAAACTTGTGATGCTTGGTGGCGTCTCATGATGAGGCTACAGATGCTGGCTCAGCATGACAAGTTTCTGAGCTCCTAGGTGTTGCCTATTCTGCATGACAAACTGCGCTTCTGCATCACAGAAAAACGGAGCTCCTGGGTATTAACGTGCATGACAGATTTAAGAGTCACGCGAGACAAGCATGACAAACGTGAACTCTACTTCCAGACCCAGACATTTTTGCATTTGATATTTTTCCGTACTCCTTTACTGCTTTAACCGCGTGGTGGTCAATGTCGATCCCAGTGACCTCCGCGTGCGGAATATCCTGTGCAAAAGCAGCGCACTCGTATTGCAATCATGCATTACAAATCTTTTTCTTAAGGTCAATCCGCATCACAAATTTCATTTCTCACGCTGAGAAAATTTGTAATGCATTTATACGAGTACGATACTCTTGCAGTGCATACGGAAAAATCGTGCGCCAACTCCGCAACCCATGCCCCGGCTGGTAGTTCGCATTTACGTATTTCGTCATCCAGGTCATGGGCCCGCCCGGGTTTTGTTTCGAAACGGACCCGATCCCGATCTCGAGTAACTTCAGCACGTTGTTTTTGCCATTTTCATGCGCGGCACGAGCTCCATTTGGTGTTCTTGGTCCACCGCTGCACCTGTTTTCTATTTTCTCCGCCAAAACCATTTCGTACATCCGGCCATAGTAGTTCCCACAGTTCGCTACCTATGAAATGCAAAAGCATCATAATTATACTCGTAGTAATATGCAACTATGCATTACCAATCTCTATTCCAAGGCAAAACAGCATGGCAAATTCCATTTGTCATGCTGAGATTATAATTTGTAATGCAATTTTACTGCGACGAGCACGATACTTTTGCAGTTCATACCACCATCTCCGGCCGGGGCATCAACCCGCAAAACTGCCCCCGGTCGGACCCGTAGTAGTCGAAAACTAAGTCGATAATCGAGTCGTAAAAGGCTGGGTAGAACAAGTCGCGGCTGAGTTTCTTCGCCCCGATTAACTTCGGTCGGTTGGGTATGACTGGGTCCTGTTGGTCAAAGTCAAACTGCGGAACCAATTGCTTGTAAAATCTCAAGTCTTCGTATGCAATGATACAAATTTCTATTTCCCGTAAGTACATGATCATGTGTAGAATGCATCACAAATTGCAGCAGCTTAGAAGAAGCATCTTGTCAACATGCGGAAAAACGTTCAAGGAAAACAAGTTTGCGAAAGCCACACTTTCTACGTGTACGGGAATCAGAATCAATTTCCTGTAGATACTTCGTTTCTCTGCGTCCGGTTGTGAATCGTGTTCCGCCCGTGCTGAGCTTCTGCGGTTGCAGTTGGTAAGGAGAATTTTTCAGCTGCATGATTTTCTTCATTATCCTTTCCTACTTTCGTTGCCAATAACCTGCTCCGTCCGGGTATGGAAGCGTCAGCTTTGAAATCGACAAAGTTGAAATGATTTTTTGTCATGCATATAATGCAAGGCTTGAAGTGCTTGTCTTGCTCTTGCCGGGAGGGCAAGTGAGACAGATTGCGCGCCTATTTAGGGTCTGGGATAGAGCTGCTAGAAAAGCATGACAGAAGCAGTCTTCTGTGCCCAAACAGCATGACAAATCGGATTCCGGTGCTCGGGAAATTTGTCATGCGCCGCTTGATAAGTGGGCCTCCGACTAATATCGATTTTATGCATTACAAGTTATTTGAACTTTGTCGATGTCAATTCTGACACGTCCATACCGGGCAAGATGTCATACAGCATCAGCCTCTTGACCCCCACGTCCACTGATTTTTCCTCTAGATACACGTCCGCATCCAGGATCCATTTGGGAAAGTCCACATTGTCCCAGAGTGTGGAATATGCATTGCAAAAGCATGATCGTACTAGTATAGATTGCAATACAAAGTCGCTCAGCATTACAAATTGAATTTGTAATGCGGATTCAGCTTAGCACCTAGATTTGTAATGCATGTTTGCAAGTACTCCAACTACGATACTTTTGCAGTGCATATGGAACGGCTGGTCACTTTCCCAGACTTCGCTGTTTGCGCTAGGTGGGTCTCGACAAACTCACGTAGAGCTTTCAGTGCGGTTTTTTGCTTGGTGAGGTCTACAACTGGACGAGGGGTCGTGATCGAGGACGAAGAAGAAGTTTTGATTTCTGTTGCGGATTGTTCCACAGCAGCTCCTCCGCTTGTAGCAACCGCCCCGACTACCGAAGACCAAAGGGAAGAGAAAACACCCCCACCAGCAGACTTGTCATCTGTAGTTTCAGTGTTGTGGCGGTCTTCCGAGGGAGGTGTTGCCACTGCTTTGTCTTCTATATTTTTTGCAGTTTTCTGCGCGTGACAAGCTTTTTTCAGCATTTCGACCACTTCCTTCCCGCTGGAAAACTGCACGTAGGCAACAGGCTCCTCGGATTTGTCTTCCGACAAAGCGTTCAAATATTTGGTCGGCTTGGTTTATGGGGGTGTCAGGATTGAAATCGTCAAAGTTGAAATGATTTGCCATGCATAAAATGCAATGCAAAAAGTGACTCTATTGCAGAGGACACACGGGAGACAGATTATAGTCCTGGTAAGGATCAAAAGTTGGACTGCTGACTAGCATGACAGAAGGCAGCTCTTTTGCCCTAAACCGCATGACATACTCGCTTCCAGGACCGGGAAAATTTGCCATGCGCCGACTACAAACTGTAGGTCTAACTGGTAACCGTTTTATGCATGACAAGCTACTTATACTTATTCAACTTTGACGATTTCAAACCTGACACATCCATATGGTTTTCAAATCCGATTTTTCCAAATACGGTTTTCCGATCCAGGGCTTGTCCGTGTCGACATGCAGTTCGCTCGCGGAGTCCTTTTTCTCCAAATAGATCCGAAACGGGTGGAGATAAGGAGAGAAGTTTTTGTTCCACTTCTCGTGCATAGATAAGGAAGCAGTGTCAGTGTGGCCGCTGTGGTCTTCTAGTACTCCTATTTGAGGTTCTTTGCTGTAGTTATTCTTCAGCCGCGCCAGCGCCCCCTGGTCCTGTGTGTAGTAGAGCACCTGCTTCAGAATCACCCGTCGCGGCGAGGAGTTCTTGTGCAGCCTTGTGTCAAGCAAATCGGGAAACCAGCGCAGCGCAGTGTCCAGACGAACCCAAAGTGGATCGGCATCGTAATTCGTGAAGAAACCCTTTTCCTCGTAGATGCTCCTGCTAGTGTCGACAAGCGGTGCCTCTTCATTCGCACGAACGGTAGCCGGAGTCGCTGTGATGATGGCCCGCCAGGGTAATATCGCCGAGAGGACAAGCGTCAGACCGCCCCTGAGCCTGACAAGCGAACGACAGCAAAGGGACAGACCATGCGCGGACATGATGTTGCTGGTGTCCATATGATTTCGCTTGGCTTTCTTTCGACAGCAGGAAAATTTAAGCCCACATTGCTGTGGTACCTAGACCGAAGGGCCTCGTAAGAACTCGGTAAGTGAGACGACCTAACGTAGTATCGACGACTTCTAGTACGTGATGATCGCTGAAATTGATCCTCGTAGAAAAATTTACTTTCGAAACAAAAGGTTTGGCTCTTTCCCGCTAAACAACCAAAATGAACGACCGCTGTTGGGTCCTACAACAGGTAAAGTCGTCTCTGCCGCGTCAGCACCTTCCATGCACATCATCTCCCGCAAGATTGAGAAGGCGTGATCGGCGTGCAGAAGTACCGACAGCAGCAGTAGGAGAGCGGAGATATTATGCTCTGTCAAACAACAAACACGATAAATTTACTTCTAATCTTCACTGAGCAGCGCTGGCTGTGCCCGCAAAAGCGCCCGCCGCATCTGCTCGCTGACGCTGCCAGTGGCGGCCGGGGTTCATTTGTACAATTGTTCATCTTCACGATTTCATGTAGTGCTCTAGCTGTCAAAGGCAGTTATGGCCGTCCCCGACTTCGTATTCATTGGGTATGTTGTACAATTTTTCATTCTACTTCTGCTCTGGTGCAATTATCTAAGCAACCGCCACGTAGTCTTCCTCTACCGAATTGTAGTGAACCTCGGCCCAAAACGCGAGCCAAAGGGCTCTATTCGCTCCGCTTTTTTTCCTCGTAGCTGCACCAAATGCGGAAGAAGCGTTCTTATTCTGCAGGGGCAAAATGGACAAGATCGCATCGTCATCGTAGCTCGTGATCAGCTTTATCTCACAGTTGTAAACATCTGCAGCCGCTTGGAGCGTCACGTGATCTGTTATGCGATTTAACATTGCCAGCTTCACGAAGCAGGCACGCAGTTTGTAATGCGAAAGCGGACACTAGCACGTAAAAATCGTAAAGTAAAACAAGCAACTTTCATCTTGATCTCATTTCTGCCCGTTGTACTAACGACTTCTACGACGTCCTCGCGCACTACAAACTAATGCTCATGGCGCTGGCAATGCATGCACGTACGATAGCACCCCAAGTGGACTCTTCGGACATGGAGACCAGATACAGGTTGAAAGCTTCGTCAGCCTGTTCCTTTGACTCAATTTCCGTTTTGGACAGCACAAAATTTTTGTAGTGGTCTGCTTCCTGCTCCAGTTTTTCTATCACTATCAAATGTAGAAATGTCTGGGTCTGGAAGGTTGAAACTTGTGATGCTGTCTTCGGATTCGAAAAAAATCTCGTAATGCATGACCAGCAAAAGGAGTCCAGTTTTTGCCACGGCGAGAGGGCATTTCTCATGCGGAACAGGCATCAGGAAGCCCTCTCAAAATCTGTGACGCTAGACCCTGCATTACAGACCTCATGGGTCATGGAAAACCTGCATGGCAAATCTTTCACTGTTCCAGACCCAGACACTTTTGCATTTGATAATCACCTTCCTCCGCACATTCTGGTGGTGCTCCTCGGTGCCGTAAAGTTGGTCTGACAGGGCCCGGATCCTGTGCAAAAGTGTCGCGCTCGTACTTCTAATTGCAGCTACGCATTACAAATCTTTTTTATCGTGGTAAATCTGCATTACAGAAGATTCCATGTCTAATGCTGAGGAAATTTGTAATGCAATTCATACTATTACGATGCTTTTGCAATCCATAGCCCGGAACTGGCACGATCCGTCCCCCTTCACGTGTCTCTCCTTCAGCCCGCATCCACAGTAAATTTCCTGTGCACGTACATCAAATGCTGTCTCTGCATGACAAAACTTGCCTTCAATCTTAATCTGCATGACAAGTTTGACACTCAAAATTAGCGAAGTTTGTCATGCGTATTGTACATGTACGGCGGGAAATTTGTATTGCATAACCCGTAGGACAAAACCCGCGCAACCAAGATGTCGTGTGAGGCGCCCATCCGGAACTCCCGGTCGTAGAATTCTTTTTTCGACAGCTCAATATGCAAGGCAAAAGTAGCGTACTAGTAAAAATTCAAATTGCATTACAAATTCGCCCAGCATTACAAATCAAATTTGTAATGCTGATTGACCTTGACAAAGAGATTTGCGATGCACAACTGCAATTACTTGCTACGAATGCGATACTTTTGCACTGGATATTCCAGCATTTGCTGCAGTTCCTCGTCTTCGTTGATCGCCCGGAGATTTAGGTTTTGCTGCTGTTCCTGACTGTCTTCAGCTAACAGCTTCTCTATCAACAGCTGATCCACGGTTTTTGGCCTGCTAAGCAACTTGGATTCGTTTTTGTTCGCATAATTGGAACTCAGCCCCGCGGGAGGAAGTTGGGAATTGTCCTGTGGTTTCGGCGCCGCGTTAGAGCTCACGGGGGAGGGGATGGGCTGCACAAGGGGGCGGGTGAGCTGCTGCGGACTGGAATGGGGCTCCATTTTTGAAGACGATTGTCGGCGACCTGCTCTCACAGGCGAACACGTTTTATTTGCTTCCTCTTGTTTGTCACCAGCAGAGGACTTGTGCGCCGCCGATTTCTTGCTGCTCGCTGCAGCTGCGCCTGTGCTTTTTGAGCGAGGGCGGCCGCTGTTATTGATGTTCTTCTTTTGGTCGTTGATATCTCCTGCTTCCGGGGACTCTGGAGCTGGTACTGGCTCTCCCTTCGATGGTGCTTTTCGGTGTGGGTGCTGACCTCCTGCTCCTGCTGGCTTTTTCTCCAAATTACCAATCGAACCATCAGCCGGATCACAACTACAGCTCTGGGCTTTCTTGTTCCGGTAAATGGTCTTGATGCTCTTGCCTCCCTTATCGTTTTCGCCCGGAGCCCTTTTGGTTCTTTTTTCTTGAGAGTGATCAACTACACTTGTGCAGCTCCTGTTATTCAGCGCACTGTCGCCGGAGGAGCCTCTATTGCTTCCTGCATCGACCTGATCTTGTAGGGGGCTGCTGCTGTTCGTTCGCCGTCGCTTGCAGCCGAGCATTCAGCTGCTTTGATGGCAGAGGGGATAGAAGGAGGTGAGCGAAGCCCAGTCTTCAGCTGGGCCAAGAACATTAACTAAAGAATAACATGACATAATTAAACTACCAGGGCGGAAACAAAAGGGGTCCACACATCAAGGGACGAGCACCTTCTCAAAACGTAAACCCTCAATGCCGGCGCTAGGTAGTACTGGTGCAAAAAAATCACCACTTCAACAGATGAATTACCAGTGCTGTGACCGTCCCTCTCCCTCATAATAACAAAAGCAACAACATTTTTTTTCTGTGTTTTCGCTTTCGACATCGACATCGACTCTGAGTCTGAGCGGTGCATCAATTTTTCCATTATACCGTAAAGAAGCGGAACAACACAGGTAATGTGTGACGGTCGTTTGAGGGCAAGGGCAGTGAGTCAGTCGGCAAGCGGACTGTCGGCCGACACGACTGCAACAGGCTGACGAGAATGCAACGCCATTGCAGCCCCAGGCCGAAATGCACAAACCAATCCAACACAGACAATATACCCAACTAACACAATGAGCCAAGATTGATTATCTATGCGGGCGGGCAAGCGGGGCGCCGGCGGGCACCGCACAACATACAAAAATACTTGGCCGGCTGCCCTGCAGACGGAGCCACGCATTGGGGCCACGGGCACCGGGGTGAGTGGGCCAGCGCCCCGGCAACCGACGGACACACCCCACCACGCGGCCAACATTCAACAGCCAAGGAAGCCTGCCCGCCCGCCGGCGCCCCCCACGGCGCGATGCGTTTTTGGGTGGTTGACTGCCCCCCCGACGGGGGAAGCCGGCCCACCACCCAGACGCACCTGCGCCCGATCAGGCCAAAGAGGGTGGGGGGCGCGTGCGCCCGGCCGTGCGCCCGAGCCAAGAAAGACGAGACACCGGGCCACCCCTTCAACAAACCACGCGCCGCCCCTCCGGGCAGGAAGACGGCCCCGCCCGCAAGGCAAGGGGTCCGCGCGGGGCGCGCCAGCCGGGCAAACAAACACACAACACGGCCGGCCCGGCCGGGCCAATCTCTGGGCGGCGGCGCGCGCGCGCCGCGACCCCCGGTCGAGGCACTGCCCCCAGCTTGCTAGACCATGCGGGGGCGGCCGGGGGGCGTGCAGGAGGCCCATCAGCGCCGCGCAGCTGTTGCCGAACGCTTCGGCGAAGCAACCAATCTGCAACAAGCCCGGCCGGCCGAAAAACATGCGGCCGGCTCTGCCTTGAAGAACTCCGCGGGCGGGCGCCGTCGGCGCGCGGCAGTGTAGTCTTCGGGGCCCCGGCCCGCTTCCCGTAAAGCCCTCAACACTTCACAGAGCTGGGGGAAGAGCTGGAGACCCTCCCGCGCGCCCGGTCTCGGAAAGGCACCCGCGCAAGCACGGGCCGGCTGCACTTGCAGACCCGCCCCCGCAAAACCGCGCCGGCGTGACAACGCGCCCAGGAGGGGTCTCGCGCCCGCGCGCCTGCTAACTCCACGCCCGCCCTATGTATGTATCGGGCCAGAAGGCGGCCGCCTTGGCGCTACGTAGGAGCTCGCCTCGGCGGTACGTAGGGGCCCGCTCGGCCGGCGCATCAAGCCAGCCGCTGGCTGCTATGGGCTTCGCGGGGCCGCGCACACATTAACCGCCCGGAGTGCGCAAGTGCTGCACCGGCTTGCACGCAATCCAGTCAATGCCCGCCCATGCGAATGGGCGCCAATCTCCTTCGTTTTCCGGGTCGGCCCAGGGCGCGCAAGGGTGGCGCTTTCGTAGCTGTCAGCCAGGCGCACCCCGGCCGGCGTTAAAGGTGCGCCAAGCCGGCCCGCTCCCGGCCGCCTGGCGCCTTCGTGTCGGGGCTTGCTGTCCTCGCTCGCAGTTATTTCTTTCACACTACCCGAGCCCGACAAAATCCATCGGCGTACCGGCCAAGCACTGAACACCACACACACGCGCTGCCTTTGCAGCTGAATCATCTAAAGTCACAAGCTGAGATAGCTGCTCAAGCTCATGTAGTGCTTGTACTTCGCCGAGAGTGAAGTTGCAGCTTGTGCTTTTTGTCATAGTTAGCAGGAGCGGGGAGGCCCTTATCCAGTTGTCCTCTTGTATTTTTCTTGATTTGAATGAAAATTTTACTATAAGTGTCACGGAGATTTTCTCAGTAATAAGCAATAGAAATTCACCATCTTCGTCCCGATGAATCCGCCATCATACGGATCGTCTCGGGTTCTTGTTCTCCATCACCATCGGTGTCTTACGTTTTTTCGGAAGACTTGTCAGAGGAAGCTGAAGTGACTTCTTGTTGAGATGGGATCTGCTCAAAAAGGTCGTCGTGCCCTAACAATAGCAATGCGTGCTTGATAAAAATTCTACTGAATTGTTGATTTGCACACCCTCTGACCGCCAACTAGAAATGAAGTGCGAACGACAAATGCGACGGAGACATCTTTCGATGCTCCAGCGGGTTCAGTCGTACTATGTAAGATAATTTCATTTTTGTAGATAGAAGTAGATGGTAGACTAAGAGTATCACTATGATCAGCTCGCGTTCGTTAGAAAATTCAAACCTAGGATCCGAGTGTTTCGTAAAAAAATTTTTTTAATAAGATCAAGAAGCTGCGCTAATTTAGTCAAGACGAGACGAGTCTCTCTTCAATGTGATGAGTACAGCACTACACAAAATATAATCCCGTGGCAACATCATCTATGTCTATCATCGTAGTTTTTCACAATAAATCTGCTTCACAAGAGTAGATCAAACCTTATGCCCCACATCATGTTTCTCGCACCCGCCGGTAGTTACGCTTTCGACCCCGATCTGGAGTTAGTTCCCCCGCCAGCACTTTCCGAAGAAGAACTCTCCAAGAGTGCCTCTACAGCCTTCCCATCCAGCTGGGATAACAGGCTCTGCGCAATTTTCTTCAATTTATCCGCCTCCGGATCGAGATCGCAACCGAAGACGTTGAACTTCTCCCCGTTATTCAGCAGCTTGATCAGAGTATCGGCAGCAAAAAGTGTCTCACTGTAAAGGATTTTGTAAGTTTTGCATTACAAGTTCGTTTACACATGATGACAAAACAAACTTGCCCTGCGTACTTCCCAAGGGAAAACACGTTGAAAATAAACCCAAGCGATCTTGCATGTGTAGCAAGACAAATGCGTCTGTGTTCTTGCATCCTATGCATCACAAGTTTACACTGAAACAGTTTTATTTTCTTGCGATACAGAGTAACGGAGAGTTGCGGGCTCCATTCTTTGTTCCTTTCGTAGCACTGCTTTTTCTCGTTCCAAAATTTTTCCAAAAGATTCTATCAAGCAGAAAAGTGTTAACGTCCACGGTTTTCACAGATGGCAGCTATGCATATACAAATATTGCCTTCCATGCATGCTACGCAATACAAATTTTGGCACGTTTAGTGATGCATTGCTGCATCACAAATTTCGGTGACGTTAACACTTTTTCCTGTGATACATTCTGCATCGGTTTGATGATCGCATTCCGCATTTTGTTCGGTAGCTTTGTGGCTGCTGCGGG